AAAAGAAAACAAGAAAAATCAAAAGTCCCATGCACCGAGTTCGCCCCACCTTTCACCATCAACACCAACAAAGCAACTCAACAGGAGAGTCTTCGGAACTCACGCCATTAGTAGATAATAGTAAAATAATATATTGTACAGAGCATAACGGGTCATGACAGAGAATGAAAGGGAACGGTATTCCAAGAAAAAAAGATGCAAGAAAGAAAAAAGAAGCACCTTCTATCTCTCTTTACTTGGTAGGTCTCCACATCCCACTAGGGACGAGACCTTGTTTATACAGAGCCAATTCCTTCTGCATGGCTTTGTTCTCTTCCTGTAACTCATGCATGTAGGTGATTGCGTTGGTCAGGATCTCGGACTTCTTTAACGAGGCGGATCCGCCCTTCGTGGACTTCTGGACTCCACCGCACATGGCCTTCTCGAGGGCCACGAACTTGGCGTTCATGTTCGTGCGGTACCGCTTCTCGATGATGTTGTGAGCGGCTCGCTTGGCAGCATTGCGGCCCGTCGTGGTAGCCGGGCCCGTGCTGGATTGCGAGTCCCCAGAGAGGCTGCGAGTCATCTTGCGGTTGGAAGCGGGGGGAGAGGCAGGAGCAGGTTGCGGGGAGGTGATGAGCGGAGCCGGGTATTCTTGAGGGGCAATTTCGGGGCTGGAGGACCAGCGAGTATTCGTCGGTGGGATGACCTCGCGGGGCTTTTGCTGAGCGTTGGTCCTGCGACGAGTGGTAGGTCTCGACGAGGCAGTGGTGATAGACTTGGGCAGGTCTGCGGGAGCAACATAGGTGGGGGACCAGGACTGGTCATCACTTTCAAGGTCCTGTTGTCATATAGGTTAGCTCAGGTCCAAGCTTGATCAGGAGATCGGGTGGGGAAATATCAAAGAGGGGTAGAACATACCGAAGACATCGAAGCACAATCCTCGCCGGAGTGGTTGGAGATGGTGAAGCCGCTGATATCGGGAGGAGGAGCGAAGAAGTCGGCAGGGAAGTCCTTGGTATCCATGCCCATCATATCATTGGGGATATCCATGGGGAACGGCTCAGGCAACATGGTGTTGAGGGAGAAGAGGTCGATAGCACTATCGTAGTTCCAGTTGCTGGACAGAGGATCGGGACCCTTGGGAGCGGGGAAGGACTCGTTGGAGCGCTGCATTGAATACATGCGATCTTCGTCATCCAGGGTGAACGGTGTGGGATCAGCCCTAGGGTATGCCATGCTGCTCATGATCATAGAACGATGATGGGGTAGCAGATTGAATTGGATTGGTAGATGCGGGGGGCGAAGTGCGGTTGGATGGAATGATGTTTTGATATATCCAGGCAAGGACAATTGCAAGTGGCAAGGGGTTGACGGGTTATATTTATGGAAGTGATAGTAAATGGAATGGTAAGCTCTCGAAATAGAACCATGGATCTGAAGATTCTTAATCGAGCACGCTCGAGGGGTCTTATAAAGGCCGTGCAGCTGTCAAAAGGGCCGAACCCCAGCCGAGGCGCGTGATGTAATGGAACTAGGATAAAAAAATAATAATAGGAGAAACCGGAATAAAAAAAAGAGAGAATAAAAAAAAACGATAGACAAACGATCCGAAATCAGTCGGGAGTCTCCATCGCGATTATGGTCCATGATCGAAAGTAGCATCATCCGCCGGACTGTTTCGCCAGGCATTGACGGCAGTGAGCAAGGCAATCTCTTCCAGGCATCGAAAGGCCAGTCCGGTGAAGCGCAACCGAGATCACCCCAGCCGGATGGAAGACATCCAGACTCGGCCGGCTCCGACGAGAGGCGTCATGAAAGGCAGCGGGCCAGTCAGCAGGAGGAAAAAGTTCAGCAGGTTCAGCAAGTTCCCAGCGTGGAGGGACGGGATCGGTGGATCCTGCCATGGGATGGATCGATGCACAACCGTTGGCAGGGAAGTTTACGGAACCGATGCCCCGCCAAGCCTCTCCGGCCGAGACTCGGCTCCGATTCTTTCCATGGCTGCTCTAGAGGAGGCGCGGATGTGATTTTATCCCCTTGGGAGGTATGGATTGTACAGTCCAGGTGGCTGTTTCCTATTGCCTCTTTGGGTTCTTTTCCTCCCCAACTTACTGCTGGTTGACATCTACGGAGTATCTGGCCAGGTGTTCTGTCCGGCCTCCATGTATCCGAAGTTCGAACGTCTAGCTACTGTGTATACTCTATAGCCATGTGACGACTGAATGACTCGCTCTGTCCTCCGTAGGTATACAACCAGTGGGTCTTGCTGGACTGTACTGCCGTCATGGCCACGCAAATATTAGAACCTGCCTTGTGTTACCGCTTTAGGCATACTATCCCATGTCCCTGCCCGTCCTCCATACTATGCCCTCCCCCTGAGCGACCCTGGACTCTCCGCGTCAGAAGAAGGCGACGATTGTCAGGGAATGAAAACTCTGACTTGCCCCTTTCCAGCTTCTCACGTCTTCCATGTTCCAGCCAGCGGGGGAATCCAAAACACTGCTGCAGAATCCCTTCATCTCACAAAGTACATTGCAGATACAAGGCATCTTCCAATCACATCGGACGTATTAACAATCCATTGGCGCTGACATTCCCCGTTTGTAAAATCTCCTACTGGACGGTCTTACTATGCCAGTCTGGCTGTCTGACACAAATGAGCTATTATTTACACACAGACCAGCAGTGGATCGGGCATCTCCCTGTGGAGACTAGAATAGGGTCAACTCGGAGAATATCTCAAGCATTTTCAGTCAGGAAAGCAAGGAGAAACATTAGAGAAGGGGCCAGTACTCAGTACGACACGGCTCCGTACACCATTTGGTCTCATCTACTTCGTAGCCACTTACGCATCGGAAAGGCACGCCTCCCATCATGACTCGTGACCTATCTAATGATCTCGGAAGGAGGCGCGGTTTCAACGAGCGTTTACGATTCGGTCACGTTTCTTTTTTCCCATCATTTTTCTTGTATCATTTTTTCCTTTTTCTTAATTTACGCCTTGACACACTCGGCATCCTGAATTGATGACCCTGCACCCGTAATCGTAGTCAATATCCATATCTTCGTCAACCCAGGCCCACCTGCCCGGGTCCCGATCTACTACGACGTAGTGGTGCGGCTAGGTACGGTTTAGCACCCCCGATCCGTCTAGAAGAAACGCGATAGCGGTACGGAGCATTTTCTCCATTTCCCAACTCCTACGGAGCGTCGGACAAGTCGGAGTCGAACACTCGACATACTTTACTAGAGACCAGACTATTACTACTACCACGGTACTACCACTATTAATCCACCTATGTTAAGTGGTCCCCCAGCTCGGGACGCGAAGCATTGACCATGGACAAATAACCTCTAGGGGTTAAGGTTCCGTCGTCCCCAACGGTCCTGCAAGCCGGTCCGGATGCCGGACTCTCAGAGTTGTCTACGATGCCACCCAGTGGTGTGATCCGGTAAGGCCAGGATACAGAATATATCCCCCCGCTTCACTTGTTCGCGATGTGCGACACACCCGACATATCGCCCGAGAGAGGCACTTGAGTGTCGCCATCCGACCGAGAATCTGGCAAACAAGGAGGCTATGTTTATGGACGAGACGAAATGTCCAGCTGAGCGGCCGAAATGATCCCTTCGAGTCATGTTTCGGAGGTTGTTCGAATGGTGAGGACAGGATGATTTTTCTGACCAGTATATGCAATGCATAAACTAACTATTCTCAACTGTACGAAGGAGGAACACTAGAGTGTAAAAAATCAAAAATCCAGGGCACGGTCAACCTCAGCCCTAAACCCCTACCTCGTAAAATGTCAATAATAATAATCATCACAACATTGGGCGGCCAAGTTAGCCACCTCTAGCGTTTCCCATGATGACAACCCGACTCCGTGTTTGCCAGGTAACTGGGTAGTACAGTACTCCGTAAAGGGCTAACGTCAACGGTGCCTTCCGTCAATCCGATCGCAAGCCACTAGGGAAAAACTAACCAATGCTGACCTGCATATTCAGCGTAGTGCGTACATAAGCACGGTGGCCAGTGCAGAGCAAAAAAAAAAAAAAGAAAAAAAGAAAAAAAAAAACCAAGTGCGCATCGGAATGCCCCGCCGAAGCCCAGCCCAGTCTCCCCCCCAGTCCACGGCTTCTCAGCTTCCGGATACTCACCACAATGACCTGCATCCTCATTCTCCCGATGATCGTCTCATGTTGACGGCAAGCCGCGTTGCCACATCACCGTGGAAGGGTGTTTTCTGTTAACTCGCTCTGGTATGCACAGTGCAGTACAGGACCTGCCCACCCGCGGGGTAACCTTCTCTCTACAGACTGCAGACTGCGGGAAAAATCACCCCCGATCGAGTATGCAGAATGAGAGCAAGGTAAATCTGCACGGAACTTGGGAAGAAGAATTGCCGAGTGGTCTGCCCGGGCTAAGATCTGTCAGGGACAGGTTGAAGAAGGCGGGATGATCATGGGAAAATAATCTTCAAAAATCCCCGATTGGGCAAATCGACTGGGAAGGGGGGGTTGTCAGAGGGAACGAGATTCCCGTCAGGTCCACGATAAAGCTCTGACCACCACTGTTCCCCAGATCCAAGCGTTGGTCGGCACCTAAGGTAGGCTACGGACGGATGCACTACGGTACGCTTAAGGGTAACGGGAAGCTACTGGGTTGCGTGGATACGGTCCCTGAATTTGGCTTGACTCAGCCCGGGTATGATTATTCCCGCTGCGTTGCGGCCGGACGGCGTATAGTCGGCGTTGGGAGCGACGAAGGGGGGGTGGAGGGGCCCTACAGGAAGAAGAGACTGCGCCGTAGATCTTCAGGATTCGCCCGCGATGTACGTGCTCGTGCTCAGGAAGAGAAGGCTGACGGGATGACGTCGATGTACAGAGACCGTGTGGACACTGGCCACAGTGCATGATGAAATTAATTTATTAAAAAGATAGAATGACATCGTGAATACCCTCAAAAGTTGCCCCTCACCACCAAGGTGTGTATGTATCCAACCTCCCCCGTCCCCCAACTACCGCGTCAAGTCGCTCACCGTCTTCTCGAAGCTCTCGGGCTCGCGACCCAGAATCTCCCCAAGCAGCGGTGACACGACGGCCGTCTCCCCTCGTCGAATGGCCTCCCACGCGGTCGCCCACTCCCTCGCCAGGTCCACGCCGTGATAGGTGTGCTTGTCCCCGTGCTGCGGCAACCTCACGTACTCGTCGACGGAGATCTCACGGATCCGCACGGGCCGTCCCACCGCCTTGCCCAGCACCTCGGCAGTCTCGTTGAGCGACAGCTCCCGCGGACCCGACAGGAGGAGCTTGCGGTTCAGGTGCGCGAACCCCGCGGGGTCGGTCACGTACGAGGCGATCAGCTTCGCGGTGGCCTCGCCCAGCTCGTCGCGCTTCACCCACGCCACGCCGGGCCCGGACCCGTCATGCGGGATGGTGATCTCGCTGACCGGATCGGCGGGGTCGAACCACGAGGTGTAGATGGGGAACGACTCGGAGTAGAGCCCCTCGCGGACGGAGGTGTACGTGAAGGTGCCGGCCTTGCGCGACTGCAGCTCGGCGAGGTACTTCTCCGTGGCGAGGTGGGCGCCCATCACGTGCGCGACACTCACGTCTTCTAGATCGCCGCCGAAGCCCAGCGACGAGTAGAAGATGTGCTTGACGCCGTCGCGGAGGGCGAGGTCAATGGCATGGCGTTGTACCTGGACATGCATTGTTAACTTGCTGATCCAACTTGAAATGACTTGCAGGATTTGAAAAAAAAAAAAAGAAAAGAAAAAAAGGAAACCCCAACCAGGGAAGCGATGATACATACGTTCACGCGAAAATCGATCTCAAACGACGCGTACGAGATGAGCATCAACACGTCGACCCCCTCGAACGCTCCCTCCAGAGAAGTCGGGTCTTCATAATCCGCTCTCCGAATCGTGGCTCCTTTCTGCTTGAACGCTTCGAGATTCTCAGGTTTGCGAGCGATGAGAATCAATTGTGACGCGGGGACAATTTCGATCAGGTGGTTGATGATGCTGGTACCCAAGCCACCGGCGGCGGGGAAGACACCGATTTTCGACATTGTGGTTGGTTGGTGCGTTTTCGACGTCGGACTTTTGTGGCCGGAGGGAGGTGGAATTTTGAATTTAGATTTTTCGTTGAGTATATCTGGGATTGAATCAATTATTGGTGTTTCCTTAAATCCCAAAGACTGGATACCAACCTGTATATATATTTGTTGTCAAGACATTTCTTTGGCTGTGTGTGAGTCTGAAAAGCTCATTACATCATCTTCCTAGAATGACAAATCAGCATGTGGTTGAGTCCACCCTGCCAGAAGGACATGGTTCTTGACCATCTTGATTTCAAATGCGAATTGTGCGCAATAGGCATCTCGAGTCTCCTTTTGGAATTATCTCAATGACATTTCCAGGCTTCAAGTGACGGAGACTCGTTTTGGGCGAGCTCGGAGAACCCCTTTCGGTTGCTTTTTGAGACGTTTCCTGATTCGGATGTTTCCCGTTTTGGCTGTCCCAATGTGGTTAGCACGCCAAGCTTATATGAAGCGGCATAAATCAATTCGATTAATGTATTTTTTAGATGTAATGTAGACAACACTACTGCTCAAATTTGGTTCAGAATTGATTACTTTCATGAATTTACACTGAGCTATGCTATAGTTCTTTGGAGTGTTTTCCTAGTACAGGAGTAGTGGTCAACGAGTCCTTAATTGTTACATCGTGTTCTTGTAATCTAAACTATATATATCTTGATGAACGAAAATCCCCTCACCCTCACAAAGCAATTGGTATCAAGAAGGCTGTAAAAACAGGAAGAACACAGACAGAAGAGAAGAACAAAAAGATAAGAGCATAACCTGTTGACTAGAACACATAACCATCAACAACAGCAATCTTAGTGAACCAGGCCAGCATCACCGCAGCCGAAACCACAAGAAATAGTTTATAAAGAGTAAGGCCAAGCAACGATTCTTCAAGCGAGGTCAGTGAGTCTGTCGGTTTGACATTTGCCTCGCTCAAAGTATCACTTCTTGTCACTTGTGCCTCTTGCGACAAGTTGTCGTTGTCCATTTTCGAGTTCAAGAAATCGCCTAGTTCAAGTTAGGTAGGGACAATCCGATCGATCGGGGTCATTGGAATGACGATGATAAACCTCTACAATGCCAAAGATGATCAACGCGAGGAGGACAGTTGGAAGGATCTGACCGAACCCCCAATCGTTCTCGCTCCCTTGTAACCCTTCCCGAGAGGCCTGGCTCCTGAGATGGACGAGGTACATGGTACCCCAGATGAGAACAATGTAAAGTCGAATCGTGGAAAAGAGTGTAGAGCCCACAATCTGGTAAGTGGAGATGAAAAGAACAAATAGTAGATATGTGATGATTTTGAGTGGAAACCACACCCGCTTCCATGGCTGAGGACTGGCCTCATGTCTGCTCTTCACGATTAAGTAAAGCTTTCCTGGTAACCTGAATGCCCAGCTGACGTAGTATCCTACGACCTCCACCCATGACATATATTCAGGGTAAAGCGAATACATCGTGTTGATGTAGCCGTAAGTCATGAGCACTAGCACCACCAACATGAAAAGACTGACGCGGGGGTACCCCGAGTCCATGTCATTCCAGATACACTGGATGGAGTTACCCCATATGAGAAGAAACTTATCATGGAATGTCACCAGCTGCGACACAAAAAGCATAGGAAAAAGGACAGATATCCACAGGGCTCGCCACCATCTCATCTCTGGATGAGCGCGGATGTAGCCGAGAGCAGCGACAGTAATGGTGTCATGAGCGGCGTAGGCCATCCAGGCCAGCGTACATGTTATCTCAAAGTGATATTGTGTCATGACTTTGTGCTTTGCGAATGATACCAGAAGTATCGCTGTCCCTGTCACAAGCTGCTGGTCGCTCAGCATGATGAGTGCTCGGCAGCATGCTTCTTTAGAGATACCAGGACTGGGGTATTGGCCTGTTTTCCAGCGAAGGACGGATCTTCGGATGGTAGAAGCATATCTGATAAGCATGTGGTCGAAGTCATTTAACATGTCCTCCACCGCGCTCTTCTGTACGAAGAAGATGGTGAATATGGTGGTGACGAAGCTGAACCAGGAGAAAATCAAAAAGGCTAAAATAACCTATTTCATCATCAGTGATGCCTTCAATTAACGTTGGTTCATTTACGTCACTCACTCCCAAACCAGCCTGTCTCTGTATTAGCGCATTTCCACATCGATATCAACTAGTAAACTCACAATGTCAGGGTCCGCGTCAAATGGAACCACCCACATGCAGAGGTCCGTCGCATTATACAAAACCGTTCCATTTGTATTTCGAATAGAGTAGGAACTAGCGGCAGGAGGTCCAATGTAGGGCGCAGTGGCATTATACAACACTCTTCCATCTGTGTTTTGAATCACACTCTGATTACATGGACCGGTTAAACAAGTCGGAACAAGGCAACCTGAGAATTGATCGGCGGACATAATGTCCGCTTACCGATATTGTTCGGGGGTAGTAAAAATACTTTTCGGGGAAGTTATGCATCGAGAGCTTGTGATTCTCATCCTTTTATGAGACGCGACAAACTTGCTTTTTAATTGTGGCAAGAACATTACCTGCATCATCTGGAAAGATATAGAAGACTGCTGCGCCACAGAGACTCATGATGCTGAAGATAATTCGAGGCCTCGTGTTCTAAGCGCCTCGCTATCCTGCGAGGCTGATGCCGAGAGTCTTGCCGAAGAAGCTCAGCCAACCCGCGAGCATGAGAGTGGTTTGGGCACTGCTGAATCGGTTCTCAGTGACTAGGTAGTAAACGCATATCGATTGTATGGCCGCCTACGGCTCAAATGGCTTAATACTGGAGATCAACAAGGCAACCACTCAGGCAACAGGGCAAAGGTATCTCTGGGCAGAAGAAGCGAACCCGGCCGGAAAGTACACGGCCCATCATGACTCTGCACCATTTGCAAGAACTACGGCAAATGTTGAAAAACGTGTTGGTGTCCATGAGTCGGAGAGCAAGGTCATTAGAGTGTTTTGCGCTGTTAGCAGGTGGGCCTTGGTGGGCCTAGCATTGTATTTGCCGAAAAAGTTATTCCTGCTCAACCGCTAGGAAATGAGCTTGAAAGAGGGTCGCAGTTGAGCCGGTGTAAGGATTTTCTCGCCCGGTGTAAGAAAAATCTCTTGACATTCATACACTTGAAAGGGTAGATATCCACACGCAGCTGCTGAGTGGGCCAACTCTTTCCGCTCTTCCATAGGCTGAGCTACGGTACCGTACCTGATCACCTGACGAACATCCCCACCTGACGAACGTCTTTTCCCATACAAAATAACTCGAAATGCTTATCTTTAAAGAGCTACAGTTCAACCAAAAAAAGAGATATTACATTTATATTTTATATTCAGATAAAGAGGAATATTTTATTTACTTTATACATTAAAACTTTAGTCTTTATAAGAAGGTTTATATATTTTTATTTAAGTTAAAATATAGCTTTTTTAGAAATACATTAAAGGACTAAATTAATAATAATATATTGATAAAATTGATAATAATTATTGTTTAATATTACCTTATCCTTAAATTTAGATATTATCTTAAAAAAAATTCAGAAAGGTATTAAAAAGGTATTAAATTACGATAAAATTAAAAAAATAAATATAAAAAATTAAAAAATTAATAATTTATATAAATTTAAATCTATAATAGAAACTTAAATATTAACTAAAGTATTTATAATATAAATACTATAATTATAGTATAAAAATTATATTATATCTTCTTTATTAGTTATATATATTTAAAAAAGAATTAAATATTTTATAATACTTTTAATTAAATTAAATCAACAAATTAATAGATTTAAAAATAAAATAAAAATATAAAGAATTAAAACTTATAATTCTTAATATCTTCTTTTTAAATAAACTTTAAAATAGTATTTATTTATTTTATTATTTTAAAAATACAATTTAAAATACCCACTAGTAATATATAGATAAAATTATAATTAATTAGTAATTTTTATTTTTTTAAGTTTAAATAAATATAATAGAAATAAAATTTATTCTTTATCATTTTTAAACTTTTAAAAATAATTATTATAAGACAGTATTTAAAACTTTAAGAATAAAGATAGCTTTTAAAAAAAAAGCATAAAAAAAGGTAAAAATATTATTAAATCTAAAAGATTTTTAATATTTTTTTGAATAGTATATAAAAGAAATATATAAACCTTAAAGCTAGTATTTTATATAATATTATTAATCATGAATTATAGTAGAATTCGGGTCCTTAAATATAATTATTGAAGTTTAATTGATTAAAAAAACAACCTTTAAATAGAGGATTAGAAAAAAATTTTTCTTTATCTAATATTATTTTCTATTTAGCTTTATAATAATATATTTTTTATATAAATATCTACTAATACTATAATATTATAATATAAAAATTATAAATTTTGATTATTTAAAAACGTTGCTTTTATATATGTACTTATAAAGCTATGTTTATATATTTTTTATTATAAATATATAGAACTATCCTTATAAATTCTCCCTATAAAATATATTTTAAATATTCCTTATTTTGGTTGAACTGTAGCTCTTTAAAGATGAGAATTTTGAGTTATTTTGTATGGGAAAATACGTTCGTCAGGTGGGGATGTTCGTCAGGTGATCAGGTACGGTATCGCATCCTCATCACAATTCGCACAAGGCGACCATGAACCAGTGATCGTGTCAATTTATGATGAAGGCGACTTCTAGTGTGTTGGCTGACATAATCCCTGAGAAAAGCGCCCACAGCATAGGCGTCAATCGGTTTATCAGGGCAATATAGATCCTTCCATAATCGTTCGAGTATGGAATCGATCGTTCCTCAGCGAGTCTCCGAGGTTGCAGACCAGTGAATGGATCGAAATGATGCTTTTGATTCTCGCGATAATGGTTGAAACAGGTTCAAGAGACTGGCAGGCCATGGATAACAAATTAGCCGCGGTATGACCCTAATGTAGTTTTACTTCCTTCCTTTCTGGTCATTTGAGTTTCCCAGTAAGAGCGTTTCTGAATCAGTCGGTAAGTTCAAGTGGGAATTAAGGGGAAAGAAAGTCAGATTGGGCCTAATCTGTAAATGTGAATGAGTAGGATTCCTTGGCATCAGAGCACAGCCCCATCCCTCGTTGTGTATTGATCAAGAGACTGTTGGTTAGTTTGAGAATTGAGACGGTTGTAATCCTGTGCATATATCCCCTGTCAGCGAGTCAGAGCTTGCGGGAATAACCTTCCTTGAAAGTAGTTCTAAGAATGCGGTATACTAGTGGTAGTGGGGTTTCCGAGAAGCTATTGCTATTTTGTGCTATCGCTCTCTCCTATTTTTTCTCAGAATCTCTCCAGGTTCAAGTAATAGAGAGTCTGCTTGACCAGATCATGCGCAACTGAATAGGATCATGTAATTCATGTAATGCAAATATCGCATTCAAAGGGGGCATTACCGAGACAAGTCTTTCTCCCAGTAACTCATTACCAGATTTCTAACATGTGTAAGAGTACTCTCTTTACAACATGCAAAGCATGCGTCATGGAATGCCCAGAGAATGCTGACGCAGTAGGCGGAGGCTATGCTGGTTCTCAATTAGGGATAGCGTCGAATTTACCTCAGGATTGCATGTCTTCCCCGCTCCAACGAATATCTAACGGGTGACGCTGCGCAAGTTCGAACTTCAACTTTGACAAGTTCTCATAAGATATGGCGACACTTACCGTCGCTTCAAGGGCAAATCTAGCTTTTGTTCTTCCAGCTGTTCTAGGGGCAATATATGTTTCATAAAGAAGCCACACATATACTCTTCGAATTGAATATCAAGATGTTGAATCACTAAGCCACGGCGAGAGGGTACATTTAACAACTAACAAAGGAAAGCTAATAGCTGACGGAGCAATAATGTACTATTTGATGAATATTTTGGATATTTCACCATCAGAACAATTACGAGTATGTCATCTGCCCTCCTCACGCAGATATCCAGCTTATAAGTGCAGATCAATGATTGGCTCCGCCGAGCTAAGCACCTGTCTGTACCAGACTTCAAATGTCTAGAGCAGCCTGTCGATGAGCTTGAGCTGCATCTCACACTCCGTTCTTACATCGTCGGATACTCCGCAACGTTAGCGGACCTTGCAGTGTGGGGTGTCATCCGCGGAAACGAATTGATATACGATCTTCGCACGAACTACATAAGTATCGGTCGATGGTTCACATTTATCGAAGCTAGCAATCCTTGGATGGCAACTGCAGTAGAGAATCTGAACAGCTCTGCTGGTCGAGAAAGAACCATTCCTTGTGCTGCTGGCGTACACCATAAGACCGGTTTCAAGAACACCATCACTGGCATGGTTAACCGATTATTTGATTAGCTAGCAGGTATCTGGATGAATCACCTCATTCTTTGAGAGTTTATTTTGAGACAGGGTGAGCAGAAACCGGTTCCATATGATGAGACACTCTTGGGCGGCGGACAAGAAAATGAGGACCCGAATCCGCCTCGACATACGGCTGTTCTGGAGCTGAACCCTGTGATAGCCACAAGTGACGAAGCCGATAGCACGAGTATGCTAGACAAACGAGCTCTCTATGATTGAGAAGGGTGTACTACGATAAAGTGGCTTTCCTCAGTCAAGCGGATGCTGCCTCTTCCAAACAACGAAGGCACCGCTATTATCAACTAAAAAGACGTTCGTCGTTACCGAAATTTCTCACCATGAGAACGGGGAAGTCAAAGCTCCACACATGGGTGTTCGAGTTCCGCTATAAGGGATTTCCAAAAGACTGTCAGATGCGGTTGGGATGGCTAACCAGTGGCCCGATTAGCCTGCCCCGAACTTGTATACTTTGTCCACCCAGTCACCAACGGAAGACATGGTAATGATTCATTCTTCTCGAATTAAAAGGACCGAGCTCAGAGATAGCTCATGAAAAGACTACGGATTATGTGTTCCAGACAGGGTGCTACCTTTTAGTTCAATCGCATCGGCTGTTCTCGATTCGATAGGTCACATCGTTGGGATGAATCTTTGATATGCCACCTATCAAGGCGGCGGATAGGGACAGAAGATGAACATATTATATGCTTCTGCGGTACTCTTACTACTTCGCTTCGCACTCTTGGGAGCGAAAGCGTCGCACGAGTCATGCTTCTCCCCGGAGAACTGTGAATCTTGTGTCCGGAAATGAAACTAAGGAGAACGACGGCGAGAAGACAAACAAGGCTCTGGAAGGCAATGTTTCATTAAAGCGGTCGCGCAACGGTGGCGCGCCTGTCTTACACAATATAACCCATAGCAGTATGCACTTTACGTTCTAGACCATATTTCAAATATCTGAAGTACTCCGGAGTATGTTGAATCAACCCCTATCTGCGACTCGGAAAAACCGAGTGCTCTCCACTTCTGATAGCTACCCACTTTCCGTCAACGGTCAACAACAGCATGATCGATTGAATTAAACTCCGTGCCAATTTCGTCCATACATATAGAGCAATGCTTAAGGCTGATTCTATTATCCAATTACCCATACCAATGTCAGACACTGCTCGTAATCTTTAACTATTCAGGTATAAACCCGTGCGATGCCCTGAACCAGCAACCAGACTAAACCGCAAACCTACCGGTCTCCATCAACCTCAAACAGATCAGCGCCCCTGAGTCAACATCGGCATATTAATCTCATCAGAACCGCTGGCTCTGTCCCCAGCGTCCCACCAATAGACGAATCCATTCAATCAACGCGCCTATTAATCCCGAATGTCAGAGCTTGTCTCGCATACTCCACCCGGGAAACCCTTTCTAGTGTTCCACTCGTTTTAACCTCCTAATTAGGGCTGACCCACCCGGAGAATTGCCAAACTTAAATACTCAAAGGTGTCACCTCGAGAAGGTTGAGAGAGAAGAACCACGGATCAGTCACTCTTTTTCCTTCCACCAAACTTCCATTCTTTCGATTTACTTTCTCTCGCAGCCGGTCTGCATAATCACCACATTCTAGCTAATATGCGTTCCTTCGACCTCATCCCCACGGCCTTGGCTCTGGCCGCTCCCGCCGCCGCTGGCATGTACGACGACTGGCACTTCGGTAACATGTTCGTTCTGGGCCCTACCAGCGACGACGTCTCCATCACCAAGGCTACCTACTCGCTTGAGACCCCGTCTGTACCCTGCGGTGTCAAGCAGACCCGGGACGAGGCCCCTTGGTTGTCCATCTGGGTCGGTATCTCCGCCAGCATGTCGGACCAGTCGGCGGATTTGTTCCAGCCTTTGCTGAACTGGTCGCCCGATCAGGAGGCCCAGTATGTTAAATCCTTTGACTTAGATTCGTGGGAGTGTGCTAATACGTTATAGGGGCTGCCCTGCCACCGATAAGGAGTGGTGTGTCGCTACCAGCACCTACCACTTGTGTGAGTATCTCTAGATCTGGGAAGAAACACCACAGCAGAGTAAATCAACTAACACACACCCACAGCCGGCCAGGTCCAGCAACCCTACGTCACCGTTCCCAATGGCTCGAAGATTGACTTCACCAGTACGTACATGCCAGCCATTCCCTCCATCTTCTCTCAGCGCCAAAACTAACACAAAATCCTACAGTCTCCGTCGAGGGCGACAAGATCAAGCAGGAAGTTGTCATCGACGGCAAGACCGTCTCGGAGCAGTCCGATGACAAGTCCGTCACCCCCAAGTACATCTACTCCAGCAACGAGTGCTACCTGAACACCTGCGGTCTCATGGACGGCTACACCTGGAGCGACGTGACCATCGAGCTTGACGGCAAGGACCCCAACTTCGGCGAGACCCTGTCCTTTGTCGGTGGTAACTCGGACGGTCTGACCACCTCCGATGGCGGCAAGACCTGGACCGCCAAGGCCCTTAACATCAACAAGGACACTTCCTTCAATGAGGACGGTGCTGGTTCTGGATGCTCTGCTTAGATTGACGCTGGGTTTGAGTAGAGGGTGCTTTTTAATTATATGTGGGTACTGTACATGCTCGTGGTTCCTTTCGATGTGTACATTTTTTACCTTTATACCTACGCCACCAGGCAGACAAGACATTGAATAATATCGACTGTACAGAGCCTAGAGATTATCTCAGATCCTATCCCCAGAAATCCACTCCTTAAAAGCCAAAACCAAACCTAGCTACCCCGTACTAAGAGAAAGTAATGTACTTTTCCTGACGGGAATTAAAACTCAAATCCTCAACTTTAGCCATGAATCAGCATGTTTCGATCTCCGCCTTCTCTCCGGGCCTCCACCTCAACAGATATCATCTCCCAAGTTCCCATGTTTATCCTCGTTAGACCAAAACTCACACTTACGAACACCCTCCATGTATCAAAATCACGGTCAATTACAAGCTTACGGCCACAGTCATCCATTACAAACCGAGCTCCGACCCACACGCTCACCCCCATCCCCCCCGGGATTGACCCCATGCCCCACAGACTGAATCGCTATCTTTCAACAGTTCCACAAATAATGCATGTCAAATGCCATTACTCTGTGAATACTCACTTATCATACAATTTATGAAACTTAAGATAATCAGATTTATAAGAGGATGGTCTCCTCGCTGGAATATATTTTGTACTACATATAGAAAATAGATGTGTTTAACTATTGGGTTGCCTCGTCCGGGGTACCATGAATGCGAAAGCCACGATGCCGCACCAGGACAACGGCTACCTTAATTTTAATATTCTCGGGACGTCGCGCACTGGGAAGCATCTCAACGACGACTTTCAGGAAAATTGGCTCGGAAATGTGCAATCATGAAAATACCGATAGGGCTAAATCCCTACCGGACGTATGCCGCAATGCAAGAAAATCTGCATAGTTGACGTCGATTCTCGGCGCAGACGCAGATCTATCTGGTGACGTGTGCAGGTAACCCCTGCTTAATCGCCGTCTGGCGCCGTCCAGGCCCGATTGTGATGGTCACCACTACCCCGGATCGAAAGGCTGAAGCGGTGCGAAAGATAGCCAAATCTATGCTCTATCCCGGGTCTATACAAAATAAAACTGCCACTAAAGAAATGCCAGGATGAAATGAACGTTCCTGGTGCCAGGCTTACTGATCCTGAGCTTCATCGAGGGGTTCTTTCTCCAAGCTAGAGGGGTATCAGAGGTCAGAATGGGCGATGATATCCTGCACGTGCCCTTTCATAAGGCTAGTGCAATCTGGAATGATGATGAAGGGCACTTTCAACAGGGTGGTCTAGCCACTGAAGAAGATGAAGACGACTGATGGTGACTGCTGCCGCTCTGAATGGCACATGCATCTGCTGCGCTCATACCGTAGCCATAAGGCTAAAAAACCGTTAATGCGTTTAACCAGTTCCCCAGTCGTGATCTTACGAGGCGTCCAAGATCCGTGGACCCATCTGCGCTGACGCAAACTTCAGTCAACTCCCGAAGAGTCCTCTCTATGTACTCTCCCGCACCGCTGAGTTTCAGAATATGTGCGATGGCACAGTGGGTCTTGAGGAGCTTACTAGCGGGCGGATCAATTGTTAGCTCGGGGCTGAGATGAAGTTCTCGGGTTACCGGGAACAAGAAATCGCGCAGAAAAGGCCTCTGTTCAGTAGAGTCGATGGTATATGTTCGCCCAAGGCTAGGGTCTTTCTGCTCAAAATATATCTCAAATTCTCCAAAGAGCCGATGGTGATTGAGTGTTAGCGTCAAAGCATTGTAGGGGCTATCAATCTCCGGCCCCCCAATAAGAGGACCGATGTCGGGATCGAACATATCCAGAATGTACAGCGCAGCCTTTTTCGAGTCGCTCTGCATTGATGATTAGAATCAAATCAGACACCTGCTCAACCACTGGGCCCACATACCAGTTCTGAATCTTCAGACGAAACTGTCGCGAGGGAATGGGGGATTATATGTGCCACCTCCAGATACTCGAATTGGTCACTCCTTTGATTCCTCAAGAGTTCTCCGTCATCATCTTTGCTGTTCTCGTTCTGCTCAAGTCGCTTTTTCGCTTCGGCCCGATCGAACTTGCGCGATACAACGCAGCGATGATGGTCGCGTTTAAGGGACTCTTGTCGTAATCTAGACACGCGACTTTTAGTCCCCGTTGCTCCATGTTGATTGGAAGATAACGATAAAGGTGTAGGTTGGGGTGTTTTCGCTGATGACGCTCGGACTACATTTGCATCATAGAGTTAGCGTATGCCATGGTCAACTAATCTTGCCAGGAAACCGTCAACTCACGCGGCATGAAGAAATTATCGATTAAATATTCGGCAAAGCTATCGACGGTATCCATAGCTGCGTCTTTGGCCTTCGAGCTCCACGACGAGAAATCGCGAAAGTAGGCGAACACTTCAGAAAAAGCCGAAGCAGTTCTGCGCTCTCCATCAGGAGATACATTCGTGGATATGTAAAAGAGGAAGTATTTGAGGAACTGATCCTTGCATTGGACGCGGTCAAAGGTTTCACTCATGAGAGCGGCCGGTTTATAACGCCCTTTTGATGTACGCTCAGGTCCATGGTCGATCAATGTCTTGAAAAGGTTTTGTGCTATTTGACTCTCTTCCGGTGTCACGGGCGGCCCCCGAGGTGGATGGATAAACCCCATTATAACGGGAAAACCGGTGTCGACCATGTGTGCCATTAGAAGTTGAAACACGGTGGCTTGTGAATGTTGTTTGCGATCAAGACGTGGTTGTAGGGTGGGTGCGGGACTCCTCGATACCCACTCCGCCCGCGGGACAAGGCACGTGAACGTCGTCGATCTTCCTGGGATCGTGTTGAAGTGCGGAGTTGACTAAGCAGTTGCGGTAAGGCGATCATCGCCTTGCTCGGCAGCGAAATTGCGGTATTGCGCATTCTGCAATATTGCAATATGAAGCTATAGAATAGCGGTCAAAATAAGCGATTCTAGCATTATAAATAGACCTCTTAGATAGCCGGAAAGGAGGTCTTCAACACCTTCAATCTACTCGTTTGATATAGCCAATTCAATTGCTTCATTCAATCGTTTTTTAGTGGTCCAATCTATCCGGATCCTTAGTCATTCTGCTTGCCAAGCCTTCGCCCTTCCACAGATCGACAAATCCGTCATCCAGTTGGTGATTTAACTAACCAGTCAACAACACGAAGATATTAGCTTAAGCGCAAAGCTCAGAGTTTGGAAGAACAGAGTCACGCACGAGATTGACGAAGACGCAGAGTTCTACTACCTGCTAAGAAGCTTTAAAGATTTCACAACGCGGAAAAGGTATGTTCCATTACCCTCCAATCTTACAAATTCCGGAGTAGTTCTGTAACGCATTATTCTAGACCTAGAGCCCCCATTTCACTTCATTGCAGACGGCGAGAAGGCATTATGACTCGAAACGCAAACCCAAGGGTGGAAAAGATCTGGACTGCGCGTAGATGCTTACTCCACAGTAGCCGCAACCACCGAAGCGGTCTTCTGTTTTGCTGCTGCTTACAACAGCAGAATTTGAACCAGAGGTGCTACACCCCCATAGCTAGTTAGAAGGGAATAGGCTAACTAGTTATACGAACTTGATGACTTCAGCAATCAACAAAGACTGTGAATCTGTGAATATAGCATTCTATGATAACATGATTTCAAATTAACGAGGGACTAGCATATTCATTCACTCAATAAAAGCAAGAAATAAGAAAGAAGAACAGGTGAGGAAGGCAGAATATTTAGAGGTTCATACTGCAGTTTTGTGTACTGGTTCAAAACGAAACAGCATAAAATGAAACCAGTGAAACAGCATCCAAATGACAATATCCCGGCAGGTATTAAGCTGCAAACTCCATGGGCCGATAAGGAGGCGGAAGGTCCTCTGCAGCAGTGGAAAAGGTAGCAAACCTTTCTTTCAGCCAGTTCCACACACTTCCGAGAAGGCTCCAGATCTTGCTGACAGCCCTCTTTATCCATGAAATCAGGCTGCCCCACGGGATGAAGTACACAGCTGCAGCGGTGCCAAACGCGCAAGCAGCAACCGGCGCTGCTATTGACATGGTTGCTGATCCGCTGATATAGCCGGCAAACAACTTTGCACCCAGCCAATGAGTTGCATACAGGCCTCCAGAGCTCACCTTGATGCCAGCTTTGAATTTCATTGTCCCCGCTAAAATACCAAGCAGGGAAGCAACAACCCCTTTCCAGCGCTCCCACCAAGTATCTCCCTTTTCCTCACTGGTGCCCGAAAGGCTGTCCATATTATCACGCAGCTGACCCCATGATTCATTAGAGATAGAATCCAAGTTGACCTGACCATCACATTTACCGAGGTCGAGGCCAAGATAGACATGTCCCTTGAATTCTACCACGTGCCTCCTGTATTTTTTACCCCTGCCCTCCCACTGCGGAAGTTCGACACCGCAGAAGGTCGATGTGTCCTGAATGATCAAGTGATTGGCACAAGGGAACTGAGGTCTTGTGCGGCAGTGCTTAATAGTGAGGCTGCGAAAACGGGATGGTATATGGAAGGATGTGTTGGTGATATATGGACTGAATAGCAGACAAAGATCATTTCGACGACGCGAGGACTGGTTGTATGCTGCGTTGATGGCCTCGGGAAGACGTGCGCAGGTGGTTGGTATCACCATTCTTGCTAAGCAAATATAAATAACCATGGTCCAGATCTCAGCGAGCACTCAACTTACACTTTCCCCAACGCCGAAAATGCCACAATCTGGGCCTGAAACTCTCTGCTACAACAGCAGAGCTAGCTTCCAACGCAAAGATAGCAACGACTATCTTATATTTGTATTCTCTCTCCTCGATAGCCCTTGAAACCTGCTCTACTTCATCCGCACAGATTTGCCGAGGGGTTGCCGAAGAGGACTTCCGACTGGATGATGGCTTTGGAGGCATATCGAGGGCTTGGACCTGTGTGTAGAGAAAGTAATGCAAAGAAGCGGGCTTACCGAGCCCTCAAGGAAAGCGGTTTGGATTTTGTTTGGGAGCTAGAAATCCAGAGCGTTGGCTCGAGGTGCAATGGGTATTTATAGACGTCCTTTTAGCCATGACACATGGTTCTCCCTGGTACAATTACTCCGGGACGACTAGATCCAACAACCACATTTAAAATAATTCTCCATTCCAGCAGCTAGCTGGCCAAAGCTTTTGGTATCTGTTCCATCTGCGATGCCGCTCATTGGAGCATGCCTGCATGATGCACCTGCCAGCCTCAGGTGTTCATCCAATGAGCCCGACCGCTGTGCTCCTAGCGCCAAATGCACGAATCTCTTAAGTTCGCAGCAAATAAGGGTGCGTTGCCGGCCTCCTCTCTCATAATTCTTTAAGTCTGACGTGTCGTTGAGCGGGGCAGCTCGGCAACTCGGTCTCGCTGTAATGGCCAGTTGCCATCGTTTTGGAGAAATCGATTTGAATTAATTTCTATTCTATTCGACTAAAACGACGGTAGTAAGAGATGTTGTCCATCCCATGCTCTCCAGTGTTACAAGCTTAAATTTGAAAGTCCTACTTAGATGCTTAATGTGCTATATATTTAATCAGTTGGCTCGTCTGGGTTCGAAAGCAGCTGCGAAATAGTTGCATCAAGCGACATTTCTGGCGACAGTCAATAGTCCTTATCATTTCCTCCCAATTAAAGACTCTTTCACTCAACATACCAGCCACAGTCGAAATGATGTCCCACAGGCTCACTGAACAAACTGAGCCTATCGACCACATTGTCTGGCTCCCCGAGGTACTTTCGCTGAGGAGCGGTATCTCAAATACCAACACGACGGTTCAAATAGCCCCAGCATGTGCAGAGCTTGATGGATGGGCGAGCATTTTCCAGCCCCTTGGGAGCATAGGATGCGTGCGCAAATTTCAGCTCTACACGGGGTTACCATTGAAAGAGATCAGAGGTACATGGAGACAACAGCCTGGAAACACAGACCATGGAGAAATCCCCTGGAGTGAGCTTACGGACTCCATAAAAAGGGTCCATCGTCTCGGCGGGCGGTGGAATGATTTGATGGCCATTATGAAGCTGGTCCATGGGTTTGCTGCAACGTATGCTGCACGAGGCTCCAACCACCCTTTCCACAACCAGATTGTGAGCCATAGCTAACAAAGCGCAAAGGAGACAGGCATACATGCAAAGCGAAGAACTAAGGAACGCAGGGGTAGTAAAACCACAATCACGATCGCGTGATTATACCTCAAGCAACCGGGAAGTTTCTGTTGAAAATGAGAGTCGACGGGCTAGGCACAAGTGTCGGGTGCCGGTCCGGGCTGGAAAGGAATCTCAAAATGAGGAGCATTTGGGAGAGAATTTGAAGGAGTTGTTTGACTTCGAAAGAATTCTAACCGACCTCGTTTTCGAAGACGTCACTTACCATCGCACTATTCCTATCGTCAGTAGCCCGGATTCATATCTACAACAAGAGGAAATGCTGGCCTGCACGCATACTTTCTTCCTCGATATATTCGAAGGTGGGAAATGGACGGCAGACCCCTTCCGATTATTTCCACCCAAGGGGACCATGAGCCATGAGGGTGATTGGAAATGGTTAAGTGATGCATGCTTTGGTATCGGTGTCCTAGCTAAGAAGAACATGAACTTTGAGGCATCTCAGAAAGCACGATGCGTTTTTGCAAAGCTCAACACTGTCATTGGCTCCGACGGTCCGCATCTGATGGTGAAGTTTTGGCGGATATGTCGATACCTATATGGATTGCAGTCTTCGCTGAAAGACTTCGGGTTACTTTACGAATTTTTAAATCATTGCGGAGATCTATCGAAGGCCAGAAATGGGGTTACAAGTCCAATAACTCGACTTTTCCGACTTTTCGCCGGGATGGACCCAAGCACCATTCTATGGGGTTTACGTATAGGTCAACTCCGTGCAATCCAGAGCCTGCAGTTGAGAATTGGCAAGGGCCACCCAACCGTATTGTCTATGTGGGTTTACTATGCTAAACAGTGGGGTATGGAAGACCACTACAAAAACCTTTTGATCTCTCATTTCAAAGAAGCCATCGGGAAAGCAGAGGATGTTTTCGGCGAGAGCTCCAACCTAACGATTTCGATTCTCCATGATTTTACCTACTATGCCAGATACTGCATCCAAGACAATAAGTCTCTTACGGAAGATCTGGCGTTGAAGCTTCGCACACGGACCGAAGCACGGCTGTCAGCGATACACCGGCCACATTGGGGGAGTCAGGTACAGTACTATGTCTTCGCCACCCAGGTACTAGCAAAGTCTGTCCATGATCGAAAGGACAGACATTTGGCCGAGAGCCTCCTCGAAAGGACTGCAGTTATTCTTGAAAATAGTGACGTTGAATGCCAAACTCGTGCAATGATGCTGTTAGAGCAGCTGAAGCGATCGTTACTGAAACGGGGCGCTTATGCCACAGCCCAGAGCATACAGCAAAAGAAAGATGCGTTGCAAGATTCAATTAGTCAGAGCGTGGAACGACAGTCCTCTGCTTTGATTATTGACAGAACACCCGAGGTCTAGGTAGCATTTCTAGGATAATAAATAGTGATTTAGATGACTGCTCTCAGACACCGTTCTGATCAAGTCCCTTATCAACCAAGGTACACTTTAAACTTACTTGGACGTCGATATGGTCTACGAAAAGCATAGGTAAGTTATATATATCATTGTAGAAAACAACAGGCGGAAATATACTATAGCCTCTTCGCCTTCCCGTATTAAGCCATTGAAGTCGATTTTGACCCTGCTGAACTTAAAGAATAAGTTAGATAGAAATTTCTATCAATATACTAGTTCTAGCTTATATAACCCCTAGAAATCAGAAGATTCTTAATGAAGGTTTTTAGTAGAATGCGTTACGCACCGGCCCGTTCACCAACCGCGCCACATGCCAAAAAGGCTCAATGAATGTACTGACAGAGCGTGCGCCCCCAACACGAAAAACGAACCAGCCCCTCCCCCTCCCTCCACTAATCCAGCACAACGTCACACCCCTCCTCCCGTCCCAAGAAAATATCATCGAAAAGAACATGACCAGTATACGAAGAGCCCGAGAAAGTACAACTCGCGCCGACATGAAGAACGTCTCTCGAGTGCCTCGGCCGATAAGTTCCCTTCAGCTCAACCCATTCGTCCTGGGTGAACAACAACTCCGAAGCAAGTAATCCAGACGTGGAGTTCGAGCCATGGTAGGCGAAGACGCCGCAGTAGTTGGCTCCATAGTTGGGCGATCTAGCCTGTACGCTGAAGGTGTAGTTGGCGCCGATGGTGAGGCCGTTGATGTATTGGGAGATGGAGTTGCCGCGGTTGCCGACGGCTGTTTCGAGGTTTCTTGTTTTCACCGAAAGGGTTAGAGACTTGGAGGCTTCTAACGAGATGGGGAGAGAGGAGAAGGAGGAGTGGGAATACAGGTAATACTCGCCGTCGAGGACGGGACTGCCGGTGCTAATCTGCGCTACGTCGACTGCGCTCGGCACCCAGGGTGAGAGAGCACCCGTCTCGAAAGATGGATTGGCCAGCACGTTGCAGGAGGAAAGGGCCATTGTGTGACTGGACTTTTATGTGTTGACCAAACTTGGATTGTCTTCAACACTATCCAGGCTAAAGAAATGAGCGCAGAACTCGCTCTCTTATACACGTCGAGCCGCTCCACCACCAGCCGGATATAATCTCAGACCATCCCGTATGGCCCGCCTGAAAACTAATCATCTAAGACCACGCCAATGAGCTTGTCCTCGTTAGCTTATGTCTAAGAATAATGATGGTAGCTGTCACGCCTGGAAGCCTACGGGTGGCTGGACACGGATGACGCATCGGCGTCAGCGAAGACTTTAGGGCTTACATGTGCCAGCCACATTTCATTGGATGGGAAATCAATTGAAGAGTGCGATGAGTTAACAAGCCTGTCTGCGGCTCGGGTACCTCGTATTTGACCCGATGTGTCAAGCCTGTCCGAGGGTAGTCATACTGGAGCCGAAAGTTCTCGGCGCGCGGGGCATGGGGTGTTTCTAGGATATAAAGACTTTGGGTCTGATGGTAAGTTCTCTCTTCACTGCAGTCGGCACAATATTACCTCCTTTCAACAACACAGATACATTGTACACTCTAACGTCATTCTTCCCGGGTTTCTATCTGCAGTGAAACATCATGGATCCTAACAATAATAATCCCAACCAGGTGAAAGGAACCTGGGAGCCACAATTCACAGACCTGTGTGGTATCCTAGAAAAGAACATCGCCAACGGATCCGAAGTCGGAGCCTCAATCACAGTCAACGTTGACGGAAAAAGCGTGCTCGACATCTGGGCCGGATATCGCGACGAAACACGATCGGAGGCATGGGAAGAAAATACGATCGTCAACGTTTTCTCGACCACGAAAAACATAATCAATCTTGCCATGTTGATACTGATTGATCGAGGCCTACTTGACCCGCACGAGAAAGTCTCCAAATACTGGCCCGAGTTTGCCCACAACGGCAAACAAGATGTCGAAGTGCGCCATCTCATGTCTCATACTTCGGGGCTAGCGGCTTGGGACGAGCACATGGAGCTATCAGACCTGTACAACTTCGAGAGCGCTGCGGCTAAATTAGCGGCTCAGCCTCCAGCATGGACACCCGGCACAGCGTCAGGCTATCACTCTCTAACTCAAGGATTCCTGCTGGGCAAGCTCGTCCGTCAGGTAACCTCACTGACGCTGACGGAGTTCGTCGAGAAAGAAATCGCATCACCATTAGGAGCCGATTTCCAAATCGGAGCAAAACCGTCAGACTGGCCACGCATCGCAAACATGATCGGATATCCATTCCCAGCACGCCCCGATCTAGACGCCGACTCGGTTGCATACAAATGTCTTCACAACCCGATGTTTCCATTCGAGACCGCAAACACGCCCGAGTGGCGGAGCTCCGAGCTAGGATCTTGTAATGGACACGGCAACGCTCGATCCGTTGCGCGCATTCTCTCTGTGATATCAACAGGCGGGGAAGTAGATGGCGTACGTCTGTTGAAGCCCGAAACGATCGATTTGATCTTCCAAGAGCAAGCGATGGGTCCCGATCTAGTCCTTGGATTTCCATTCCGATTTGGCATGGGATTCGCACTGACTGCACCGGATCTGTGGCCTCCGTACCTCCCGCCGAATGGCCGAGTGTGCTGGTGGGCTGGGGCAGGAGGATCGATTGGCGTGATGGATTTGGACCGGCGGATGACGATCGCGTATACGCCGAATAAGATGCAGGCGCTGGGGCCGGCCGAGGGGTATATTGAGTGTATCTATAAGGTCTTGGATGGATGACCGTTGTTAATTTGGTGTGGGATAATTGTCATTGTGGCTGTGTATATGGAGGCGAATGCTGTTAGGTGGAACAGCAGAACGTTCCAAGGGCGTTATGATAATAGGATGGTTGGATTTTTAAAGCATAGCCTCCGTCGAGAAAGATCGTTCATATTAGACTTATACTCGTTCATATATCACCTATCTCCTTGAAGCTATGCACAAAGCGGGGGGTATGTTTGAGGGCAGGGTGATCTGATTATGATGGCCCTGCTGAAACCCAATCCTACTTCTCTGTGCAGCCAAACTGTAGACAAAAACATTGTCAGCCGTGCTGCTTCGTATAGAGATGACATCCACATTATGAAGGAAAGTTTAGTTATTTGTTGCGCAGGACGGTGCGGGGTCAGTGGGCTCCACGTCACCTCGTAGTGTTAACATATCCAATCGTTGCCCGTTTGGGCTCTACTAGTTAGACAGGTCATATTACTCTGTAATCAGTCGGCATTGGTTTTAGCGCGGGCTGCCAGATGTTTTGACAGTCTTAAGGCTCGCAGTGTCGTCCCAGACAGCACTTCATTCATGTTCAGACACACCGAGAACGAAGGCCCCGGCAGCTCAACATAGAGGTAGGACAACAGGAATCTAAGAGTCGATACCAAGCTCACCATGGCCCGTCATCCAACCTACATCTTAGCGCCAAATCTTCAGTTTAAGGCAGAAACAGGGCCTATTGCACTGGGCAACCTGATTGCCGACCCTTTCCGACCGCACCGTGCCCTTACATCTATCACCCCAACGGCTCTCCAGCAGAATTATCCACGCATTAAATCCGTTACGGACCATGAATTTAGCAAATTCTCGACTTCATCCCGCGATGTATCAATGAGCGTGTGGGCACATTTTGTGCACGCAGTGTCGGCCAAAATATCAAGAAACCACGGCTCAACCCAACGAACGGAGTATACCATGGAGGCACTCGAAACAAACTATATGGTGGAGGACCCCTCGCCTGAGGAGATCAGGGCGCGGGTGGCTGTGCCGAGAGTTCAATCGTTTATGAAGGCCGGCAGCATACCGGGGTTCAGACAACCGGTGTACATGGTTACGGGTGTAAAGATCGCGAATGGACTGAGGGCATTGGAAGAATGGGGGAAGCACGGCGCAACCGAGGTTGATATCGGCAGCGATGCTCCAACACCTGCCGGGCAGGTGGCAGGTGGGGTGAGCACAGCTCGGTCTTCGAGTGCTGAAGCGAGTGGTCGGTGGAAGGCGGCGGATAATATTGTGTTCGCGTATCAGCTGCTAAAGATTGAGGTCAAGGGCTGGAAGGGGGCCAGGGTGGAGTATGACGAGCTGAGACACAGGGCTGCGTTTCTGAACAACGATAGTGAGGATGACGACGAGTTGAACGGTGCGAATAGCGGAGTATTACAAGTCTCGACAAGTGCTGCACGCACAAATAATCTGCCAAGGCTAAGCAACATAGACCACTTTACATCAGTGAGTTTGGGCGAGGGCGACGACCAGATTACATGCATCTCAGCAGTTGACTCGTGAAACCCCGATTTTTGCTCTATTCCAAAGTTATCATGCACCGAGAGTATTCACTGGACCTTTCGCATCGCTACCACAAAATTTGCCCATCGAGTTTCGTCATCTAATCCTGCCAAGCTCCATGGCGTCACATAGAGACATCCACATTTCAGCGTGTCAGATGCCAAGTGACGAAACATCGCTTGCATCCCCTTGCATGTGGACAGCTTTTTCTTGACATCGTCGAATGCATATATCCCTGATTTTGAATTTACGTAGGCCAGTAAAATGCCAGCTATTCCCGCCGCAACCGCTGTCGCGACTGAGGTACCCGACTTGTATACTTCATCGGCAGCCAGTCCAGCGGCCGGGACATCCACGCCCAAAGTCCCAAACACGGCTACCTCCCTCTCACTCCGGGGCGGGTTGAAATCTTCAAAGTTGCCATTGGCATTGGTGCCACGAACCGAGATCACGGAATCAAGATATGCGGGAAACATTTCCCTCTCGTTTGCTCCAAAATTTGAAGCCGCAGCGAAGAAGATAATTGATTCTTCACGTTTGTCCAGCGCTTTGCGAATGGCCTTACTGATATTTGGCTGCTTATCCGCGAAACCAAAGGACATGGACACTATGTCGGCTTCACATTCTTCGGCTGCCCAGGTTATGGCCTAACACTAAACATTAGCACGCGGCCTTTTGTGTAGAAGTTATTCCCTGAAGCTCATTCATACCTCTGCAACGTTCCTGTCTGCATTACATAGCTCTTGGGAGCATTTAGCGACCCGGGCAACATATACCTCCACTTGTGGGGCAGCCTTCATAATTAGAGACACTAGATGAGTTCCATGTCCATTGTCATCTCGTCTCGTCTCTGAATGGTCTATCCAATCTTTCCACCCCTTCAAACGTGATCTGTTATCCGGATGAAAGAAAAACGGGGCATCATCGTCGCATCCCGTATCTAAGACTGCTATACGGACTGGTCGGTCGAGTTTCAGGGGGCCCATTTGGCCTAGCTCTCTTGTAAGACGCTGCATCCGTCTCAGCCACTGTACGGCAGCCTTTTGGCTTTCCCTGGGGGGTATCCCCGAGGCTGCCGGGGCTATTTGCACATCCGCTGTGTTGTTAGCTTTAAACCCGTGACATAGGGGGTGTTATCTTACTAGAGTCATTCTCAAGGCCTTCTGGGAGCCCAATGGTTGACGGGGCCCTCTGTCCCTGTTCCACGTTCACAGCGTACTTCAAAATAAACCTGCCTTGACAAGATGGAGTTACGGTGAGAATTGCCGAGTCCAGACAATGATCAGCTGCTGCTTTACCCGGAGCCTGCTCGACCATCTGTGACGGACGTTCGATACCGGACTTCTGAAGCTTGCCATGCGGTGTCCGCAGGCAGCTTGTCTCCGAGATGACCAAATTACTGGATCCGCTTTGTTCGATTAGCGCTGCTCGCTCTGGGGAGTAGTTAGTAGTTATGTGGCCGTCGGCGAGAGCACACTTCCTTTTTTGATCGGAGCTGGACCTGTTAGAAAAACCGGTGCTCACTTCAGTCTCCCAAGTTAATTACGCACCTGCTTTCATCAGACGTGCAATTCCAATGATTGTGTAGACCGGCATCAGGAAGTCCGTCAGTACTTTCCTGCAGACCTGCCGATGATAACTCCCTATTAACCGTGTCCATCTTCGTTCCGACCCTGCCCCCGTCACCAAGTTGCCTGAAATCCCGCATCTGACGAATGGTTTTTTCCGTCCTGAGAAGACTAGACGTCAGATTCAACAGTCCTCGTTGGATCCACGCCTGGGGCCTGCCATAAAAAGGGTCTGCATATTCGTCTACTAAGTCGATGAGTAGACGATAGTTTTCAGGAGGAGGACGAGGCCACTAAAAGGCAAACATGGAGTTAGTTTTGCAGACGATAACAGTCGAGGTAGACGTTTCAACACCACTAATTTTGCGCCCGAGATACATAGTGAACCAAGGTTTCCCTTACGCTGCAAAACCTCTCCAAATCTCTTACGATATCCAATGAACGTGATAGCAACCACTCTTCTTGGCGAACCCTCGCCATATCGAGGTAATCGGCAACTAGGAACAGTTCTCTGCCAAGCTCTTCGCATATCGGCCGCCTGTATCTCACACTTAATTCCACTGCTTCATAGGCAACGCACCTGATGGCAACGGGAATCAGTTTCAGCCAGTCATTGGAAGTCATGATGGACAGCTAGGATAGTGAACAATGCTTGGTAGAGTTCGTTCTTTCAAGACAATAAATGTCTGGGTAAGGTGAGCTAGAGCCGGTGGGGTAATCTTTCGTTGTTGGGGTTGGTGATGAGTTGGCTCTATGGCTATCATCATCGGGCTAATATGAGGCCGTACAGCGTGATTGTGATGCAAATGGATACCTAATTCACTCATGTATCCGATAGGTTGTCTGGTAGTGACAGGGATACTAGCCATTGGGCAGAAAACATCGGGTAATGGATTTTACTATATGAATGTGCCGCCACATTGACGATCGATGAATCTAACTTTCGATCCAGTTTGCTGATAGTTTGAAGATATTGTTGACTTGGATGATAATCAATCCTTTGTGAATAGTGCGGTCAGGCATATACCTTCGTAGGTCATGCAGCAATGCGTTGGCAATGCTGATCAACAAGGCCCATATCTCGCCTGCCAGTCTATCTCGTCTACACCATTCATCAAGTACCGTTCAAAATCTATAGAGGATTATAATATCGGTTGGGTTTATTGGAGATCCGTAGTCTAGCGTGACTTACTCCGTAGATAACTGCACTATGCCTTTATACATGCGAATTCACCGGGGCAAGCTAAGACGATCTGCACGGCAAGACGATCTAAGCCACAAGCATTTCACTTTTCTCGATGCTAGGCTAAAAGTAAGTCGTGTATGCTGCATAAGAATCATTGGAGCATTAACAGATCAATAGAGTGCGTTGTTTGAAACGGCACATGATTCATACTTGGAGCAGGGCCTGTGCGCCGAGTTTAATTCTAGCAGCGATTTGAAACCAGCATGTCACCATTTAACCCCTAATAAAAATGTCAAGCGGGTGACGATGAAGTCAATACCAGGATAGAAGCGATGAAGTTATGAACCCTCCTGTAACTGGTATAAATCAAAACTAGTCCCAGTTAGCAAGGACATTATCTGAATCGACATCTTCCCTGAATTGGCGAGGGAGTGCGATTGAGCCAAACTGCCAAAGTAAAGTCTGGAGAGATTCCGAGGGATCAACCCGGCACGATTCAGGGGTAGTGCTGCCTTGGAGCCTGAGGCAGTAAGAAACACCGCGATCAGAAGCGATGTGTATGTGTATTACTGTCTTCCAAGCGATCCATCGGCGAGCTGAGATGTAACTTTGTATTTCCAATACACAAGTAGACATCTGGATCATCGCCCCCAAAAGCCCTGTGATCATCGCAATCAAACTGCTGCACGACAATCCTTCCAGCCCGCCCTTCTGTCTGTCTGGCGTCCTCCATCACCACTTCCCCAATCGGGTAATCGTCTTACCGCAATGGGTAACTCCTATCTCACGCTCCGGGGTTCTTCACTTCTTCACCATGTCTACTTGTCGAATTTCATCGTTCGCCCCGGAGGCGACGGCCCACATGGCTCGTATTTCGACACAAGATCTGAATTGATAATTATTGCTGGCCTGGCTAATAGGGCTGGAAGGTGCGATGCTATATAAGAGTCGGTAGGCCTCTGCGAAGCTTGATCCTGCTGCTATGGGAACTTTTTATTTCAGTCACTCATTTCTTTATTCGTCCCTTTTACATATTGACTAGTCGCTCTTTAACAATTCAATACGCAGAGGATGCGTGACTTCCTCTCCTTAACGGCCCTAGCAGCCGTCTTGGCTACGGCCTCTGCTGCTGCCATTCCTTCATCTTCCGCGGCAGAGGCATCCAAGACCTCGTACGTCTAATTTCCTGCGCAAAATATCTACCCACAACAATCACTAACCATTCAACCGCAGTGTCTCAAACTTAGCCAGCGGCACCTGCTCCGGCCCCACCAAAAGCAGCCCCTCAACCTACTGGCTCGCCTCGCAAGACCACAAAGGCTCAGCCCGCGGCTACGCCCCCAACGTCGACAACGCGAACTACCCTGTCTGGCGCAACGTGCAGACAGACTACAACGCGAACGGCGACGGAACGGGCGACCAGACAGCCAGTCTCCAGAAAGCGATCAACGACGACGGCAGCGACGGCAGCCGCAAAAGTAACGGTGTCACGCGCTACCCGGCAGAGGTGTATCTCCCCGGGGGTACGTACCAGCTGGGCAGTACGCTGGAACTGCGCGTGGGGACCGTCATTACGGGTGATCCGTTGGATTTGCCGGTGTTGAAGGCTGCGGAGGGTTTCGATGGGAGTGTCCTGGTGAAGGGATATGATGAGGGGAATGGGAACCCGGAGACGAGTTTCATGACGCTCATGCGGAATGTCAAGTTGGATTTGACGGCGCTAGGTGGAGATGTTGATATCACGGCGCTGCAGTGGGGTGTTGCGCAGGGTGCGGGCTTGACGAATGTGAAGATTGAAATGCCGGAGAACTCGAGTGGACATACGGGTATTGATATTAAGGCCGGGTCGACGATTGCTGTGACCGATGTGGTATGTGTTCTCCTCTCACTCAAGCGAAAGGAATTGTGCTAAATGCGTGAACATAAACAGGAAATCATCGGCGGCGCTACCGGCATCAGAAACTCCAACCAACAGGTAAACTTCAAGAATATCTCGTTCAAGGGCTGCACGACTGCCTTCGAGGCCGCGGGCGGCCACACAGCGCTACTGCAAGGGGTCACCTTTGACACTTGCGGCACTGGCGTCGACATGACGGGCAACGGATTGGGTAGTCTGGTGCTGCTGGACTCGGAATCGATCAACTCGGGCACGGTGGTCAAGTTCTACGACTCGTCCAACGACGGAGGCAAGCGCAACAGTCAGGTCCTGATCCAGAACCTCTCGCACGATAACGACAACGACATTGCCGTCGACAGCAATGGTAAGGTGCAGCTCAAGGCCACGAAGAAGGTCGACACCTGGGTCTGGGGCAATGTCACCCCCGGCCAGTATGAAACCGGCACCAGCTTCAGCACCTCCCGTCCTGATGTGCTGCTGGACAACGGCAAGTTCTTCACCAAGAAGCAGCCCACCTACGCGGAGTATGCAGCCGACCAGATCGTCAACGTCAAGTCCGTCGACGGTCACACCGTCAAGGGCGACGGGTCCACGGATGACACCGAGTCTCTGAACGCCATCCTGGCCGACAATGCGGCCAACTGCAAGATCACGTATTTCCCGTACGGAGTGTACATTGTCAAGGATACGTTGGTCATCCCCACTGGATCGCGCATCATGGGCGAAGCATGGCCTGTGATCGCTGGTGCCGGCAAGGCCTTCCAAGATGCCCAGAACCCGAAGACCGTCGTGCAGCTTGGCCAGCCCGACGATGTGGGCGTCATCGAGATCCAGAACATGCGATTCTCGGTCGCCGAGATCCTTCCTGGAGCCAAGATCCTCGAGATTAACGCCGCCGGCAATCAGCCCGGCGACGTCGGGCTCTGGAACACGATCGTCACCGTCGGCGGCACGGCCGAGACCTCTGTCTCGAACGACTGCACGGACCAAGACACCTCGAACTGCATGGCGGCGTTTATGGTTCTGCACCTGACCAACAGCTCGTCCGCCTACCTCGAGAACTTCTGGGGCTGGACCGCAGACCACAACCTCGACGGCGGACCCACGACCATCATCTCGACAGGACGCGGCATCCTCGTCGAAGCGACCAAGGGCACCTGGCTCACGGGCACCGGATCGGAGCATCACTGGCTGTACAACTACAATTTCCACCAAGCGCAGAACGTCTACGCAGGGTTGCTGCAGACCGAGAGTCCCTACATGCAAGGGAACGGGGCCGTCAAGCTCGCACCGGCGCCTTGGGCCGCCGAGTCTGCGTACGGCGACCCGGATTTCTCCTGGTGCGACGAAGGGGACGGCGCGTGCCGCAGCGCGCTGGCCACGAACGTCGATGGCGGGTCTGACATCCTGCTCTACAACTCGGCGGCGTGGGCGTTCTTCAACGGCGAATGGGACGGCAGCTACGGCGAGCAATGTGACGGGGCGTGCCAGACCAATATGATGCGGGTGACCGGGAATCCGGCGAACCTGGTCTGGTATTCAATCAACACGCGCAAGACGGACGTGATGGTGTTGGACGGACAGGATAATCCGAAGGAAGAGAATCATCCGGGCGGATGGGAGGCGATCATCCAGGCATACCGGCAATTTGAGAAAAAGCAGTAATTAGGAAAAGCCAGGGAAAGAGGACTACGATTGCTGTCATATTGATCTGCAGTAGCCAAGGGATTGGTTGGTCGTTATTTTTATCCTGCAGACATCTTTCAAACGTGCTCTATTCGTGATTTTTTTCGATGTATGCCGTGGACAGGATTAGCATCACACGAAATACTGCATCTACGCAGTAGTGTCTAGGCAACAAGCGGCCAGGCCCGATCCCAGATCTGCTCCATAGAAATTAATCTAACTCGATCCGATTCAACAAAATGAACAAGATTTACCCCAACAGGCAGCAACCGTACATGACTAGCCAACAGCTTAGTTTGATGCACCGCCATCTTGCCTAAGAAAGGAAATAACTTATCACCGTATGCAGTCCGTGTGCACAGCCATACCGGAAGGCAAACAATTAACAAACCCGAACGAAAACCGAACACACTGCCACATTCAAAAAAAGTACTGTACAGAAAAGAAAAATCCCAGAAAAAGCAGGCCATCGCCACAGCCAAGCCCAAACAAACGTCATCATTCGATCAACCGCGAAACTTCCCCCCCATCGACGGCATTAATTTCGGCTGCCGCGACTTGGAGTGGGTCGTTGTGCCGTCTTCCGATTGTTGCGGTTTCTGCTGCATCTCGGATCCTGCAGCGGATGATGTTATGTTATTCGGTCGCGGCGTGCTTATTTTTGTCTGTTGAACTGAAATGGGAGGGATTTGAGGAAACAGGGATTTACCTGGGTTTTGTTTGACTGATGGCAGGATTGAGTGACGTTTGCTGTCAGGGTCTACGTGGTGCTGTGCCTGTGTGCGTATGTGGCGCTACTAGGGATTCATTGGCGTAAGACCGTGCTTGTGCTGATGCTGCCTGACAAGAAAAATAATCAATGACAATAATTACAATAATTCAAGGACTAATAGGAATTACCGTGATCTCCAACTTTTGGTCCTTAACAATGTCCATGACTAAGGTGTCAATTCTATACATAGAAACCCGCACAACCCTATGGGCCCTCCAGGTTGAAGAAATCTTCATTCAAAGTTCGGGAGTTCGCGGTTCCTGTGGTACAGTGGAAACGATTTATGCACAAAGCCACAAATCCAGACGCAGCCCAAAAAGGGCAAAAGCCAGTCGTGGAAAGTGATGGACGATTCCGCTGCACATGCGGTGGATTCGTGCTGCGATCGTCCCATGGTTCGGCATTGCCACATTAGCGGATTAGCCTTGTTCTTCCCCGGTGGAAACTGGAATCGTGGGACTGTGAAACGCCCACTGCGATGGGGTAATTGGTTTGCCGATCGACGGAAATCTGATGGAGGTGATGGACAGGGAGATATAAAAGGGGTCAGGGTCCTCCTGATGGATTTCTCCTGATTTTAGCTATTCATTTATATTCATCTATCTCTCGTGCTGATTCCGGGGTACATACTACATATATCACATCCTCTATCTATATACCATACCACCACACCTCCACAAACCATCAAAATGAAGTACTCTCTCGTCCTCACCGCTCTCCTCTCCACCTCCGTCCTGGCCGCTCCTAACCCCAACCCGGACGGCATCGACAACATCATCTCCGCCGCCGAAGGCATCGCCACGACGGCCGTGAACGGCGGCGAGAGCATCGCCTCCAACGTCGTCGACGAAGCCACCTCCCTGTACAACGCGGCCTCGACCGCCGGCGGCGCTGCCGCGTCCCGCATCACCTCGGAGGCGGGCGAGATCGCGTCGGACGCGCGCACCTGGGCCACGGACCGGGTGTCTGACGCGCGCAGCCGGGCCTCTGACGCTCGCGACCGCGCCTCCTCGGACCTCGACGAGCTGCGCACTCTGCACGGCACGCACACTAACAGCGACGCCACGGCCACGGCGTCGGGCTCGGAATCTACCAACACCGGCACCGCCGCTGAGACTGGCTCGTCGGCTACTACCTCGGGTGCGTCGGCCACGGCTTCGACCACGGATAGCAGCAGCAGCAGCAGCTCCTCGTCGGCTAGCGGATCGGGCTCCGAGGCCTCTGCTACTTCGACGAACAGCGAGGGCGCGGCTGCTCAGGCCACGCCTGTTGGTTTGGGCGTCGGTATCGCCGGTATGGCGGGTGTGTTGGGTGTGATGGCTGCTCTCTAAGCTAGTCATGAGTGGTGATTTCGGAACCGGAACGGATCGTTTCATCTCGAGTCGGAGCCTGGGTGTTGAGTCGATTAAGTGAATAATTTTGGTAATAGAAGGATTATCATCTTACTCTGTTTCAGACTTACGTTTCACACTCTGGACCCAGTCCTCTGGAGACGTAACCGCAGTTGATTGTTTTATTCATTTCTTTTTGTACGCATATCGATACCTGATACCTTTGCTATGTTTCTATCAATCATTACTTCGATAATACTCAATAGTATTATCAATCATTCTATTGAAAGATTATATATACTATCCCAAATAGAAAGTAACAATGCTATTACTGAATACAACATAACGAAAATTTAAAGCATATCTATACATCTACATACCTCTATAAAAGTAACCCAGTGACAACGATTAATCCCTCTCCTTCTCCGGCCCCGAATGTCCTGAATAAGTCGACGACGAGGACTCATCCACCGTCATCTTCGGCCCGGTGTACCATTTCCTCGCAAAGAGGAAGTAATACGACATGCACGCGATCCACACGAATCCGTTGATCACGATCGTGTAGTTCATTTCCGATGCTAGAAGGTTATTCGTTAGCATACCATTCATCCATTCTCCGCATACATGAACAACCCCAGAACCACACCACGACTTCTCGAGAGAGGCGAGAAAGAACGTAAGGAGTAAGAGAAAGGGGAAAAGGGAACATACGACTCGGACTCGGCCCCGTACTCGGAAACATCGACAACACAAGTCCAAACACCAACCAAAGAACCGCAATACACGCAATACCTCGACTCGCCCAGCCCGTGTAGAACTCGCCCGGCACGAACCGTTCCTTCCAGATGAGACGGCACAGGATGGGCGTGCCCCAGGCGACGTAGTTGCTGGCAACGAAGAGCGAGAACAGCGCGTTGGCGGCGACCGAGTTGATTAGACATAGCAGGCCGAAGATGATGCTGACGAAGACGAGGCCGCAGATGGCGCGCACGGGCTGGTACCGGATGCGTTTGCTGACGTGCCGGAAGTAGCGTGAGAAGGGGAGCGCGCCGTCTCGGGAGAAGGCCCAGGCTTGGCGGGAGGCGGCGACGATCTGTATTTTGGTTTAGTGGGTTTGGGTAAATGGGGTGGGAGGGTCCAAGGATGAGGATGGGGAATGTACCAGGCTGAGACCGATGAGGAATTGAATGACGATGAGAACGCCCATGAAGCCGAGGGCACCTTTCTTGCCGAGCGCGTCATAGTAGATCTATAACACCAGATTTCAGTTTAGTCTTTCCCTCTCAGTGTTACATGCATGGAACCACAAACCTGAGCCATAGGCTGCCCATACACCGAATTCAACGTCGCACTAACATCCTGATTCATAACCGCCGCAATAATCGACAACACCAAGAACCCCATCACGCACGCGCACCCAGCAGACCAGATAATCCCCAAAGGCACGGCCTTAGCAGCATGCAGCGCCTCCTCGCTCATATGGACGCACGAGTCAAAGAACCCGATCGACCAGATCGGCGCCAGGAACGCCAGCACGAAACTCCACCCCGTCGGCCACGTCGTCAGGTTATCCACGTGGCCGTAGACGTAGGTGCCCGGGTTTAGGGCCTCGCCGCGCGTGACCTTCCCGACGGGCAAGGCGATCACGGTGGCGATGATCAGGCCGATGTTGACGTAGATGCAGAAGGTCTGGATGCGCGGCATGATGGGGCCGGAGAAGATGGCGCAGAGCGCGTGGATGAGGATGAAGCCGACGTAGACGCCGTAGACGGTGCCGTTGGAGGCGGACCAGGTGCCGTCGCGCGCGATGGAGATGCAGGCGAGGAGCATGAGCGCGAGAGTATCTGGGTAGGAGCAGTCAGTTAGCATATACGAGGATGAGGCAGCCTCGGTATAGAGTAGGGCAGGCGGCGAGATGAGACATACAATCTACCGAGCACATCCCCCCAATCAACCCTAGGGTATTGCTATATCCGACCAGGAAACTGAGCGCATTCTTGTACTTGGCGCCGGCGAAATAGTGCGTCCACCAGTAGAGACCACCGGCCGTGGGCATAGCAGAAGCCATATCGGCCTGACATCATTGATAAGTTCGCGATCGCAACGCCGCCAAGTAGATAGCAACATACCAATGCCAGTCCTACGAAAAAGATAAGGATACTCGCAGTGAACCAACCCTAGCGCGATACAATTAGCGATGTCCTGAAACCGGCGGGAATCGGCATACCCAGATCATCCCGGCTGGACCAGCAGGTAACGAGAAAGCAATAGTCGATGCGATCGAAGGCACCAGTCCCATAATACTAAAGGCGACAGCGAATATTTGCAGGGTGGAATACTGGCGGCGAAGTTCCTGCCTGTAGCCCATTTTGGCTGAGAGGGTCAATCTGGACGCTCGACATATCTCTGGTATGTGATGCCACACTCACCCAGAAGCTGGGAATCTCCCGCATCTGCCAGCCCGGATTCCTCCGCGACCGGCTCTCTCTTTTTAGTCATTTTTAGCTGCTAGAAAGGGGAAAATGAAAGAAAGAAACATGAGAAAGCCGTAGCAGCGACGGTGGGAGACAGAGAGAGGAAGAAAAAGAAGGAAGCAGAAACGAGAGCAGCAGCAAGCCAGCCAGCCAGCCAGCAATGGACAGTGACGGAGAGCAGGAGAGACGCGTGGGGTTCGCCTCTTAAAGAGAAATGCCAAGGGGGAATCTAACGATGTGGATCCTCGCCGGCGCAAAGTTTAACGGAGGAATGCTCGAGCCCCTGTCGATGATGTTATCCCATCTGAACATTTACCTCTTTCATTCCTGTGATTCTAGGGCCTTTCTTCCCGTCTTCCTGTCACTGTCCCCCTGTCTATCAGTCCTCTTTTTGGGATTCCATCTATCTGTCACTGTCAGTGTCAGTCTGGAAAAGAAACTCAGGAAATATACTTCCGTGGCGGAGGCTATCTCCACTCTTCCGGTGGCGTGTCGCGTAGAATCACCCTTGAATCTGCTTGATTACACTCGTCCCCTTACGCAGGATGCATAATCTGCTCACCGGATATTAATCTCTTACTGTCGTGCCCTCCACAGATAGGTGGAACCGGGCGGGGGTGTTCAGACCTCGACTTGGTCTGCATTATGCAGCACATGCAGCAAAACTAGTGGGATTGAATTATTCCTAGCCGTCACTAACAAGAAACCAGGCCTATGCAACCTCATTCACCACTTCAGCAGTCGTCTGAACCCGACAGAAACCACGCCAAACGATCCTCTCTGGGACCTCCGGACTCCTCTCCTCCACAAGATCCAGACATCGATCCAATTCCCTGGGAAAATGCCCAGATTTCGATCCAAAGTCAGCTATCCAGGTCCACTGATTGGCCAGCTCATCCCCACCACGTCGCCGATCCCTCCACTTGGCGGTCTGCCCAAATTTCAGTCCTCCACCCGTCCCAGCACGGGGTCTTCGCTATCCGTAGATTTGACTCCGTACATGCACAGAGCAACACCTTTCCTTCGTCATTGTTTGCAAGACAACGAAGGAACGGATTATTACAAATTAAATGCATAGAAACAACTCTTCCACAACCAACCCATCTCCTGCTCCCCATCTCCAGCTCTCATTACCAACCATCATCATTACCGAATTACACATTACACCTGCTCCGACCCCGGCATGCCAGCCATTCGCTGCTCCCCCCTCGGACTCACATTATCATGGTTCTGGACCAGCGGACTAGGCCGCTGGCCCCCGGCACGCGGCGACTGCGGACGATCCAGGGTCGTGGTATCCGACACCGACAGACGCTGCATGGCGGAGTCCCACGACCCGGGACCGAGTTTGGCCTCCCACTCGTTGAAATCTTGGCCCGGGTTGACAGTATGATACGAGAAACGCGAGATCATGGCGTAGAACCCGCACGCGAGCAACGAGCCCAGCAGCGGCCCGATCCAGTAGATCCAGTGATAGCCGGGGAAGCTGCGGTTGATGACGTCTGGGCCTAGCGAGCGGGCGGGGTTCAACGAGCCGCCGGTGTAATAGTCGCCTGGATTGGAGGATTAGATTAGTATGTGTGATATGTGCTGGTGAGTTGCGTTTAGACACGAGGCAAACCTACCGATCATCTCCGTCACGAAAAAGACCAGCCCGATACACACAGGCGCCAGGTAGGTCGCCTTGTGCTTCACCACGGCCAGCATGATCACGACCAGCACGAGCTGCGCGGTCAGGAACATCTCGATGAACAGGCCCTGCGAGATTGAGGTCCCGCCGCCTAACCGCGTCGCGACATTCAAGTCGCCCGGGAACAGAGCGCTGACGACGCCCGCCGATGCGATCCCGGCTACGAGCTGCGCCGCGAAGACCAGCCCGCCCCGGAGAGGCGACATGCCTCCGACTAGGCAAAGTGCAAGAGTGACCTGTGGGGCTCGTTAGGATTCATCTGCCCGACTTGCCAATCGAGCAGGTTGCCTGGTGGATGTGAATACATACAGCCGGATTAAACAGCCCCCCCGTGACGCGATAGAACGCCCACACGTTCACCATCAACGAGAACCCGAACGCCAGCGACGCATACAGCAGATTCGACGTATTCGGAGGCGACCCTTCCACGGGCTTCGGGGTATTCGCGACCTGGGTGCCCGCAAACGAAAGGAACAGGAAGAGGAACGTGCCGACGAACTCGCCCAGCGTGGCGATGCAATTATTCCGCGCCGTGTCCTGCAAATGCAGCATGGGGAGCTGGCGGTTGAACACCACCAGCGGAGTGGTCTGGCGATCCTCGTGCGCCGGACGGTGGAAGAATCGTCGCGGAAAGGACATTGTCGGGATTAACTAGGCTGGACAAGAAATACGGCGACGTTGCTCTAGGTAGGGAGTTCAGCACAGCGAGGGGGCTCAGCTCAACTGAATAGATAGATAACCCAGCACCCACCTACTGACTATATAAGCCCTCCTTGTGAAGGATGGCTGACGTCACGACTGTCTAGACCCCAGACCATGATGAGGCCCGTGAGATCAGAACAGACAATGAACCCCAGATCCATGATGATAGGCCGGACCGCGGGTTCCGAGTGCGGTTGATGATAGTGTGGTAGCCCCTCGAGCGCACGCCGTTGAGGTCAAAATGAGATAATCACTCTAGGGTTTCTCTTTGTTCTTCGAGCGGATGAACCGTCTATTAAAGTGGATACGGGGACAGTCCGGCGATGCCGACGATGCCGAAGCTGCCATTGCGCTCTCTTGAAAGTCTAATTTCCCGCGCTTTTTGCTGTCAAAATGTGTTGTCGTTGCTGCGTGAGGCCGCCTTTGGCTAAGTGCATATTGCCGCTTTGTGGGTGCTTGGTTCTTGCGGTTTTGTATGTTCTGGTTTCCTGTTGTGGGTTGAGACTTGATCAGCGAGCGGGACTAGTTAACTATTCCATCCCTTGTTGAGTTTGCCAGTGGCTATTATGGAGAGTCGTTGTGGAGAGTCGACGCTTCTCCCATGGAATAGCATGCGGCAGCTGTATCTCAACCGACGCTATCATGTCAAAACTGTTCTCTTCTATCACAATCTCTATATCAGAATCAAATGCATATCTAGAAACTAAATAACCCCGACCTTCTCTTCCCCAACGGATAAACCACCAACGCCGCCACAAACAACCCCACCGTGATTCCAATCGCCACCTGCACCATGCCATACCCCAATATCTGCACCGACATATCATGCGTCGGGCCAGTTCCCTGTCCCTGCTGACTCCCACTGCCATGCGACGTGGCATTCGACCTCGTTTCATCCGCCGTCTCCACGCCCGTGACCAGCGACCCCGTTGCCGCCAGCCCGCTCGGCACGAGGACGAAGATGCCTGGCAGGATGGCTGCAGCCGCATGGCCATGCCAGAGCCGACTGTACAGGTTACCAATGACGCCGATGGTGAATGCGCCGACGGTATTGGCGACTTGGGATGTCGTGCCGAGACGTCTCGTGACGAAGTAATTGGTGATGTAGCCTGCTAGAGCGATAATAACCATGACAGGAGATTGCTTCCATTTCCCTTGGTTCACGATCATCAGACAAAGGGAGAAGGCGGCGACGAAAGGAAAGCGTTGGAGGTAGGGGTCCGGGAAGGCACCGGCGGTTGGGCACGCCGTGTTCGAGGTGGCCGAGGGGTCGATGAGTCCGTAGATCGTTGTGCCGACGGTGATGCCGAAGCCGAGGAAGAGGGAGTAGATGATGGCGTAGACCATGCGAATGGATCCGGCCACAATCTGCTGGCTTTGTAGTTCCAGACTACTGCAGAGAACGGTGTATCCGGGGAGGATCAGGGCGATGGAGGATTGGGCGATGGCGGAGAAGCAGAAGAGCCGATCGGGAGTGCCGTTGGGCCAGGAAGTGACAATGCTGCCGAGGGCGCGGGCAATGAACGAGGTCAGGACAGAGGCTGATACCTCGAAGACGTTGGAGTAAAGAACCGAGCGCGGCGCAATAACGTGCTGCATGACTCCTAACAGGCATCCGTTGAAGAAGATGACTGGCATGTCGATGGGGCGGGCGTTGAATGCAAATGGACCGACCATGGCGGTGGCGAGACCGTATACCAAGACGATGACCCATTTATTGAACCGAGGACTCTTGTTCATGATCTCCTCCAGCTCGTGAATTGCCTCCTCAATGCCATACACGTCATGCACCACGTTCTTATAGACGTTGTGCGTGTCGGCTAGTCGCCCGAGATCGACTCCTTGCACGACCCGGACGAGCTTCACTTCAGCAGTTCGGGTTGCTGCGTCGTCGAAAGACATGATCATGCATCCAGGGACATATAGATACTGACTCTCAACATCGAGCGCCTTGGCCGTCATATGCATGTACTCTTCGAGTCGGTGGGTAGGCGCCCCGAACCGCATCAATGCCTTGCAAAGCTGCATGATGTATCGCTGGCGCGCGATGATCTGCGCAATCTGCAATGTCACCTGGATCTCATCCTCCAGACGCATCGCACCGCTGGAATGCTTACTGCGCCGTTTAGACGCGGCCGTCAAGACCTCGCTAGATACAGGTGTGCTGGCGCCGCTAACATTCATGGAAGGGATAGTGCTGTTACCCATGGCTATGAGGGTCGGAGTGGACGTATTCTGATGTTGCTTGTGATACCATTTCCGCTTTTCCTTCCGTGGAGTCGTCGCCCCTGTTCCCAGATTGCTACTCGGTAATAACCCGGGAGTGTTTGGTTCGGTCGATGAAAGACTGTGTCGAGTATCCGGTGCATTCGCAGCTGCATTCAGCCGAAGCAAATGCGATAGAATACCCCCTCCACCGGGAAATGCCAGCGGATCAGGTTCTTCAGGTCGGTTGTGAGGGTGACCGCGATGATGCGCGGTATGTCGCTGAGCCTGCTCGTTTGTCATCTCGCGCACCAACCGATGTGCCTCGGAGCTGGTTGAGCTCTGATTTCGACGATGACCCCGAGGACGCCCATTGCCATTTTTGTGATCATTTGTTTCGTCTCCATGTCTATCCGGTCCATAGACCTCCTTCTTCTTCTCATCTTCCTTCCTTCCATTCATGAGGCCCTGTGAAGGCGTCTCCGACCGCGGCGTCTCCGACCCGACCAACGCCGTCGTCGACTTCACCATCCCATCCTCATCATCTCCTGGTGGCCGTCCCAGCTTCGCCGCGATCCGTCTGGTGCGATCTACCACCGAATGTCTGATATCATTTACCCTTGCCAAGAGCGAAGCTCTCCGCCCGGGACCCTTGTCTCCAGACCCCTCACGTTTGGGCAATTCAGTATGCCAACTGAGCGAGCGCTGACTCGCATTCCCAGGGCGTCCACTCGCCTCTGTGATATCCACTGACCCAGAGCCCTGCGTAGAAGACGATCTATGACGGGATCGAATTTGACTGTGCCCGTGGCCCTCCAGCAGGGTTCCAGGGCTAGTTTCAGCATCCTCTACCACCGCCGGGCCAGGCTCTCCTTCGTCATCCTCCTCTTCTTCCTCATAATCCCTCTCCTCTGCATCTTCAGTGTCTTCTGCATCTTCCGTACTCTCCGTATCGCCATACTCGAACCTCATATCAGAGCCGAAATGCACACGATGAACGGGCGGCGATTGCGGGCGGGATGAGTCCTCCGGTGGAGTCTGCGGGGAGTTCTGTCGTCCTGGCGACTCGACATTTTCAGGACTGGGGCTGGATGCTACGCTGCGGTAGCTGATGAGGGAGCTTTGGCTGATCTGACTGGCGCGACGAGATTCGGACATGGATGTGTCCGGAGAAGTGGTGAGGGCTTAGGCATGTATGGTTGGTTTTTGAGAGATGGTCAGGGATAGGATGGTGGAAGGTTGGTATACCCCTGAGAGGAGAGATATCTTTCAAGAGATTTGATGCGAGCAAGATGAGTTTCATTGAAAAAGTTTGGCAGGTCTAAATAGGTCAGGACTCCAGGCGTAGCATGTTCCATTCACCGATTATTGTCGCTAAATAAAGAACGCTGATAGAATTCACTGGACGTCATGGACGTGCAATATTCTCCAGATGTCAGGACAATAAAATTCAACGCCATTATAAATCCCAATTAAATCGACCTGGTTGATGTCCAGAGCCCGGAAGGAAGTCTATGACGTTGTGGTGTGGGGGTTCGGAATGTTCGATTTGGCTGCCTTCGGACGTTGCATTCCTCACTACAATCCCTCAGTGAAGGGTCAGTACGCGCGTGTCGATCCGCTATTCGGCCGGATCTGTCACATCCAATATCTTATTGTGTTCCCATTTAAATCTATTCTGTTGTACAAGAACGATTGCGTGTGCTCCGAATAAAACCTAGCCAACGACTCTTCGGCGCGACGGACCTGTCCGACCTGATTAACTCAGGAATGAGAGATTTATGTCGAGTCTAGACTTCTTAGTAAGGTCTAGACTCTACATTGCATCATTTACAGGTGAAGAGGATTTGGAGAGAAATCCATAGGGCTGCATAGATGACATGTGGGTCGGTTGTTTCTGGCCTCTCGGTGGGTACATACTTGCTGATCATCTCATTTGTGGCCACCCTGCTACTGATAATTCTCAGTCAGGATCTAGCCATAGGGACTTGTTCCTGAGAATGGTTCTGGCCGTGATGAGACACCTGAGATTATCATACAATCAGTCAATCAATGGATCAAAATTTAGCCCGTTGAAGCCTTTTGATTGAAACGCTAGGCTACTATGCTATGCGCTGATTGAAGCAGATTCTCCTGCCTAACGCCCAGAAGTTCTTAAAAGCAGCAGAAAGCAGTCCTAAATGAGTAAATTGTCGCTGCAACACGCCTCCCGCGTGTTTACCTGCCCCGCCAGCGCTTTACACTCCTTCATCTTATAATTGCCTATCATGTCGAAGGGCCTGACTCTGGCTCTTGTCCCCTGTTTGGGCCATTCCAGCCACCCTTTATGACTACGGGTAGCGCATAGGGGTCTCTGAATTCTTTATTTTACCCTCGTTGAGCAGTAAACCACCAGGTTTCTAGGCTACATCGTACTTCTTATTTGGTCTAACTGAAATGATCTGTCCAACCTTAGATCTTATCGATGGTTTCACACATCTCTTACGAGACCTATTCCCGTGAACTCATAAGGCAGTAAGAGAAAATATAGGTTTGCAACAATTATGCGGTATGGTCGAATGATCTGGTCCGAGTATCCCAATCCTGATAAGATTATTGGGCTAATTCAAAAGGGATATAGCTGTCGGTGATTATGATACCCGAGTCTCACTTAGAGGTAGATAGCTCAGTCGTATGCACCGCGAACAAATCTCATATCACAACCTATGGGAGTCAATAATTCGCATTAGAGTGCCTTGTTACCCATACGACTCATGGATGCGGGTTCCCCAGAAGTCTGGCCTGAGGCTACTCGGAGATCTATATCTATGAGACACGTCTTTTCGGTCTGTCGAGGACCCCTTCCTAGGAAGTGACACGAGATCCAAGGATTACGGAAATTAACACTGCGTTTTAGATATCTCGACAGCGGGCGTCTCTTCCGCCAATTCGTCACTCCCTGTCAGATGCTCGATTCACTGTCGATTACTACTATAGATACCCTGCAGGCTGGCATGTCAACAAACTGCCTTTACATTGCAATTAATCATATCACCCTAAACATTTCCTAGCCACTCATCTTCGGGTGTATTCCCCAAATGTTATTTATAAATGCCGCTGCCGCATGCCGTAGCCGCGTGCTCTCGTGCGTCTTGCTTTACGTTTCCATACAACCCTTCATGGTCTCACTTAAAGCCAATGAGCCCCTTTATGCCAACCAGGTAACATGGCTCGATTCGGAGCCTACTTGCCTCCACAATTCACAGCAACAGTTCCCGCCCGATCAGATAGGGGCGATGCGAAAGCTCTGCCAAAAACAGAGTGGATCGGTGGATCGGTGGATCCTTAGCGCCATATCCAACGCTCGATATGCTTAATTTGTGTTAGTGACGGCCTATTTAGCACACAAGGATGCCAACGGTGTCGTTTCCAATAAAACGATCTCTCCATCCATGATCATTTTTCACCTCAATGCGGATAGGGATCGACAAACGCCTAAGGCCAGCTGAGCAATCCCCCGAGAACACTCGTTCAGCGGCCGAATCGCTCGGCGATGCTTACCTAGCGACGCGTAGTGCCGATAATCTCTATCCTCTCACAGGCCAGGGGATTGGATGCCTCTCCACCTTTCGTCCCGTCCTGTCTTGATAACTTTAGATTAATCGCGGGTCACCCGATTGAGGATTGTGGGTGTCCGACGGACTGCCGCAACGGTGTTGGTATTTTGATGGAGATGTTTCTCCTCGGCCCCTCGCCCCTCGTCCGGGACTCGAGGTATTATCGATCTTAATTTTCCTTCTGACTCCTCTTGCTGCACCGAGAATGTGATATGGATTCTGGGACACATGGCAAGAATGCGACGCACCCCTTTCCGAAGCCAGTCTCGACAGTCAATTACGGACCCGAGCTACTGGTGACCGTGTGGGTCGTGACTGGGCTATCAATTGTGGCTGTCGTCCTGCGGTCTGTGAGCAATTATAAATTCGGCAATTTCCAGCTGAGTGATCTGGTGACGTTATTTGGCTTGGTTGGTCCTTTAACTTTCTGCCGCTGTCCAGCCCTTCGTTTGCTAGATTGACTCATCTTCCTAGGCTTTGCTCATTACTGCCGCTGCGATATCCAATATAGCCGTTGAATTCGGGTACGGGCTGGCTGCTGGATCTCAGGGGCCTAATCATGAAGCCAACTCGCTCAAATATTCTGCCATCGGCCAAGCCATCGTCGTTCTGGCTGCGACAGCCGGACGCATTGGTTTCATTCTCTACTTGATTGAGTTGCTCGCAGCTCGGGCACTGCATAGAATGGTGCTATGGCTTCTTATTCCTTTTCAGATCGTCATCAATGCCGTGAGCGTGTTTCTGCTGTTCTTCCAGTGTTCCATCCATGTGGGAGAGCTATTCCACCCAGGGAGGCAGTCGCATTGCGAGTCGTTGGATATTCAGATCAAATATGGTTATTTCCAAGGAGGTAAGACCGGCTTCACTCTCCTCCTACCAGGCCCAATTATTGAAGAGAAAGTAGCATTCAACTCCGCTTGTGATCTTCTGCTCGCAGTCTTCCCCGTCTACATATTCTGGCGCTTCAACTGGACCGTCCGCGTGAAACTGGTCTTGATCTCCCTCCTTAGCCTAGGAGTCGTGTACGCCCTCCTTCTCCTTTCCCTATCCCCATCCTTTTCCTCAACCCCAACCCTTCTTCTCAAGTGCAATCTTCTCAAGTTTCAAATCTAACACTAACACCCCTAACCAACCCTCCCAGCGCAATGGCCGCCTCCCTCGTCAAAACAATCGAATACCCAACCATCATGCTCTCGCGCAACCCGCGCACTAACCGCGTCACCCTCCTGCGCTGGATGTTCATCGAAGCCGGCGCGGTGCTAATCACCGCCTCGATACCCTGCCTCCGCCCTCTTGCCGTCTGGCTCGTCCGGAAATTCATCACGCGCGTTCGCCATCGATATAGACGACATACGCGCATCGCGAACGGCTCGAACACGCCCCTCAGCACTATGTTTAAGGGTACCGGTCGCGGTAACGGGAATGCCACTGCCAGTGCTAGTGCTAGTGCGACCCAATTCAGCCAAGACTGGAAAACGAGATGGATCATGCCCTACGTGCAGCAGCGGGAGGTGGTGGGCGAGGATGGCGTCGAACGGCATATACTGGCGAATATCACGACGCATATATTTGCGGGGGATCGTGAGTTCTTGGATCGGCATACCTCTGGGGGGATTGTTAAGAAGGTGGAGGTGGAGGTGAGGGTTGCGGATGAGATTCCGTTGACGGAGGGGGGTGGGCTATGATGATGTTTTTATGTTGGGACTGTGCTTTGGAGTTGAGGTTTAATAATGTCTTTTGATTTGTAGATTGAGGAAGGTGATAATTCACTCTATCTACTTGTTCACTTTGTAACAAGCACTGTTAGATGCGGTGTATACATACATGGCAAACTATTGGGGAACGACACATCCATGCGCTTCAAGGACAGATGCAAGGAATGCGAGGAAGTGGTAAGACCTGCCCATTCTGTAAAAAGTTGTTGATATATGTTCCCTTTTACTATCCCCTGCGCAAGGTCAGAGTATACCCAGCCATGAATTCATCTCAGAGATACTTAGCTATCAATCTCTGATCGATAAGGTATACTTATACTCTCGGGGCGAGTTAAGTCTGACAACAAATGCAATGCGAGACTGTCTTGAAGCAAACCCAAAACCCCTGTATAAAAGGGGGAAAGCAACCCCTAAAACCACCTTCCCATTAAAGTAACTCATTGCTATCCCCCACTCATCTCGAAAACACTGACCCTTTTCCTCCATTCAATAACGAATACTTCATAGTCCGTACGTCTAAACTAGGTACTTACGAACCAAGGAGGCCCAACATCTGGGACAGTCAGGTCAGCACATGCACCGCACGACTTCGAACTCCACATCCCTCGGCTGTCGAACAGCAACACCAACCCATCCACGGAGGTGAGGCGCGACAACGGCGAAAAGAATTCACTGGACACGGACTTCCGAACGAACAATCAGTTACTGACCTATAATCAATCTCTAAGGCAATAAGGCATCGATATAGATCACAAACTGCAGATGTCTAAATCAGTAACTACCACTACAACTGTACTACGACCGGGTTCCTACCCACGGCATAACTACTTAACTACCTACCTACCTCACAAGACTTAACTACCTACCTACCTGACAAGAAAACATCAACTAGCTCAGAAAGTTCTCGATCAAACCGTTAGTCTTGGCCCTTGGACATGTCGATCGCCGTTACACCAAGCCTCGATCTCGGGTCCTGGGCAATCGGGTACCGAGTACCGACTGTCTTGGACTCTTGGCCGGGTTGATCCGTTCGATGGGTTCATGGGGAGAGAATTACCAAGGAACCAGGAAAGTAGCTACCTTGTTACCTAAAGGGTCTTGAGTCTCCAGGGTTCGGGCGGTTTAGTTGGAAATTAAGTGGCAGGGATATAGCGGGTAAATTGGTCGGGTGGGTTACACTTTAGTTACCATTCAGGGAGTACAAAGTCGTATTTGGCGTGTTTTTGCCGTTCGGTGGAAAATCATCTTTGCATTTCTGTGTATCATTAAGGAGTGTTCGTGGGGACGGGGCTATAGAATAATAAAAATAAAAGGAGAGGAGTTGAATATTTAAGGGATACAAGAAAAGGGGTTGTTGACCGGCCAAATTCCAAATCGACGGAGCAGGGCAAACCGCAAAAAAAGGAGAAACGTATAATACAGGATATATGAGAGAGAGAGAGAGAGAAAGAAAAAGCAAAGATTATTCCCCAGTCAACCAACGTATCCCCCTAATTCGACCCGATCGTGTGAATCGTAGAATGCGTCGCGTAGTGTACAAGTAAAAAAAAAAAAAAATCAACCGTCTGCGACTGAATCGTTAGTGTTGTTGAGAGAATCAAGCCCGCCACGGAAAACCCACCCACCTTGAATCATCAATGTCTACTCAGCATGGCTCGTCTTCCGCAGTCGCGGGTAATACATGATGACCACCACGACGACAGCCAATAGCATGACCAGGGTAGGCAGAAACATGAACGTAAATAGAAACAAGCTCAGCCCGAACGCGGCGTTCTGTCCGGGAAAGAATCGACGGGCCATAGTTTCAACGGCAGATGACAGCATTGGTTTCGGTTGATCTCCAAGGCAAAAGTGACAGGAATAGGAGGATTGGCGGGATGGACAGGGAGGCGCGTCGAAACTAGTACTTGGTAGTTGACTGCGACTTGTAGTTGTAGGGTGAGGATAGCCACTAATGACGTAGAGGTCAAGTGACGGGTGGTTTTATATATCTTAGTTTAGGATGAAAAGGTAAATAGAGAACTAAGGTGGAGAGACGACGGGGGCTTTGTATCGGTACGAAGTACGAGTGTTTGATTAAAGGCGTCTCGTGAGTTTGATGAAGCCGACCGACGGTCCAAGATTAAGTAGTCGTGATTAATTAACTGGAGAAGGTGCATTGCATCCGTATCCGCGAGGTTTACCTTACTCCCGTCGGTCTACAACTGGATCGATCGAAGGGGTGGGAATGGAATTAATAATAACCATAGACGCAGACGCCAAATTCCGAGGGTTCCGAACGACCTCGGGATGAAGATGTAGTGGCGTGCCTTATCCAGACCATGCTTGTGTGGGATAGAAAGTTACGGAGCAGACTTTGAAGAGGAAGAAGCAGGCATCGAAATTCTGCATTGCCAATTTCCATCCCTACGAGTGGAGACCTAAGCAGCCCTGTGGCCTGTAAGTAGCAGGTAACGATACCAAGGGCCGCAAGGATGTGCCGGCTATTGGTGGCCGGGACTGGATGGAGGAGCCTGGCCCCGCCCGCCCCACCGGCACTACACCGGATTTGAGGCCGAAAGCAAGGACGGAAGCGCAGGCAGCAACATTCTGCTTTGCAAATACACCGATGGCTGGGTGGTATTTTTACTCAGGTATTTAGTTCCGTCCGTGGAGTACTGCCAGTTCATCGTTTGCCTTGGACCAGGAATTAGAATGGACAAAAAGAGAAGGTCGTTGCCAGATGCTTATCAGGGAGATGCATTGCATCGCAGTCAACCCCCTTACTGTGTATTCTCGGTAGCTCGGTTAGACTGTACAATGCGGGGGATAATTAGAACTCATTTCTGGCGTACTTCGTAGGAAGGAATTGACTTCGCTTGGAACGGTGGTCCTGGAATATTCGACGGTGGCTCTAGGCAACCACTTACCAGGAGCTGGCGCTTACCGATGCTGGAAGGATGGTACGTGGTTAGCAGAGATAGTGTAGTTAACTATGGGGTTTAGATGGAATAGATTTGAGGGACCAGTCTATTTCAGATTTTCAGATGAACCAGCGGGAGATTGGGGGTCATAACAGTGTTCAACCGTGTTATTCTATTCATATCTGTTGTAAGGACTTCAGTGGTAATACGGCCATGCCCTGTAGGGCTGAAGCTTGGCACGGATCCTCGGCGCTTTCCACGGTTGACGGAAGTGTTTACTGTACCTTACTCCGGGTATGAAAAGAACCTGAAAGTGAAAAATGGAAGAATCGTCATGGGCTTCCTTCCTGTTCTAAATTAGAATAAAAATAACCCTGGGCGCAATCGATCGCCAACGCTTTGTCAGACGCCCATTTGTGGGGGAAACCCATCCCTTGCTCGCCAATCTTCTCCTCTTCTTCCTCTTTCCTCCCCTCAGCATCACTTTCTTGTACCACTTAAAAAATTCATCCGCTGAGATGATGCCCGTTCTTTCTCTCCTTCCTCCTTCCTGACCCTTTTCAACTCTCCTCAATCGTATACACATTTTGGCCGACATGGCGTTCTTTTCCGCCTACGGCCCTCCCGATCAGTCGGAGTCCGATAATCTGGGGGTGGATTGGGTGGTTCGCTTTGATTTTGAGGATCTCGGTAAGTTGCCGCTCCGCGTACACCATTCGTGTCCCGTTCGTGACGCTGACATCGGTAGAATTCACCCAGGCTGTCGAAGAATTCCGCACCCTCATCCATGATCTCGAAGAAGCCCATCTGCAGACCCAAGTCCGCCATGGTCATGGCTCCTCGCTGCTGGTGTTCATTCGGGTACCCCGCGATCACCTAGGGAAAATGGTCCATCAGTCTCGGTACGCCACTCACCATCGTTTCGCAATCATTACTACACCTTCATCATTCTGACAAATGGGAACAGCGTGAAAGACTGGCTGTATGGAATTGCCCACGAGCTGCCCGTTGGCGACGACCAGACCATCGCCGAATCCGAAAGCCCTGCCGAAGAACTTCGGTCGGTATACCACGCAGTGACGTGGCAGAAGTCGCTGGGAGGTGCTGGCATCACGGCGCAGCATGGTCCGTGGAAACATGTCACCGCGGCTATCCCGCTGCACGATCCGGCTGCAAACGCCGAGCTGTTGCGGAAATGGAGTCGGTCCGTATTGCTGACACCGGATGATCTGGACGCTATTAGAGCTTTGTTTGGCGAGAAGGTGGGTGTTTTCCTGATAACCACTCTTATAGTTGGGTTGTGGGTTCTGTCTGGTGTACTAACGGGGATCGTATTTTAGGTTGCCTTTTACTTCGCCTTCATTCATTGCTATTCGACTTTCCTGTTCTTTCCCGCCGCATGGGGTGTCTTTTCGTGGCTCTATCTAGGCCCTTATTCCGTCGCTGGCGCCGTGGTTAACTGCCTCTGGTGCATTGTCTTTGTTGAATATTGGAAGATTCGCGAGACCGAGCTCAGCTTGCGATGGAACGTTAAAGGTGTTGGCGCGCTGAAGGTCAATCGTGTGCAGTACGTTTGGGACAAGGAAATCAAGGATCCCATCACCGGAGAGACCATGCGTGTTTTCTCGGCCCACAAGCAGCTTCTTCGCCAGCTTTTGTTGATCCCCTTTGCCACGGTCGCAAGTTTAGCACTCGGCACACTGATCGTGGCCTCGTTTGCTTTGGAGGTTTTTATTTCCGAGGTGTATAATGGTCCCTTCAAGAGCTACCTGGAGTTCCTGCCGACCGTGCTTTTCTCGCTTTCGTTGCCCTCAATCACCAACGTGCTCACCCGAGTCGCCCTTCGGTTGACCAAGTACGAGAACTACCGCACCCAGGACCAATACGACCTAGCCCAGACGTCAAAGACTTTTGTTATGCACTTCATCACGGCGTTCCTGCCTACTATTCTGACGGCTTTTGTGTACGTCCCGTTTGGCGAACGCATCTTGCCGTATCTCGATGTGTTCCGCGTACGAGGAGTGTCCAACACCTTGAACCCGTCGCAAGTGCACATCGACACCTCTCGATTGCAGCAGGAGGTCATCTCGCTGTCTATCACCGCACAGGCTCTCAACTTTGGCGAGGAGGTGGTGTTCCCCTACGTGAAACGTGTGCTATTGCAGAAATGGCGCGATTACCGCGAAAAGCGAGAAACGGCAGGCCACGCCAGGAACCACTCGAAACAGACCGATCGGTTGTTGGCGGATTCGCCCGACGAGGCGAGTTTCCTCACGCGCGTTCGCAACGAGACCGAGGCGGACGAGTATAACGTGCATGAAGATATCCTGGAGATGTGCGTTCAATACGGGTATCTGGCTCTGTTTGGCATCTCGTGGCCTTTGGTGCCTTTAGGATTCTTAGCAAATAACTGGTTGGAATTGCGTGGTGACTTCTTCAAATTGAGTTTGGAGTGTCAGCGACCGCCGCCGATCCGTGCCGACTCGATAGGACCATCGCTGCAAGGGTTGGAGCTCCTCACTTGGCTCGGATGTTTGTCCACGGCCGCCATCGTATACCTGTACCGCGACGGAATGCAAGAGGTGAACACTACCTACCTGCTGCTGTCCATCCTGGTGGCAGAATGGGCCTACCTGGTGGTGCGCTTCGCAGTGCACACGGGCTTGCAAAAGTTGACGGAGGGTATCAAACGCCGGGAATCGGCCAAACGGTATGCAGTGCGCAAGGCGTATCTGGATACCTTCTCGGAATGTGCATCTCCACGCAGCAAGACCAAGGTGCGCTTCCAGGACCGTGTCAGCGTTTACACCACTGCCACCGACGTGAAGACGGGCTCCGAGGAAGCCCTACACGAGGAGCAAAATGGCAATGGGAAATCGGAGAAATTCTGGTCGTGGCCTCAGCAGGAGACAGCGGACGCAGGCGTTCGGCTGATCAAGGCATTGAGCTCGGAGAGTAAGCCAGTGAAAGATGCGAAGGGGGCGTAGACAATTTTTTTTTTTTCTATCTGTCTAGTTTATTTCTGAATACATGTGTATGTTAAGTGGACAATTAAAAGAGTATATGACCGGATGATCGAAAATTGGATGACGCGAGTAAACGAGACTAGCGGCATTCGTCAACCAAGGGACACATAAGCGAATGGAGGAGGCAAGCGATCGATCACAATACAAGCTCTCGTTGAAGCAAGAACTTCCGAGACTCCGTGATCCACCAGAATCCGGATTCATGGCGAGCCTTCACGATCCTCCATTGGAGAAACTAAAGCCATCCCCGCTCTCAGGAGGGGCCCACCGATGCTTGGTTTGGAAGGGTTAGGCAGAAGTGCAGATGGCCGGTCAATTGGCCCCGTGTTTGAGTAATATTTTCTTTCTATTTCTATTAAACCCGAGATATCCCCAAGCATATCATAGAGAAAAAACCGCTATACATCATAAAAGAACACGATTGCCTGCAGCGAATCCACTTCAGCCCTACAGGGCAAGGCCAAGCTTCTCTTCCCGGGGCCACTCAGTCACTCCCCCCGGCTCTCTCTCTCTCTCTGCTTCCCGACAGACCGACATTCTTCGCCCTCGCATAAAATTCTCTCTTTCTCCCTCTTTTCCCTCCCTTCCTTTCACCTCTTTCCGTCCAAGCCACTCCACCAGTAGTTACCTTTTTTCCCTTTCTCCCTCTCCCCTCCCTCTCTTTCTCTCTTTCTCTCTTTCTTCTCTCCTCTTCTTTCTCCTCCTTGTCCTCCCCCGGGCCTCACCTCCCTCGGGATGAGCCGCGTTTTTCCCCCACTCCCTCATGGCCCCCTCGCAGCTCCCTCCTTCCTCTAACGCGTCCTCCAAAGCCGTCCATCATGAGGAGACCGAAGAGACCGACCACTTCCCCGTCGCCAGTTTTGTCCGCTACAAACGCTCCAGGCGACATGGATTGCACCTGGTCCACCCCCCTTGGTACCGCAACAGCCTGCTGGCCAGCACCGGTTACCTAGAGTTTGCCAATGCGGGAGATTTCGCCGCCAACGTCTGGAACCAGATCCCGGTGCCCCGACACGCCATGATCCTCATGGCTATCGGAGGCCCCCTGGCCCTGATGATGGCCGCAGTAGCCGTCCGCGATGGCTTTCTCAGTTGGCAGAACGTGCGGGTCCTACGTTCCGAACGCCAGTACCTGAAATCCCTGCGCCATCACTGCCTCACCGCGTCGTCGGCTTCGACGGTCGACACCGATCTTGTTAATCTCATCGACATCCGCCTTGGCGTCGGGTTCCGCGAACTCGGCACCGAATTCATCGACCGGATTGCCATGGATATTCTTCTGGGCATCGGCGCCCTGCTGGTCGGGACGGGCGCCCTCATGGCCATCTGGGGTGCCAACCCGCGCGTCTTCCATGCGAGTAACTTACTATCTGGGTTCGTGGGAAACGCCTTTGCTGCGGCCTTTGGCCTCGTCAACGCCGTCTGGTCCGCGTACCTGGTCTGGCGATTCCAACGTCATATCGTCGCCGTGATGGAGTCCCCTAACGTGGCGACGTTTCGCGATCGGTTAAAACTCCGCTTCCGCCGGTTCCAATGGCACGCTGTCATCTCCGGCTCGACAGGTCTCGTCGCCGGCGCCGCGTCCATGGTCACGGCTCGCATGTGGTGGGGATACGTGGTGTTGATCCCCTGCATGGTGCTCCAGGTGGCGTGTAATCGGTTCTGGCGGATCCAGCTAGGCTACGACCGGCCGCTGGCCTCGCCGGCGAATCACACTCTGCTGCAGCCCGCGTCCAGCAAGGAGAGTAGCGATACGGGAGACGACGAGAAACATGCCCTCCTCCTCGAGAGCCTGGCCAGTACCATCGCGCTTTACAACGCCCTGGAACCCCTCCCGTCGCCGGACCTCGACTGCACCTCGCTCGACACCCTCCTTCAATTCATCGTCAACAACGACCTCTTCGACTCCCTGTGTGCCTGGCTCGCGCACGATAAATCCGTCCCGGCCTCTTTGCACGAGACCATCTTCCGCTCGTCGCCAGAGCACAACGAGATCTCACTGGCGCCGTGTCATCTGCTGCGTGTGTCGGCAGCCGAGCAGTCGACTCTGCGGGATCTTTGTCGCATGTTCCTAGAAGGCGAGGGTCGTAAGGTTTTGCTGTCGCGAGAGCGCTATCTCCTGGAGATGGTGGGATATACGACATTGCGAGATGCGGAAGGGGTTTCTTTTTCCTTGTCTCCGCCGCCAAAACCGTTGTAAAAAGAAAAGAAATGAAAAGAAAACTCGTGCAGCAGGACTGACTGTGCAGGCACAGATAGATAGGCCTATCTAGAGCGATAGTTAAAATTAATGGTAATGTGAATAATGCATTCATGGATAACTGAGTTGACTAGTTTATGGGAACGATGTGGTCCTCACTGTAATCTAGGTGTGAGATCAACTCAGTAACCTACGGTCTACTAATGCAGGTTGCCCAATGGAGAACCATCAATTCTTTCATCAAAAGCAGCATCGCAATGAGCTTCCACCAATATAAGATATACATTTCTGACCTTACTACTTTCCTACATAGAGCGCTGGAAAATCTATCAAGATATCGTATTTGTGCTTTACATCCACTGCATGTATGTAGGTATAGTACGTATATCTACCAACTAATCATGATCCGAGATCAACCGTCTCGTCTCAGCCCAATCCAAGGATTCCTGTCGACCTTGAAAGTCGAAATTCAGTTCACCGACTAACCCTTTTACATCTCTATACCATAAAGCACACATATTAGCAATGGCTCTCATTTAAAAACACCAACCCACTTGAAGTCCATCCAAAGGTGAGAAAGAAAGTAAAAAGAAGAAGAAAAAAAAAACGTACCTCAACAACCCCCTCAACCCAAACCCAACAACAGATCGTAGGACCTCAAGCGCCACAAACGCCGAAAACGCCGGGTCCTCAACATGTCGGATACTCAGCATCTCGCCGTCGATCTTTTGTAGTTCGCGCGCTAGCGGGAACGAGTCGCCTGTTGAGAGGTACGGGGGTAAGGGTTGTGCGTTTGTTAAAGACGCGGAGAGATGGCAGAGTAGCGATGTGGTGGCGTGGGAGGTGAAATCGGGGGAGTGCAGGGCGATCGTGGCGAGGCGGGATATCCATGGATTTCTCTTATCGGTATGATTATCACTGTCCTTGTCGTTGGGATTATTGTTCTCGGTATCGTTACTCTCGGGGGGAGTGGTGGTGGTGGTGGTGGTGGTGGTGGTGGTGGTGTTCCTTGGAGCCAACGCATCCAAAGTCCGCGTCGTCTGCGCCATCAACGCCATACTCGTCAACATGCGTTGAATCTCGCCGATGATGGTATCGTAGACCGGTTTGGGGAATTTGCCGCCGATGGCAGGCTCAAAGGTACTGAAGTGGCTGTGCATGCGGAGTTGGTTCAGCAGCATCATTTCTTCCTTGAAGATGTTGTGGAGGGCGGTTTCGAGGGTGAGACGCGTTTCATCCATGCTCTTAGTCGCGGGATGGCTTTCTCCGTTGTGAGTATCACTGTTTCTGCTATGTTCATGGTTATGGTTAGAGCTTCCATCTTGGTCGTGGTGATGGTCATGGTTATGGTGACTATCCACCTCCCCACTAACCAACCACATCTCCACAGTAGCATGCATACAACCATAAAACCTCGCCAGCACAAACAGCCCCCGTCCCAGCGCCTTCCGCAGCGTCGACTTCGCCGTGATCGGGTACGGGAAAATCACCCAGAAGAAAGAGATGGCGCAGCCGGCGGCCACGGCGGCGAGTTTGTACGGCCCGAAGAGGTAGATCGGGTAGTAGGGTTGGCCGTTGGAGGTGGCTGCTTCGAGACCGAGTTTGCGGACTTGCAGCTCGTACCCGACGATCACGTTTAGGGTTACGATGGAGATGACGGCCGCGCCGAAGTATTGGGGGACTTTGATGTAGAAGTAGTACTGTTTTCTTTATGGTTAGTGGGGAGTGGTGTGGTGGAGATGGTGCACTAGTGTAGGAGGAGAGTGATAAGGATGGGAGAAAGGAAAGGTTCTGGGTCTTACCTCGAAGACATTGGCAACGTACAGGAATACGATGATCCCTGCAGTCTTCTGGTCCACAATGTACCAGATAACCAAGCTCAGCACTAACGATATGGCAGTCGCTGCGATCCTAGCCATGAAGCCGAACATGGTCTGTCCGCTCGTCGGGTTCATCCCGATCACGATGACAATCATCGCCCAGATACACCGCTGATGGATGAAGAAGTCCTGAGTCTGGTGCAGAAAAGCCAGGATGCCCACGCTAAAGGAAGCCGCCGCGACTCGGAACCCGAAAAGGCTCTGCTCGGAGCGAATGACACGGGAGATGACGCGGAGGATGGTGCTGCCTTTTTCGAACAGGTTGGCCGGAGGCAGATGCTCGGGGTCGGGGAATTGGCCGGACGGGGGATCGTACACCGTCGAGGAATTAGCAGGTGAAGACTCTCTGCGGTCTGATGCGCTGTCGGACTCTTTCTTCTCGGGGTTGAGCGAGATCCATTCTCGAATCGAGTTCTGTTTGGGGAAGAGGACCCGGTTGTGCTTCATGGTCCCGTCGGCGATTTTGCTGTCTGCGAACTTGACCAGGTCGAGAGTTGCCTTGAGCAGGGTCTCTTGTAAATGGCCCATATAAAGGATGAGGAAGAACTCCTGTCGCACGTCGGAGTCTGCAGCGAGTGTGCGCGGGTCGTCGGAGGTATAATCCGTCACTTTTTCGGGGACTGAGAATGCCCCAAGCGAGGCGAGAGCGCGCGGCAGGTGTTTGCGCGAGGCATGGTATTCCTGCAGCTGATGTTCAAACCGGGCTGTGAAACCTGGCTGTAGCGGACTCAATGCGCCGGCTCGAGACTCCTCGTCTGCCCGAGCGTTGAGCTGTCGTTCCAGCTGCTTCGGCTTGATCAATTCGAACGCGAGAAGAACATACTGCAATCCTGTTGTCGTTAGATTCGACGCCTCCACGAGCCGTTCATGCAATGTCTGCACGACCCTCTGGATCTCCGAATGCTTCAGCGCCTGTTTCTCAGCATCCTGTTCATCAGGGATATCTCCGGCACTCTCCCTCGTCCCTTCATCATTCACGACCATCTCCAAAATATCCGGCAACATGACCATCCCCGACAGAGGCAGCAACAGACTCCGCATCAACCCACCCACCTGCTTCAAATCCTCCGCCGACAGCTTCCCCCACGCAAACTCATCCGTCGAGTAGAACAAATCCGACTGCAATTTCCCATGCAGGGCATTCAACCTCCCCATCCCCGCCGCCAGCCGTTTCCGCTTCCCCTCCAGCCCAGACTCCCCCGGCGCTTCCGCCTCCCGCATACTCCGCGCCGTGCGTGTTCGACTCAACAGGCCCTTCCCACCCGTCCACGCGTCCTCACTCCCAACCACAAAGTCAATCTGGGCTTTCAGCAGGGCATCGACCTGCGCTACGTAGCCCTTGACATCATGAAAAACGTCACCGCGACTGGTGATTGGCACGATGAAGAGCGACACGCCAGTGGCGATGGCGAACCCAATCATGAAGCCTTTCAGCAGACGTGCAATGAAACTTAAGCCTTCGGATAGAGTAACAAAAGTACCGGCGCGGGTGATGGTGACGGAGCAGAAGATGGAGAACGCGACCATTGGGTCTTGTAGCTCCATAGGGCGTAGGGCACGGAGGGTATTCGCGGCCCTAGAAAGTCTTTGTTAATTTACGTACTTGCAATTTCTCTAGGTAAGCGTGATGTACTGGCACGAACCAAATCATAAAAATCAACCAGATGGCAGAGACAGCGCAGGCGTCGCTGCTGAAGCCGTTCCGGACGCTCTCACTGGCGTCTGCGGGCGTGTTGTGTTTTCTTGCCTCGACGGCGCAGTAGACTGCTAGACAGCATAGCGAGGCTGAGACGCAGGTCGATAGGAGGTCGAAGAACATGATTTTCATGAATTTGGCGCGCGGCATTAAGGCCTGAGAGAGCACGGAGATCAGGGCTGATAGGTAGCCTATCGTGAGTGTGATATCGGCAATAGCATCACTCTGGTGGCTATATATTTCATGTTAGGTTTGTTCTCCGGGAAAAGATTGAGTCTGAAGAGCAAGCAAGCAACTCACATGGCGATGACTATCGTTGGCGGTAATGCGCCTTTCAGCATTAGTAGAAAGGACCATGAGTCCAACTCGAGGCGCGCTCTCCATGTTAGTGGATTGAGTATACTGCTCCTGTTAGTCATTTTCACATGGTCAATGGTCTGCGGCCTCCCTACCTCCGTAGTTTCGATGGTTTCGATTGCCCCGAGCTCCCCGGGGGAGCCATTATCTATGACACGGATGGAACGACAAAGCGACAGGGGATGATACGTCGCAGAGAAAATTGAAAATTGTCCGCATTGAGTTCAGAGCAAAAACTAATCCCCAGGGCAAAAGCCGTACAGTTTAGTGCCATGCAGGCTAGTCGATTCGAAGGGTTCGGCATCGACGACGGCTGCATCCGGATCGGGTTCCCGTGCCTGAAATCATGACGCGTGCCGAGCCAACTGCCGGCAAAGATCTTTCGCGGCAGTGATCTACGAAGTAGCTGAAAGCTTCGCTATTAAACTATCTAGGGCGTTCTGCAGGGACTGGGTGTACACACAACAGAATGAATTAACAGATGCCTTTATTAACACCGGACTGATGAATCGATGTAGGACGGTTTAATGTCTTCCACGGTGTTGCCTACCTACCTAAAAATGCTTGGCTGCCTGCCTCAGGCATTCAAACGCCTACATGCTCTTAACCACGGCGACAAATGGAGGGTATTGAATTCTCCGTGATTGAGTTATGTTCCTTCCTCGAGCAGAAATTGTTCATTTTTCGAGTTTTCCGATGGTTTGCTAAGAAGAATGTCAATCTTAGTGATATATTTACCAAACTGTTCAGAATATACTAGGTTTCAAGGGAATATAATATCTTTCCAATGTCAATGGTAGTTTGGGTCATCTTGATTATTGTTTAAATTTCCTATAATTCTTGTTGCACTTTCCAGTCCTTCTCAGCCAACAAGAGTATATCAAAACATCTGTTTCTCCCCAGAATGACTTAGCATTGTGATATGACCTATACACAGAGATCACTCGACAAGGGGTTGATCAGGAGCCTGCTATGACATGGTTCAAAGTCCGCCAAATGTTCATCAAAGTTCAACAATCTTTACCATTCAATAGATATAGCAATCGTTCAGCTAGTTGCCCCTCAAGAATTCAGTCCAAGTTGAACAAACTTCTTCGAAAATTGCCTTTCAACCAACGGCAACAGACTCCCACACCAAACAATCATAACAGCCACCCAAGCAAGTCCATACGCGTATCCATGTGTCCGTTCGAACCGCGGGGCCTCTGAGGTAGGGAACATAAACTGCTGAGAGACGGTTTCGACAGCACTGGTACTGAACGTCAGTAAGCATTATTCCAACATGATGGGTAGAGGAGGCACATGGCTTACTATCCCATTGAAATCTTGAGTGAGGTCGTCAGCGCACGGGGCTGCCTGTCCCCTCCGCAGCTAGAGTTTAACCACGCGCTAATCAAAGGCGAAATGGTGCCATAAGCACTGCACTGCATAGATAATAAATCCTAGTGTTGACGGCAGTATTGGTAGACCAAATGTAGAATACGATGTATGCAGCGAGTTGAACCAGGCCTAGAAAGACAATAACGAGTGCGCGCAATTTTAAGAAGTATGCCAGCGTAGAACTGAGCAAAAGCCATGCCAGCTCCTGTGATCGGTATGATTAGTACTCAAATGACAGTGGGTAAGGCAGACCGAAACTTACAACGCATCCGACCACTGTGGGGAGGCTGTTGATCTTCTCAATAGAGTACATAGGGCGGCCGTCTACCTTCAGAGACTTCAAATAAAAGGTCATCCACCGTTGGAGGTTGACTCCGCATGTACACTCCATGAAGCTGAGATCCGATTAGAATGACTTCTCTGCTGAATGTTAAGGGAAGGACGATGCGTGAGGAAACATCAGTGCGGGAAAGGCGTACCATGTAAAAGGCTCCTGGCATCGCCCCAGAAACAGGTCAGCAAAAATCCTGTTTGGTGGCGTGGCAATTTAGTGAAAGAGGTTTGAATCAGATGTCGTGTATAACACTTACAGTAAAACGTAAATTGCTTTTGCATCCTGCACCTTGTACATAAACAGGACAAAGAAGGACCATATCATTGTGCTGGCTGGTAGCAGGTATCGCGGTTTGATAACTGTCAGTGCCATTGTGATGAATGTCCTCCAACCATAATACTGATGTTGAAATAGGTCGTAAACCAATGCAATTCATTTCCCTCTGTAGAAAGATTATATGCTTTAGCCGCTGCCTCGCCTTGCATGGAAATAGCCAGCTCACCAAGATCCAGGTCCTCTTTCATACCCGAGATGTACGCCTTGGTCACATTCGTTTGGTCCTAAAATGAAGGTTAACCGACTATCATGATTTCAACCTTACAATGGCTTTATCCAGATTGCCACCAAGACAAAACCTGAAATCCTCGACAGCGTACATACCACATACTTGATGAAATAAGTCTATACGGGGTGAGCTACGTCAGCAGCTGAATACCAGACCGGAAATAGCATGCGGCTAAGGACAGGGAAATTACAAGACAAGAGTAGAGTAATATACAGAAGTCGAGCTTGAATATAAACCATTTCTTCTCCTTCGTGGTACCTGGCTCGTGCCAGTGCCACCAGCGTCGTCCGGGTGTGTTTCCCCCACTAGGCAAGAGGTCGGGTTTGGCAGGCGCCTCCACGTAGGTGGATGAGGTTCGGTTCTTGTTTGACATTTTTGGCAGCTTGAGGTGATTGTTCTCTCCGTTGGTTAACGGTTTGCAGTTTTTGCTCTATATCGGTAGAAGGCGAGCTAGATTCACTAGCCATGAGAACCTTGGAGGTTAATAACCAGTAGCTGGTGATGAGGCGACAAGTTGATTGCTCGGGGGCCCGGGCCGTAGTTCGGGGGGGCCTAACTCAGGAATGCCAGTCTATCTAATACTAGCCTCCTTAGCCACCACGTCTAAGCATGGTCAAGGTGGTCCTGGATGGGGTAATTGCAGCAAATACACGAGCATCACTCAGTATAAGGCTGTGTGGGTTCTAAGGCAACTAGGGTTCCACGGGAGTCGACCCCTGTTGGACCTATTCAGTATGTCATGATAGCGTGACCAGCAAGACAGTTGCCAACCTTTTACATCAGGCAATGAAAAACAGTGCCGCTCGACGCTTCAGCAAGACTTAGGGCATACAAAAGGGTTGTATTCAAGTGTAAGCGGCTGGCACCCATACCTATCTATCTATCCATCCATCCATTCATCTATGCAATGAATGTTAATAGATCACATACTCAAATATGCTCTGTCTCCCATTCTTTTATACTCGCCCTAATTATCACCATCATGCACTCCTGTGCATGTGCAGTACATTTGATATCCCGGACGTGATTGGCATTTGACTTGGACAGCAAAGTGTGTGTAGTAACCGAAAGACCGAGCATTTGCCGCATAATTAACACTAAAGTTCCCTTTGGCCCTTCCTTTCCTCGAAGGGCCAGTACTCCGGTCTTGCATTCCTACCCAAAGGCTCTGGTGTCCTAATTTCACGGCGATAGGGAACGCGTACATCGAGGCCATCGTTGTATTTTTTCTATGTCTTTTGTCTTTCTTCTGTATTCCGGAGACTTTTGCGCCGGTTATCTTAAAACTCAAGGCGGAGGAGCTGCGCAAGAGCACGGGGGACCAGCGATATTGGCATACGCATGAAAAGGAGGAGATTGATGTGAGGAATGCCATGACCAAATGCTTTAGCCACCCGTTAAGGTGGGTCTGATAGTTTACCTGTTGAAGGCTTTATCTATCTGCCTTACGTACAGAATGCTTGTGACGGAGCCTCTAGTGACTTGTATGACATTCTATGCTTCCTTCACTTACAGCCTGATCTACTTAACCCTGGAGATTTTCCCGATAACTTTTCGTGAGCAACGGCAATTGTCTCTACTTTCTTCTTCCATGACGTTTCTGGGGATCTTAATAGGTGTCGTTATTGCCGCCTCTTTGAATTTTCCTTCCCAGCCTTACTATAGAAGGACTGTCAGATTAAATCACGGAAAGGCTGTCGTAGAAGCACGTCTGCCGCCGCTAGTCTTTGGTGGTGTCCTTCTCACGACTGGTTTATTTTGGTTTGCCTGGACGGCAGCGCCGAAGTATCCATGGCCAATGCCAGTGGTTGCAGCAGGTAGGGCTTGTCTTCTCTTGCTGTTTTTCATCTTGAGTCTTCATAAGCTCTGACCATGAACTAAATGCCGTTACTAGGCTTCATCGGTGATGACTTTACTTTGGTATTTCAACAATGCTTGAACTTTCTCGTTGACACATACGGACCCTACGCAGCAAGTGCTGTCTCTGCAACCACTATGCTTCGGTCTGTGCTGGCATGCGCTCTACCTGTTGTGGCAGCACCAATGGCCCATACCATGGGCATTGGTCCAGCGATAAATCTTCTTTGGGGAGTTCCCTGCCTAGCACTCCCAGTTCCAATCATCTCCATGAAATATGCCCCAACCCTTCGGCAGAAGTCGAAGCTTGCTGTTGCTGATAGCTATTAGCATTAGTAATACTGAGTCGGGAAAGCCTTATAAAATGGATGGTGCTATCATTGTGGCAGTGCTATAAACTATATACCTAATGCAATCAAACATAGAGTGGGATCAGGGTTGTACGACGGATGTCCTATGCTAAATTGAATGAGACGGCAAACTGGGGTTTAGATGAGTTCTGACCTCTGTCGATGTAGAGAATCGATGCCTCCGAAAAAAGAAGCATTGAACTTAGGCACAGTTTATTCCTGTCAAAAAAAAATGAAAATAGAAGAAATGAAAAAGAAAACGGAGCAGACTCGATAGCCAGGCATAAGTTTCAAATTTAGAAGGTCAACAAAAAGTGCTAACCAGTTTTTCGTTCAGCGTGTTCGTATATTCGAAGCACTCTCATGCCTTTCTATCAACTAACCTCTACTCGCTTCTGATGGAATATTGTCAATATCAACAATATAGAGTAGCAAGAGCGATTGGACTTTCATTCAATTCGTTCAGTGTTTCTTTCGTGGCACTTTAACAGGTTACATACCGAGCGAATACTGTCCACAACGGCATCAAATATACTCCGGTACGAACCCCTGTAGGGTCCGGGCCCCTATCAAAAGACCTCACTCGCGTATCAACGATTCCTCATCTCTCAAGTGATAACTATTCAATATATTCCAATTATTTAGACATCATCCACCAGCCCCGAATTGAGAAGAGTGGAAGCCAATGAAAACGAGCAATCAATCCACAATAGAACTTTATAAGAGATCCAAGCGCTGCAAACGCAGATCGACCCATTGTAGGCACCATCCACGCGGTCTTACGATGGCAAAGCTGACGCAAACAACCCAGAACTCCAAGAGAGTCATCGAGGCATCGAGAAGGAAAATAACTGTGGTCATGCAAAGAGACACCTCGGTGTGGTCACTAGGCATCAAGGCGCAGCGTCTGGACTACAGTGGTGAACATGCAACCGAGAGCTCCTCTGTACCACGCTGGCCAGCGCAAACATCTCACAATCTTAGAAAACAGCTTTTGAACCCTACACCTTAACATTATGAAATCCAGAGCCATTATGGATGCCCTCATCAACGACCATCAAAGCCAAGACCTGGATATTCTGCTTATGCAGGAATCATCAATGACCGCATGCGTGAATCACGGCAAATAGAGACAATACTGGCTGATGATGGAGAGGTCGATTCCAAACTCTAATTCACGTTGACCGAAAACTTTTAACATCCTCCCACCGACTGGTTCCATGCAACCTCCCGGATCTGACAGCAATCACGATCTAGATAGCCGACTTTCAGTTCCGATTTTGTCAGCCTACATTCTGCCTGTGCCGATGCACGCACATACAGAAGCATCTGCGGAGATGGTATTATCAGCTATCCAGAAGACGATACGTAACTCCCTCCAGGACAGCAGGCCCACAAGTTTAGTGTTTTGGTACTGTCAGTAGATTTCGACCGCCACTACCCCGCGTGGGAAGGCAAACCATATGCAACTCTGGTTCACTGCAGAAGTCGGTGAGCCAATAATACCCTTCATGTTAATAGCTTTCATTAACGGGACACCGCAACCTATGCGTCTTTGGATCTTGGTGTCGTAGTTTTAGGTTCTAGTGACATATACTGAGCATTAGTAGGATAGCCAAGTCCATCGATGTCTAGTTTTATTATATGTATTCTTTGAGATTTCCAATGGTCTAGGTCAGTACTAGAGCTACTCTAACGGTAGCTGATAATTGCATTTAGGGGACTCGGGTGTCTAGACGAGAATTGTACCTCTTTCAGGCTGCCCCTTACATTGGTTTAATTACCATACCCTGGACTCTACTAATCATGACAATGATGATATTCAGCCTGCAGGGGGAGATAGCAATTGATCATGTGGCAATGTAATTAAGCAGTGAAGCACAGTCTAGACCTAGTAAGATGGGCTTCATACCCCCTTCAGCGCTGTTCTTCAACAATAATAGTGTCTAAATCCTTTTGTAGTTATATGTCTCTCGCTTTCGAATTATAATTGCCTAATAATATCTCTTATATGATATAGAATATTTTAAAAGATATTATATACTTATTCGCTTAGTTTCAGTATAGAATAAAAGATTTATAAATTAGACACCGAATTACAAGGTTTACAGACAAGCTTAATGGATCTCTATCTACATTAACTAGGATCGACAATCTTACCAACTGCATTGGTGCCTTGGAATCTGTCCTTTGGCTCATCGCTACGACTTATCCCGACAAACTTTCCTTCACCCGACGACAACGTAAACGATGGCTTCGAGACCAATCTCCGCCCGCTTATTGCGGTATCCTTGACGAATACCCAGCTCTTCTCCTATACGGTGTATGCATCGATAGGGGAGAATTATAGGGGTGAGATTGAGAGCGTAGTCGAGACCATATAAAATCAGACACGTAATACGATCCTAGGCAATCGATCGACGCACTTGACAAATCTTGCCTACCACCCGCATAGATTGGCAGTGATTATTCGATAAGTGTGCATCGGCTACTGCAGGTAAATCGGACGATAATGAGGAGACACGATATTATAGCAGTTGATTTTGGCGTTCTGGTTGGAACGCGATTGAGAATGGCCATGCAGTTAGAATTTGCTGGTTCAACTCAATATATATCTGGACGCGTACAGTGTGCGGATACCCCAAATCATTAATCAAAGCAACCCCACCTGTTTAGTTGGTCATACCTGTCAATTTACCAACGACTCTCTGAAATTGCCAGTCGTTAATCACATGGATAGAATAAACTTTTATACAACCAGAGCGAATCCTCCGTATGGTTCCTTTAGAGTGCGATCCGAGAAGCGGTAAGGCTAGGTTCATGCAAGGGGCAAGTACAAATCTCTCATAGTGCAGGGTAAATCATTAAAAATTATTTATCCTCTGCATCTGCCTGGCCTTGTCGATTTTCTTGAACTTAATCGCTCGATTTGCGGAGAACTGGGTTATTCTGCTTGGTTTCTTCGGGATCAGCCGGATGATGTCTTTCCCGCGCGGCGTCACATGATTGTTTACGAGGAGATATCTATGTAGCACCTTGAGCTTTCGAGACATTTGCTCTCAATATATTCCGTAGCTATTTCGAATGGATGCCATTGCCTGACAACTCATACAAGACCTCAAGTACCTAAACCGATACTCTCGTCAGGCTGGTTTAATTACCATACTTCGCCCTCTACCCGGTACTGACGATGGCGACAATCAGCCTGCATAATAAATTAATCCTGCCAATCATGTTCAAATAGACAATGCAGCAATCCGACTAAGCAGTGAAGCATGGTCTAGAAGGCAAGATGTTGAGTCTACCGTAGTGTAACCGGATCCAGCCTAGGAAATGGATCACGGGACATTCAGAGCGCGCCGGAGCTGTATGACCTCATAATTGAGTAAGGGAAAGGGCTGTTCACTCTATCCGGAAACTCCCTCCTAATTAAGTTAGACTCGGTCGATAGTCTGACTAAGGTCAATCCTTGCTCACTAGAATAATCTGACACCGAATTTAGCCACTAGCGCGATGGAGACACGGGCAATCCGACTCCAGCCATCGATCGACTGGAAGATTCGGTGATCGAGCAGACACAAAGAACCTGGCTGACTGCATGCGCCGGTGTAACCCGCCTTCCACTGGTGCCTAGCGACGGTCATACTGTGTAAGACTGTAAGGACAGCCTAGCATGCCTGCTGGTAGGGCCGAAGCGGAACGCCGTGCAGGGGACTCTCGGACATAAAGAGGAATGCGCCTCGGGGACTGGGAATGTCCGCTCCGAGATGGAGACACCGCAGTGAGGCGTCATTGGCCCACCCGGGGCCTTATTTTTAGAGGTCAAGGCGAAAATCTTGGGCGAGCGGGTGGCTCTCTTGTCGGCCACAATAATGGACGCCTCCTTACATTAGTGACGATGAGGGTGGTCGTCTTGCGTGCTCTGGGGTGATTGGGTATGCATGTTCCCCGACAGTGTGATCAGGATCTACAATGCACATTTCATAGAGGGGATTGTGGTGATTACTATTTAGTGAGAGAAAGGGATGTGTTGATTACGGGTGTGAATACTGGATGATAACAAAGGGGGATTAATTGGTAGACTGATAGGAACAGAAACAGAAACAGAAATAGAAATACGGAGTAGACAGTTACAAGATGACCTCAGAAGGCGTCTAGAAAACGGGCAAGGCGATTGATAACGCTAGCCGTGGCGCAGACTTGAGCGCGTCGTTACTGGCCCATTGCAAGAGGGCCCATGGATCCCTCCGTTTGGGGATGAGCAATGATCGACCGGATTCTTGGCAAACATCATGCTCAACCAAGGATCCTGCCAAGCGCCTTTATAAATCGGCCAACTCGCTCTCGCCCCCATCTCCGCGCCCTAGGCTCTATCTCCGAAGCTTGACTTGCTTCTTCTATATTCTCTTGTGACCTGTCCAAGATATCCATCTCGCCGTCTATCTCGCGTTCCTTACAGAGTACAACCTACCCCCTTTTCTTGTTGTTTAGAAACTATTGAGAGATCCGTTACCTCTGCGCTCCCAATAAATATCTCCAGACTTTTGTTCTGAAATACATGCGTAAGTTTTCCTTTTGGGTTGTCTTCCGACTCCTTTCCTATCTTGGATTGCGTGTATTCATCCCCCACGCCACGTCCATCCTCCCCCCATGCCCATCTCCTACCCACTCTCCCAACCAGGTGAAACATGAAATCTATGTGGCTGCATTGAAGACTGTTCCTCTTTGGCTAACTCGGAATCTCTCCGCTTTTCCTATCTAGACCGGATTCGTTCGTGGGCGAAAGCTCACGCGTCTAATGGCAGTACAACAACTCCCACCCCAACTGGCGAACCCGACGCCAACCCCCCCGACGAAGAAGCTAGTCCGGCCTCGCAGCAAAATGGGCAAGTGAACTCGGGTGCTCAGGGCCCGGCAAGTCCGGAGTCGAATAGTGAACATGATGGAGAAATCTCCAAACCGGGACTTTGGGTCCGGATGAAGAATGGCAGTGTCCGGTTCTGCAAACATACCAAGACCGCTTTGTGCCACAGCTGGGTCAATATCCTGCTGCTGTTTGTGCCTGCCGGTATTGCGGTCGAAGCCGCGGGCTTGAACCCTGCCGTTATCTTTGCCATGAATGCGGTTGCCATCATCCCTTTGGCTGGGTTGTTGAGTCACGCTACCGAGTGTGTGGCTAGCCGCTTGGGAGATACCGTGGGCGCACTGATCAACGTGACGTTCGGAAATGCGGTGGAGTTAATTATTTTGTAAGTTCGTCCTTGGGGTTCAGATGTGGAGATCGTGGGCTAACCTTTTTTGTAGCATGTGAGTTACCTTGGACAGCATTCAACTACTAAGCTAATAGATCTGATCTACTTAGCATCGCTCTTGTTAAGGTAAACAGTCAACTTTCTTCCCTTCACCTCGCACTACTAACAGCAGCAGAATGAGATCCGAATCGTTCAGGCGTCCCTGCTGGGCTCCATTCTGGCAAACCTACTGCTCATTCTGGGCATGGCATTTCTCCTGGGAGGTCTCCGCTTTCAGGAGCAGGTAAGATAAAACCGATAAATGTGCAAGTTTCCTGCTAATTCTTTACAGATTTACAACAGTACCGTCACCCAAATGAGTGCCTGTCTTCTCAGTTTGAGCGTGATGAGTTTGCTCCTACCAGTCAGTCTTAAGACCCCGCCTTCCCCGCTATTTCTAACGATCTACAGACCGCGTTCCACGCTTCCTGGTCCGACAATATCAACGCCGATAAATACACTCTTAAAGTTAGCCGTGGAACAAGTGTCGTAAGTACATCTGACATTCAATGCCGGATATGTTCTCATCCCCTTAGGTCTTGCTCCTCGTGTACATCCTGTACATTATCTTCCAGCTGAAGTCCCATGCATATCTCTATGCCAGCATTCCACAGCAGATTATTGATGAGGAGTCTCATCCGGGTGTGTTGGCTGAGTTCATGAACTCATCCGACTCGTCGAGCAGCTCATCTGATGAATCTGTCGACACGACTACATCATGGTCGACTGCTAAACGGATCAAGAGGGCTATGAAATATCGACGACGTCGCAAGTCGAGTACTAGCTCCAAGGACACGAATTCGCCCCAATCCTTGCGCAACAACTCGCTGGTTGAAATGCGAAGCGGGGGAACAAGCGACCGCATCGGCTCAGTCGTCGACTCGATGTCCAGTCATACGGATGAGAAAGGTTCCCAGCCATCGAACAACGCACCTGACGGCTACGAAGCAGACAACGATGGCCACCGATTTAACGCACCCCAATCGAGAGATTTCGGTCAAGACGTCGGTCGCGTCAAGACTTCGAAACGGGAAGCTAAAAGCAAGAAGCGTCACAATAAGGAAAAGAAGAAGAAACTACTCCAGGAACCGGAAAAGCAGGAGGCCATCGTGGACAGCAACCCTGTCCCTAAGCGGCCGGAGCTGAAGTCTTACATGTCATCGCCTGTCGCCCGCTTTGAACCTAACCCTGTCGATGCCCTGCAGGTGGATGCAAACGACCTCCCGAAAAGACGATCTCCGTTCCGTCCACCCTTCCCTTCGTTGCTTTCCAATACGGTTTTTTCGAGCTCGACAGGTCCCAATGGCGTCCCGCAGGCAGGTCCTTCCGGCAATGAAACCGGTCTGCGCCGCACCAGCTCACTTCCCAGCCGCATGAACCGCCAGCCTCCCGTCGGCAACGCGGTCCAGTTTGCTCGAGGAGCGGCACGCATGCCCACGGCCGTCAATCCGGTGACTACTGAAACGGCGCCTCCCCAACATCAGCCGGTAATGTCACGTACGGCAGCTGTAGTCATGCTACTGGTATCCACAGGACTGGTGGCAGTGTGTGCCGAATTCTTAGTCGACGCCATTCCGTTGATGGTTGAAAGCTCCAGCGTCAGCGAGGCCTTCATTGGTCTGATCATCCTGCCCATCGTCGGCAATGCGGCAGAACACGTGACTGCCGTGAGCGTGGCCACGAAGAACAAGATGGATCTGTCTATTGGCGTGTCTGTGGGAAGTAGTATACAAATCGGTGAGACTTGAATTGGACCCTTGGTTTCCGTGGATGGAAAGCTAACGACCGATAGCCATCTTTGTCACGCCTCTCGTGGTCATTCTGGGCTGGTGTATGGATAAGGACATGTCGTTATACTTCACGCTCTTCGAGACCATCTGCCTTTTCGTCACGGCCTTTGTGGTCAATTTCCTGGTCTTGGACGGTCGCAGCAACTATCTCGAGGGAGCTTTGCTAATTGCCGCCTATGTGATTATCGCGTAAGTCTGATTACATCTCCATTGCTTCCCTTGACGCAATCACTCATTGATATATATTTTTTTCTACAGAGTGGGTGCTTTCTTCTACCCTGGCAACGACCAGTCCAGCGACATTGGCCGCGCTGGAAATAATTACTGATTTCGGTTGAAGGCCAAGTGTCCTGATCTTCATCTGCCCCTTTTTCGTTGTATTTGTCTTGTAATATTGCACTTTGATGTGCTCAGTACAGTCAAGACATGACGGAACCATGTGGGGCGATGAGATGGGGAGTTATCCTCTTGTCACTCGGCCAAGTCACTTACGAATGGGTCCTAGTTGCGATGAAAATCGAGAGCATGTATTTGAGATTGAGGGATGTTTTGTTTTCTTAACTGTGTTGCCTAGACGCTACGTTACAGATTTAGATAGTCTCACATCATCCTGCCTGATCGAGGCATGTTCATCACCCATCGTCTTCCTGAATTTGCTCATGCGGGGACCGGTTCTGGAATAGCGGAGGTCATTTTCATTCCCAGTGTAGTCAGGATCCACACCTGTAGTAACTATTAATATTAATTATTGTGATACCATTTCCTTACCGTCAGGAACTCAGGAAGGTTCCGGAATCGTCGAGGTGTGGCTGCTGCCGGAGTCGATGGGCTCCGCGGGCCACCGCCACAGCCACTCGCCGCGACACACGTGGCTAGTCCGTCTACGGGATCTAGGGAATAATCCCAACATGATAACTCGGACATCGTGTGATGCATATTGCAGAGTGAGTCAATGGTATTGACACAGGACTTATCGGCGTACAGGCAATGACCAGAGTCGCAATTTTGACGTAGTTTTGTTTTCCTGTCTTTGTTGATTTTGAAATAATAGGAGACAGTTCAGATTGACAGATTACGGAGTCGCCGTAGGGAGAATCCTCGCTTGGCAGGCTGTGGCTGGTAGGCAGCAAGGTGAGGCTTGATGGATCACCCACCGCCAATCAGGCCGGACAGCGGTGCACCGGTGTGGCGCAGTCCGGTGCCGATGACTCCCTCGCGTCGTTCCGATTGGTCCGACAATCTCCGGGCGCTGCCGCTCTGTGGCGCCAAGCGGGCAAATGGATACCTGACGGAACATGCTGCCTTATTATAGCAGCAACTCTTACTGTACTCGGTCTAGAATGAGGGGGGTGAACGACTCATCTTGCCCCTAATCTCTATGAGTCTGATGGATTATGAGTTATGACTGGGCTAGTATCCCTAACGAGGTGGGGTGGATTTGGGACCAGACAAGTCATATTGCATTGACAGTCACAACAGGTAACTATTTATGTCTGTCCTGCCGACGGGGGAGGGGAGTGCATCGCTGCCCGCTGGCCTGCACAGTTTCGAGTCTGACCAACGTCAGGTGAATTGCGGGCGAGCATTTCCCTGAGTTTCAAACTGACTGCCATCGGGTTCAACTAAGCGCTGGCTTACGGACCTTACCCCTGTTTTTGTCTCTCCCGCTGGCTTGAGCGGCAAATGATCGTTCAGGGGAGGGGGCGTGGGTTAATATATAATGTATCTGCCTAATTTCTTGCATCTCCAGATGCTGGATCTGCAGTTTCCGCCAGACAACCAGACTATTGACAGTTCTCCATCCCAACTAATAACGCGGTGGGGAACAGGCCCGTAGCGCCTGGCCTTCTAGGGCCGGCGAATCGTTTTCTAGGCGCAACGGGGTTCGTATGGCGGGGTCTCCCTCTCTCTCTCGTCTACTGTAGGAAATTGATTGTTTTGATTTGTTATGGCCATGTATGTATTATCATTGTATCTGTCTTGTGTACGCAGTACACATCTCTAGGGAAAGTTTTGCAAGTTTTCCGTCTAGTTACCTGACGACCCTCTTTTCCCTCACCCCCCTTCCCCTCTCTCCTGCCCCCCCTCCCTCTGTTTGATGATAGATAAATAATATTTAAGGGTCCATTCCCCTTGATCGTTTTTTGATTTCCCTTCATTTATCTTCTTTCTCTCTCCTCCTCCCTCATATCCGTTTTACTCTACTCACCCCATCCATCCTCTTTACCCCTCCATAAATCATGGCCTACTACGGCGAACAACAACCCCCCTACGGCGGTGGTGGTTACGGACAGCCGCCGCCCGGGCCCTACGGCCAACCTCCATACGGCGAGCGCCCGCCTTACGAGCGGCCTCCGTACGAGCGTCCTCCCTACGAGAGACCTCCCTACGAGGGTGACCGTCCCTCCTACGACCGTCCCCCGTATGAGCGCCCTCCGTCCGACCGTCCTCCTTACGACAGACCCCCCTACGAGGGCGGTGACCGTCCCCCCTACGAAGCTCAGCGCTCCTTCGACTCCCGCCCTCCCTACAGCTCCGCCCCACCATCCGCCCGCCCTCCCCCCGTGGCTCCTCCCCCTCTCCCCTACGGCTGGGTCCAGGAATGGGAACCCAACGTGCGCCGCGGCTTCTTCGTCGAGACCGCCACCGGCCGCTCGCAGTGGGAAGTGCCCCTTGAGGACTCGGCCAGCGGCACCCGCGACCTCCCGCCTCCTGGCCCTCCCGCTGGATACTATGGCAGCCCGCCCCCGCAGGAAGGATACTACGGTAGCCCCCCGCCTCAGGGCGAGGGCTACTACGGCGGCATGGACCCCGCTGCGGCCGAGGCTGAGCGCAAGAAGGCTGAGAAGAAGAAGATGATGATGGGTGGATTGGCGGGTGCCGCTCTCGGTCTGGGTGCTGGTGCTCTGTTGGGTCATGAACTCAGTACGTTACTCTCTGTCCCTTCCCCCCCGGTTCTTTCTGTTCTGTTGTCTCTCAAAACGATTCCGTTTGGTTTATGGTCGGTGCTAACTATCCACAGCGAAAGACTCGAGTTCCGACGAGGAGGAGGAAGAGGAGAAGGAGAGGGAAGCTGAGCGCGAGGCCTACCGTGAAGGATACCAGGATGCCTATGAGGATGCTCACTCGCCCCCTGCTGATGACTGGTAGAGGTCGACATTTGTTCAGCTGCCTATTGACGTGGTTGGAACTTCCTCTCAGGAACAGCTACGGGCACTTGCACTGGCTTGGGATTGATTTATTTTAGCATGTTTGGATATTCTTTTCGGGACATATTTTTTTTCTATTTTTTTTTTCATACACTACATACAACATACACCACAGACACATAGCATAAGCAATTTGCATTCTACCTAACCATCTTGGCTTGTACTTTCGTGCCAATGTTTGCTTCGCTGCCATAGGTCCTCCCGTACGGACACGGACACGGAAAACAGTCCACCCCGAGGAACGTCCTTTGGGTAAAGTGTAAACAGTAGCAAGGCGGCAAATCATGGATTGAAACGATGTGATTGGGTTAGGTCTATGATGTAATTTCCGAAAATTGTGTCCCTTCGTTGAACTGTTGAACCCCCACTTCGAAGTTTTGTTTCTTCGTTTCTTGGGAGAACCTGAGATATCTCGGGGCTATTTAGACACTTCGGCTTCGTAGAAGCACTTGCCGTTTCATATCCTGTCTCCACCACTCCTCGCTCTATCGTTGTGATCGTCGTTGGGCACTCGACAGACACACCGACGTTAGGAAGAAGAGTTTCATTGTCTTGTCGACTGTTGCCACACCCACAATGCCTAAATATGTGAGTTTGGCCGGATCCTCCTGATCTCCTGGAACGCTAAACATTGTTTGGTCTTTGGAGGATCATGGCAATCCGCTTCCGTCGCTAACAATACCCTCTTTTTTCTAGTCCGTCATCATTCGCTATGACACGCTTGAAGCCTTCAAGTTACACGGTTCTCGGATTGAGAAGATGTAGGTCCCATTGTCTATAGTCTTTTAGTCCCCTCCCTCCGTTTTTACACAGGACCTCCACTCTCAGTACCACGGTTGCCTTCAAGAAATTCAGACCCGAGCTCGTGCTAATGAAATCTATTCATCTGTGCTCAGAACGACAGACGGATTCGCAGCAAAAGGAGCCATAAATCAGACGTTATTTCTCTCGACGAGGAGTTATCCCCCAGTTCACACGACTTCGTGAGTCAACCCCTCCCCTCCTTGCACATTTTTTCGCTGCACAAGCTGGTCGTAAGATTTTAATGCGGATTACTAATATTTATATTCTAAAACTAAAAGATTAATGGTACCTGATAATGTGACAGAGCAGGATCTCAAGCAGGTAGCATTTCCAGAGGGAGTCGTCGTTTACATGTATCTGGAGCCTAGGTAAATCACACAAAGCCACAGCCAAAACTCCAATGATCCATATGTATCTATTTCCAGTACATACACCTTAGTTAGCCTAGTTCTTTGCCGAAGTGAACGTGATGATATGATATGATATGATTATTTAAAGCACAAAATCTCCCCATGGAGCAACCCAAACCACCCCTCCTCGCAATCCACAAACCTCCTCCACCCTCTCTCCACCGCCCCCAGCTCCTCTCTATCCGCAAACCCCTCCTTCACCACCATCTCCGCGAACCCTGAATCCCGCATCCTGTCCGCCATCGAACCCCCCCAATACGCCCTCTCCTCGGGACTACTGAAGCACCATGCCCCCGCGCTCTTCTTGATCTGGGCTTTCTCGAACCCGGCCTCTTCCGCCCACACATGGATATACCGGCCGGGATGCGGATTCCCACCTTTCGCCTCCGCGACCCGTCGTCCCAGGGCTTCCCAGGCCACGAGGGCCTCGTTATCCGGATACCACGAGAAAGAAGCGGACTCGCGGGCCGCGACCACGCCACCGTTCGGCTTCACGACGCGGCGCATCTCGCGCAGCGCGCGGACCGGGTCCGCCACGTGCTGTAGGACCTGGTGCACGTGCACCACGTCGAACGTGTCGTCCGCGAAGTCGGAGAGGTTGTGGATGTCGCCGGTTTGGAAGGTGATGTTGGAGAGGCCCTGGGATGCCGCGAGGGCCCGGGCCGTCGGGAGCGGGTCCTCGACGTATTCGATCCCCGTGACGTGGCCCTCTGAGGTGACGAGGCGTGCGAAGTCGACGGTGATGCTGCCAGGGCCGCATCCGATGTCGAGCACTTTCATGCCCGGTTGGATGTAGGGGAGGAGGTAGGCGGCGGAGTTGGAGGCGGTGCGCCAGCCGTGGGTTTGGAGGACGGGCGTGGCGTGGTTGGTGCTGTAGGTTGTCATATTTGCTGAGGTATTCTTGCTTGTTAGGGATTTGTTTGGGGGTTAAGGATTTGAATTGGAGTTATTGGGCTATTGCTTTACTGAAATGAGTTAAGTTCTATGTTGAATTCCCATTGACATCTCTTTTATTGGACCCCGGAGTTGAGAAGACGGAGTTGAGAGAGATATTCGGAACTCCGAACATGACGGTACTCCACTATGAGATCAATCTCCACTCCCAAAGTTAAAATTGTAGCATCAAGGACATTGGATAGCGCGGAAACTGAAAGCACAGTTACCCGGATCATGGCCAGTTTTCCCTCACCTTGCGATGTGCCGTTTTCGCTGCGTGGTTGTGGTTCCCGTCTCCTGGGACCTTTGTACAGAATAGCCTTGAGATCGTATGGCGCAACCTATACGATGGAACTCTTGTTCTGCATACACGAGAGCCACAGAACTTATGAGTACATGGCCTTAGGCTCGTGTTCGAGAGTACGCGATGAATATAGTTTCGAAATGAGGGTTTGTAGCTTGAAGGGAGTAAAGAATTTGGACTCAGCAACAGGAAGTCCTTGCAGCCTGATCCGTAAGGCAACAGGGCATTCATGTTCGCCAGAGCCCAATTTGGTTAGCCGCAAGTCTGGCTGCCTTAGGTGTCATGTCCCAGCCTCCCCAATTAAAACGCCAAGACCTTAGTCTCCTCGGTTGACCAGCGTTAGCCAGAAGCGGTTAGTCCCCACACGAGCCTCCAGCCTTTAAAAACCTTCTGCTCGACTCGTTTCTTTCTTCTTTTCTCCTCTTCATCTTCTCATCCACGAGTGCTTTGAGCAACATCCGGTCTGACTAGGTCTGCTTTTATGCAAGCGGAGTCTTTTCAGTTGTGATGTAATTTGGTAGCAGCTCGTAATGGCTGCCTTCCGACGACAATTCCCAGAGTGATGAGCTTAGATAGTGTTTTTGCTTCTTCACAATCCTCTTGATGAACGATTCATCAGGGTATTTAACCCCAGTCACGACAAGTCCCTCGCAAGCGCGAGCGAGTGTCGATTGCTGTTTGCCTCTAAATACCCAAATCAAACGGAATATCAATCAGCATGTTGACAGTTTCTATGGGCTTTGTTGCCTTTGTCAATGTGATAATCGATATCCTACATTCTCTATATAGTATATAGAATTGTCAATGCAATCGATTGATATTCATGATTAAATTACTATTGTTCTTTTGTCTATATCTAAAAACTTTTTGAGCCCGCCTTGTTTGGAAAAGCAGATGCACGCGATGTCCGCGCAAGTCCTTCCCATCTAAACATCTTCAGCCCCCCTGATAATCGACACTTCCTCCGTCACCTTAATCCTCTTCTCCCTCGTCCTGCCGACACCCTGCTCTCCACCTCCAACCAACCCCTGACTCCCCCTCGACGCATTATCCGACGCCATCATCTCATACTCGTCATTCCCATGCTTCGACCACCCCAGGAGCCGCTTACTATCCCTCACAGCGGTGGACCGCATGCGCGTCGATTGCGTCCGCAAATGCGCCGACCCGGACCGGTTGTTGCGACTCGACGTCGTATACTCGGTTAGATGGCTGAACAGGTTCCCGAACACGGGCTTCAGCGCGGGCACGGACAGCGCGATTAATGTTCCTGCGATCTCGGCGTTCTCGATTCCCATCATTGGGTTGTATGCCCAGCTGCCGTCTTCGGCCCATTGGCCGCGCGCGACGAGGTAGACGCGAATCGTAGAGATGACGATTACGCTGGAGGATGTTAGAACCGGGGAGCATTGATTGAGAAGGACCGTAGGGGTGAATTTTAGGTAGGGTGGGTTTGCTTACAGTACACCAGGAAACATAACCAACGAGAGCTGGGCTTTCCGTTTCATCGACACATGCAGGTTCTTAATAAGGATAGCTGGGATGATGAACATGAGGACGTCGCAAGTCAACGACAAGCCCGAGTTAACAGAATACACAAGACCCCAGGACAGACATGTATATTGCACGGGTTCCTGCTGCCAGGGGTACGGCCACAAGCCGGTAACCGGACGGCAGTGGAAGATCAGCAGGAAGAGCTGGGGCAGGTAGGCGGCGAGAAGGAACACGGCGGCGATCTGGATGGCGAGATGCAGTTTGCCGGACCGGGCGGCCAGTCGATGATAGAATGCGAGACCAGAGAGACGGCAGAAGAACAGCGCCGTGGTGTAGAGAACGTGGGCGACGAAGTCGAGCACTTCGGTCTCGCGGACGGTGGACATCGATAGCACGTATTGGATGTATTCCATGTGGCGACCGCTTCCGAGGTCGATGAGGATTATGGAGAGGATGACGAAGGCGATGTAGATTATCTGTGAAGGGGTTGTTAGTATTGCTTACGGGTTTCTGGGAGTGTGAATAATCTGGTGTGTTTGGATCGCAGGGTCCATACCATCGTGAGCACGGCCAGGATATCGTCCATGCCGATCTTCTTCACCAGCCATGTCCGTGCATACAGACGGACGAGCATCAGTACGCCAGCTAGGCAGACCATGAAGATGATGGCTACCTTGGCCGGGCGATCGCGCGACTCTGCCAGATGCTCGAGCGATACATCCGAAGGGATTGTGCCCGCAGCATCGGCGAGCAGAATGTCGTCAGGGATTGCCATGGACAGTGATCAAGCGCATGGGGAGAAGGATTCAATGGCATACGCCCGTCATCTGTCCGACAAGAACGACGGGGGTGTCGCTGCAAATAACAGACCAAGGGTTCTCAATCATCTATTAATAAACCGCACTCACGAGTCCAGGCCAAAACTCACGCAAGTCGATAAAATTTACACCCCCTAGGAACCGAACTTTTCTCGAAAGCTGTACGAGCCTTGGCGCTAGCTGGATGGGCATAAGGCGCGTTTCCATGTCTAATAAGCTTCAGGAGACCATTCCCAGATGTCATCGGCTTTCTGTCGGTGTTTGCATCGACGCCGTTGTGGAGTAGGAGGCAAAGTTTAACAGCCATACTGGCCTACCAGAGTTCAGGGGCGGCTCTGCCGATGTTACATTCCCTGGATTAGAAACGCACAATGGCTTTTTGCAGAGAATTTCACTGGAGTCTGTCGTCTGGATTCAGAGTTTAGCCCCTGGAAGCATCTTATTTCTTCGAAGGACTGCCTTTGAAGGAATATCAGATTCAAACCCTGAGTTCTGATGCAGCAACGAAAATGCCGACATTGAGCTTGACATATAGTGGAGGAATGAACGGGGTGATCCTGTGCGAGAGCCGGGGTATCCGGAAAAGGGAAACAGACAAGGCGACAACCATGGTCCGAGGCTCAAGGCAAAGCTTAGGCCCCATAATATATGAAGTTGCAATCTCAGAGTCGGACAATGTCGGGTCTCGCCCAACTGTCGTCCGCTGGAAGAGATCCCTTCACCCAGATCATGTCAAGACATGGTTTATGGTAGACTTAACCGTTGTCCTTGCATGGACAACAAGGCAGGATGACGGAGGATGATGTTCAGCATACTTTGTCAAAATGGACGGCTGCATACGTATCACGTGGAGATCACGTTAAGCGAAGCGAACTTCAACATGGTATGACCGTTCCACATGGTCGCACCTTAATCTATTAGCTCCTTATTGCAGAGTGGATCCTCTAAAGGGAGACTCGATGCACAAAACACGAGGCTAAATATATGAATCTCGCAGCTTTTCCACTGCTGTTTTTCTTCCAATCCCATCCCTTGATTGTGGTCGATCGTTTCTGTTTCAAGGGATAGGTCTCACGCCCACCTTTCTTTTTACCTCGTTCCCGGGCATGATGGCATCCAAGCTACTGTTCCTGGCTGTGGCGAGTGGTTTGGCTTTGGCCACCCCTCCCCAGCATAATCAAACAGATCCTTTGGTGGCTTCTCAGATTTTGAGCGACCCCTATGCCTATGATTTCCCTCGTCTAGGTGCCGATGGGGCCTCCCTGTTCCCGATGCGTCGGTGCAACGGGTTCAAGCTTGAAGAGGCCAGCATCGATGATATCCAGATGCAGCTGGAAGGTGGCAACCTGACCAGTGTGGAGCTTCTGCAATGCTATTTGGAGCGTATCTATCAAACAGACTCGTATCTGAGGTATGCCTAGTAGATATTTTCATTGATTGGACCTGTTGAGCTAACATATTGCATATAGGGCCATCCTGCAAATCAACCCAGATGCTTTTCAGATCGCTAGAGCTCTCGACGCCGAGCGCGCCAACGGCAAAGTTCGCGGTCCCCTTCATGGAATCCCATTCATCGTGAAGGACAACATCGCCAGCAAGGACCGTCTGGAGACCACGGCCGGTAGCTGGGCGCTTCTGGGCTCCGTCGTTCCCCGTGACTCCTATGTTGTTCACAATCTGCGCTCCGCCGGTGCTCTCCTCCTGGGCAAGGGCGCTCTGAGCGAGTGGGCCGACATGCGCTCTAACAACTACTCCGAAGGTTTCACTGGCCGTGGGGGTCAGTGCCGCAGCGCTTACAATTTGACCGTCAACCCCGGTGGAAGTAGCTCCGGGCCTGGAGTTGCCGTCGGTGCTAACCTGGTCCCCTTCGCTTTGGGCACGGAGACGGATGGCAGTGGTATGTAATTTTTGGCAAACGGTTTAAGGCGTGGTAGCTAACGAGTATAGTTATCAACCCTGCGCAGAGAAACTCTATCGTCGGCATCAAGCCCACCGTCGGGTTGACGTCGCGCGCGGGTGTTATCCCCGAATCCCTACACCAAGACACGATAGGCACATTCGGAAAGACCGTTCGCGATGCTGTCTACGCTCTAGACGCGATCTACGGCATCGACCAGCGCGATAACTACACTCTCGCGCAGAAGGGGAAGACTCCGAACGGCGGGTACGCCCAATTTTTGACCAACAAGACTGCCCTCACGGGCGCCGTTTTCGGTCTTCCATGGGAGTCGTTCTGGAGCCTCGGTGACCCCGACCAGATCAGTCAGCTCCTGGAGCTAGTCGATTTGATCAAGGAGGCCGGCGCGACCGTGATCAACGGAACCGAACTCCCTCACTACAAGACCATTGTGTCCCCTGACGGCTGGAACTGGGATTACGGCGGCACGCGCGGTTTCGCCAACGAGTCCGAATACACCTACATCAAGGCGGACTTCTACAACAACCTCCGAGACTACCTAGCCGAAGTCAACAACACCAATATCAAGTCCGTCGAGGACCTGGTGCAGTACAACCTCGACAACTACGGCTCCGAGGGCGGCTACCCCAACATCCACCCTGCGTTTGGATCCGGACAAGACGGCCTGATCGCGTCGCTGGAGAGCAAGGGAATCATGAACGAGACGTACTTCCAGGCTTTGGAATTCTGCCAACGCACGACCCGCGAGGAAGGCATCGATGCGGCCCTGAAGTACAAGAACCAGACCCTCGACGGGCTGCTCGTTCCGCCCGATGTGGCGCAGAGTATCCAGATTGCGGCTCAGGCTGGGTATCCGGCCATCACGGTCCCGGCTGGCGTGGGTAAGGAGTCCGGCATGCCGTATGGATTGGCGATCTTGAATACCGCGTTCTCCGAGTCGACTTTGGTGCGGTATGCTAGTGCTATCGAGGACTTGCAGAAGAGCACGGGGACTAAGTGGCAGCGTTCATTGCCTGAGTGGCGGGGATATCTGGTTCGGAATTTGCCTGTTATCATGTGAGGCTGGGATGCTTATAGAGCCGCGAGGTTTCTCGAACTGCTTGTTCACTATTCACCTACCACACTCATGACGGTTTTTAAATGGGTGAGATATTGGAGGCATTGCAGGTTTTAAAGAGAATGGTAGACAGACATACATATTGCATATTTCCTAATACTAGACATAGTGCACATTTCGTCGATTTGTTCCAAAACTAACCAGGTTGTGATAGAAAAAGCCGTGGGCAGGTGCCAGTCGCTGTCAATAAATCATCCATATCAATTCAATAGCTATGGAGTACATATAAATTGGGATATGGGAGTTGATCAAGTCTAATTTGTAGAAGCACACTATTAATCTGATTCCACGTTATGACGTCATCCCAAACGAACCCCTTCACGGCAGGCACCCCTACCTGCACTGTGAACTTGTGATGCCTCCCCGACCGCCGATCATCCCCCTGCATGAGATTGATTTCTCGGCTGGGATGGGATAGGTGGCCCCCCTTTCGGATCTCAGCCATAAATCCCACCCGACAGGATAGCTCCCGCCCGAGGAACCATTGTTACCTTTTAATAGCCAATAGTGCCGAGGATCCCTTCTATACACGTACAATTTCGATTCAATTCGATCCCCACCGCAGATCTCATTCATTGGATCTTTTTTTGGCGGAGAGATTATCTGCCAAGCCTCTCTTTGTTTCCTCCACCCCGCCGTTTCGTCCTCCATTATAATCGCTTCGCATCACAGTATTTCCCTCACATTTCCTGAGCAGTGCCGGCTCGATGCATCTTTTCTCGACGCTACTCTTTCTGCTTGTCCATTCTTTTCATGTTTCGTCTACCATTCTCGAGAATGGTCAGCCCAGATTAGACTCGTATCCCGGCCAAGCACCAAACATTTCTTTAGACGAGAGCTGGAAAAGCTATGGCCCCGAGGCGTCGGAGATATCGTATAAGGGACGGTGGGATAGCAAATATGTTTCCTGTATGTGTATCACCCTATGATATGAACTGGATATCAATCAATGGCTTGCTAATCGCTGGCTGTGTATAGGGTGGTCGTATGCTTTCTCTCTAACCTTCCGCATTAATGATTCGGATCGGTCTAATCGAAATGAGCATCTAGTATACCCGGTGTCAAGTTTGGGTTCACAGGGGACAAGGTATGCTATCTTATATCCCATAAACACAAGAAAGCAGGATCACAAGCTGAGATCAAATAGTTAGCCTTGGGCTTTGGAGCCCAGACGTCAGCTGGCGTTCTTGTTGCTTATCGGTATTATTACTTTCTGCTACCTCTTTCCTGGCCGAAATGCCGAGTCTAATTCATCTCTATCAAATCTGTCTAGCATTGGCGGCCTCGACTGGTCTTTCTCCAACGTCACTGCAAACGCAACATACCAGTTCGTCGGACCAGGCACGGAATTCAATCATATCCATGCGAACAGTACCAAGGCATTTGAGCTGCGAGGTATTTGGTTCCATTCCGTTTTTATTTTCATCTTCAGCTTGGAAACTGACAATGTTTCCCTATAGTGACGAACTGGGGCTATGGATAAGTCGACCCTCCTCTGTCCGCTGTGGCTTGGGCTTACATGCCCTATACAATACAGATAGCAAATGTTTCCGTGTCTTCCGGCGCGAGCATCAAGAGGATGAAGGAGTTTCCCAAGAAGGTAGAGATAATTGGTGATTCGTGAGTTCTTCTGCCTTTCTCTCTATTTTTTTGTTGACTTCGTACGGTCTAAATCTAACATGGTAAAATACAAAAGTCTTGCATCCGGACAGTACGCTACCTACGAGGGTCTTTCATCCTGGGGATACAACTTTGCCGCTGGCTTAGGAGACGTTGAGTACACCATCACCGTACATTCCCCTCCTAAACTCCTAGTACCCTCTCCCATAATTGCAAAACTGAACACATGCAAATACAGGCATACCCCGGGATCTGCCTCGTTGACCAACGATGCTATGGCGGATCCGCTCGTGGAATGGTATACAGATTCCCATATTATCCCCTATAACCCCATCAAGTCTTCAAGAATAACAAATCATCCAGACCCACCAATGGACCTACGCTTCCGACGTAGGCGACCGCGCAAATGCCAGCTACGGCAGACATCCTGAGAAATGGGACTTCCGCGCCCACAGACCCGCCGACCTGGTGGTCATCAACCTGGGCACGAACGATCACCGTGACCCGAATAATCTTCCCGGCGAGACTTTTGCAGCAAACTATATCGATTTGATCAAAACCGTGCATAAGACGTGGCCAGAGGCGCAGGTGGTGTTGATGGTATGTCATCTCTTGTTTACTCCGCTCTCTCTGCCTAGAATGATATGTCGCCTCTGTCATTTGATCCGGTGTATTATTTCCAGCTAATATCACGATCACAACCGAGAATAGTCACTATGGGGCAACTTCACCACCACGACGCCCACTAGTCCCGGTGAAAATGAATACAAATCCGACCACCAGTCCCAATACGACTATACATACACCTACATCCAACACCCAACCTACGTCTCCGAAATCAAAGCCGTGTATGAACACTTCCGTGGCAAAGGCGACGGTTATGTTCATTACTTCGACACGACAGGGATCCTGCAACATAATGATCTCGCGCCTCCGGATCATCCGACCGACGTGGGACATCTCAAGATCGCGAGCCACTTGATGCAGTGGACGAAGATCGTACTTGGTTGGGAACTGGGTGCCACTGGGGCAGAGGTTCAGCATGATACAGAGTATTGGAATAATGAGGATCGGTATAAGTAAGGGGTATTGTTGAGATTGGCATTTGAAGCATATTTATCCTGCGCCGCTGTTCACTCCCCGTTTCGCTATCTTAGACGTTGACAAAGCTTCTCTTGCTATTTATCTGTGTTCTTTTCTGTCACTTCAAGACAACTTAAAACTCCGTTTTACGAAGTATAGTTGAATATTGTCATATTCAGAAAATGCGATATTGTACGAGCATCGGTAGCATCTAATAATTGGATACTTCCCGGTGGCCTCCTAATTCCTACTTGTACTAATCTTCATGCCCTTTGCCTACACATCTGACTCATCGATAATTTTCAAACTACTTTCTCTGAACGGGACTTGGAAGATATTTTATTGACATGGCACATTTCATACATACATTCTTTTCATTACAAAGTCAAAGCACATGCAACAACTAGCACGAACAATAACTGAATACAATAGTCAGGTTCAAAACAACAAGGCAAAACAAATAACTAAACTGAAACAACAACAAAAGAAAGACATGAGACACCCCTCTCCTCCGGGCGTTACTTCGTCACAACATATTGATGGTCCCCAGAGCTGGTCTTGTAATAGTACCGACCCCGCTGGTCTTGCAAGAGAGTCACATAAGCTGATCGACCCCCTACATTCACAAACGGTTTACCCGAAGCATCAAAGTAGGCGCGGACAGGAGATGCACCGCGACCGCTCTCGCGTCCCAGGCCGAGAGCTTGAGTCCTCTCTGTGATCTCCCGCATTCCCACTGCTTCTTGCCTGGTACGTTCTCTTTCACGAGCCTGTCGTACCCGTTCTTGCATATGCGGATCTTCCAGTTCCCTCGCATGCCTGGCATGTGATTGAAACCGCGTCGTCACTCGGCTGGATGTCTGGCCTTCACGCAACCTGTGGGTTGCATGAGTTGAAGGTTCGGGTGATGAATGTCGCTCAGAGGAGCTAGACGAGTTATCGGGAGATATGTAATTCTCATCGGTATATATACCACCTGGTGTATCTGTCCAGCGATGAAGGAGAATGTTGTTATTCTCACACTTGTAATCTCCAGACTTGATACATAAGCCGAGAAAAAGGAAACACTCGCGTAGAGACACCATTTGATTAGCTTGGCTGTTTTTAATGACGTTCCGTTCAAATGCCACAGAGCCATCTCTTTCGGCTTTCCAGGTTTTGGTGCTTGTTTCAGGAAGATGGTTTGCTCGTATGTGGTGAGAAATGCATATTTCATCTTGTGCATATACATGTAGCGCGATATCTGCCCTATAACATTATTGCCGAAGCCTGCCAACATTTGTACAAAGAGAATGGTAAAGTTCCAACGGTACAATCAACAATAAAGCAACCACAGCTTTAGTATTGAAAAAGTTTGACATACCCAGATAATGTCTGAATTCCACCTGGTCCTGGTGCATGATAGTCTCTAGGTCATGCTTCCACGGAGTCTTCACTTCTCCCAGTGATCTTAAGCGGCCCTCCTCATTTGTCATCGCTAAATCGAGCACCTTTTTTTCAAGTCTGCTGTTTGTACATGTCTTGTAGTCCCCAAACCAGACAGGGATATTCAAGACACGATAGACTAGGCTCATGTAATGACCGACATTCTGCGTAAAGCGACTGGAAACGCTAGCCTCATCTCCGCAGACCCATTGCTCTGAAAAGATGTCAAGTGAACCTGCATGCTCTCTGCGAGGGCCATAGGCAAGCACAGAAGAAAACCTGTCCCACTTGATAGCAATGGATGAAGTATGAACCTCTTTCTCGAACGTATTCCAATGCACGAGAGTGGATTTGTATTCCAAGTAGTGAGTTGAGTTCGTTACTGTCGTTTCATTGCCGATCTTAAGTTCAGGGATGGGCGAGTAGACCAGGTCTCGGGCAGTGAGCTCCATCCCTGGCGAAAATGTATGAACGAACCAATGGGGGGGGGGGGGGGGGGGGGGAAGATGATGATTATGAAGAGGACGGTGAGGAGAATGAGATTTGTCCAAGACGATGAAGCAATGGATAACTTGAGCCCTCTTATATTGGACTCAACGCTGCCTTCCAAGCGCCGTGGTTAGAAGTCCATGTTTGAGCAAGCGCCAGCAACCGTTGCATTTCCAAAAATAGCCCAAAGCAGAGGATGATCCAATTAAATCTACGTAGATTGTGAAACTGAATTCATGCCATGATTCGCGTGGTACATTGGCGGCTATCTCTGTTGTTGGGACTGGGTTGAAGATGCTACTAAATTTGGAATCATTACGCGCCACGTAAGTCTGCCTACTCACGAGATAGCTGGTAATCGTAAACACGCAAAACGCTTGCTTTTGTATCATCAGCAAGCTGGATAAAACACCTGAAGTTTATCTTGGCGATGGACTATATGGCTATAAGATGATGTTTACCCGGAACAGTCCGTTGAGTACAGTATTGAAATAGGGGTTGTCCAGAGCACGTACTTCCAAGCATATAACTACTAAGACTGTCATTCATGGATCAGCTTAATTGGACACTGCCTTGCCAACACTAGAGCTTGCACGGCACCAAAAGGCGGACTCGACGGGATCTTTACGGAGTAGTCACGGCGACCGCCTCCGACATGCGTCCTCCGACATAAGTTGGTGAATGTTCGACCACCCCCTTTCTTGGTTCATAGAACCGCTCCACCCCCTCCCATTTATACCAGTAGCAGCATCTCAATCCCTATCTTCAACGCGAGTCCTGATCATCTTGCGAAAACAAAAAATCACTTTTTCTTCACTGTCCTTCCTGGAGAGCCAAATATGGCTATCGAATACGACGAATCAGACGACACCATCTGGTTCGATGATGGTGAATACATCGGCACTGAAATCTCTTTCCCATTCAATTCAGTGTGGAGGTTAGACGTCAAGATAAGAGAACATAGTTACATAGAGCCTCAGAGGGAATGTGAGGACTTGCACGTCAATTCTGAGGCACGTGGAGCCTTTATCTGCTCCAAGGTTTCCGGGAATGGCCCACCTACTGCCATTGTTAAGATTCGTCTGCAGTCAGTGCCATCCACTTCCAGTCGCAAATACTATCGAGGGAGAGAGAGAGAGAGAGAGACTGATATAAATGGCCAGGATTCCGTGGTGGAAAACAGCGAGGCAAAGCCCCGATATTCGCGCCAAGCAGGCTAATTCAGGAGCTACAAGCACCTTTAATTCTGAAATCGAAGCCTTATCCCGATTGACGCAGGCCCGCTGCTCTAGTACCCCTGCATTGCTTTCTTGGAAGAAGGAGGAGCAAAACTACAATGAATGGGTTCCAGGAGGCTATAAGCTAAGTATCTTGATGGAGAAAGTACCAGGTTCTGATCCGTCGGGGTTATTCTCCCCCCTTCACATGACCCGTCATGAACGAGACTCCCTCAGAAAAGCCTTCAAGGAAGCGTGGCTGTAAGTCCAAATACTGTACCGAAAGTCTCGGCTATTCTTATCTGGAAAGACCAAGCTGATCGCCATCGTAGAGAGACGGTCCGTTGCGGGGTAGTCCACTCAGATGGGGGAACCAATAACTTTATTTGGGACAAGGCAGGAGAAAAATGGTAAGGTTGCCCTCTCTGTAGCTTACAATGGCAAGTTTCTGACTTCGTCTGCCTAGCTACATAGTTGATTGGGAGCACTGGCGCTTGCCAAATGAGAAAACAGTTTGGCGCGATCATCTCTACATTCACTGGAATTTCGCACGACGAGGCCCGTCGCACAACATTTTTGATATGTCTGATTGGGTCCTGTGATACCGATGTATGGAACCATAGTATACAATCCAATCTAAGTTGAGGCGGAAATGGAGTTTCGCATTCTTCACAACCCTTCCTCTTATGATAAATTCCTCTTCTCATTCTGCCCCCATGTTCTCTGTAGATACATATAACCAAGGACCAATCATTTCATTGTAAGACCCTTTATCAGTAACCTTCGAGTCGACGGGGCTGACGCAAAGCATATGCACGCCCGATCTTTCAAAAGTTGCGGGTGGTATGATAAGTCGGTTTCTCCGACGACAAGCTCATTCGTCGTTCAAGGCTAGTAAAGGCTTGCGATATTGACCAACGTTTATGAGAAACGTTAAATGACCAATGGCACAACAGTGTCCGGTTATATAGTACATAGAGCAGACCGGCCCGGTGATCACCAGAATATGGCCATCAACTGCATGTGGAAAGAATATCTTCCATTATCCAGACCCAAGATCGGCCGAGCAATTCTAGTTTTTCATATGATATGCTTTACCTATCTGAACATCTATATTTAGGGTAGGCACGTATCTGAGCTGGGCTCTTTAATGTGTAGATAGTGACTCGGCCAGGCCACTATCAATTGTATGTACCGTCATTTATGAGTGAAAAGGCATAATTTGACCCGTCCTCTTTTGAGCCTTCGTTTATTCTCCATATGTCCCGGTCTGCTTTTGGAGGATGAATCTCTTCTGGACGGTCGCTCTCTGGGATTACTCGTGGTGCTCTTTATGTGGCCATTGCAAGTCGGGTAAAGGAATGAAAAACTGACGTGCTTTAGGAAGAAGTTAGATTTTCTGTTACGCAGTAACCAGCGTGAGAATTACTTTATAATATTAAACTGCAATTTATGCATACAGATAGTGCTGTTCGGCTGATTAAACGAAAGTATAAGGGTTCCTTGGAAATTTTGAACCCGGATAAAGAGGTTTCACTTGACCTTTTAGACGGAACAAACGCCTATGTAGGCCCTTCGTCAAGGACCCTCGGTTCTATCAAAGAGAAATGCAATACTACGAGCCAAATCAAGAAATCAAGGCATTGCATCACTTTATTAAGACTAAGAATATGTAAACAAACAAGCACACTATATACAGACCGCAGTCTGATACAACTTCAACAAAAGAGTCGGAAGTAGAATAGAATATACAGCGAGAGCAAGCCCATAGCAAGAGTTTTCAACGTCCTCCCTGATTCGTTTCAAGCGTAGTCATGGCGCTCATCGTTATCCGTAGCCAACGACGTGGCTAGCGTTTCATTCCATCCTCACTAACCCCCGATGATTCCCAATCCGCTTAGATGGCAACAGCAATAGCAGCAGCGGCAATAGCGCCACCGAAGGTGTAGCTGAAGCGGTTGCTGCTGGCAGCGCCGGTGGCCAGAGGGGGCTGGCCGGACTCGGAACCGGAGCCAGAGCCGGAGCCATCAGAGCCGGAGCCGGAGCCGCCGGAGCCAGAGCCACCGGTAGGGGTAGGGGTGGCGGAGGGGCTGGCAGCGCCGGAGGAGGTGGGGTGAGGGATGACAGGGGCGGAGGTGGTGCCGGTGCTGTCAGCGGTGGTGGAAGCCTCACCGGACTCGGTGGTGGAAGCCTCACCGGACTCGGTGGCGGAGGCAGTCTCGGAGGCGGTCTCGGTGGCAGAGGCAGAGGCGCTCTTGGTGGTGGAGGAGGAGTCCTTGGCGTCCTTGTAGGCGTCAATGCCCTTCTGGATTGCCTTGGTGATGCCGGCGGAGAGCTCCTTGGCGACATCGGACAGGGCCTCGGGGACCTTGTCGGAGATGGCGTCAGCCAGGCTGCTGGCAGCGTCGTACTGGGCGCTCAGCGACTCCTTGACCTTGGTGGCGGCGCCGGCGGACTCGAACTTGGACTTCTTGTCGATGATCTTGTCGACGGTGGAGTCGACCTTGTCGGTCAGGTCCTGAACGGGGGAGGTTAGGGCCAGGGCATCGCTGGAGGAGAGCTTGTCGCCACCCTCGACGGAGGAGACACCCTTCTTGATGGTGGAGATCAGGTCCGCGGAGGCAGACTCGACCTTGGAGGGGTCACCACCGCTGTAGCCGTCGATGGCGGAGGACAGAGAGTCGACCTTGTCGCTGATGCCGGCGATGACGCTCTTGACGGCGTCGGCATCACGCTGGACGATGGTGGGAGTGGCCAGGGCGGAGGTGGCCAGACCCAGAGTGAACAAGGCAGTGAACTTCATGATGACAAACGATGGTGTCAAAAGGGAAAAATTATAAAATTAAGTATGTATACACAAGGGAGGAGGGGTAAAACGAGTGCCCGGTAGATCCGACGAGAAAACAATCAAAAGAATGGATCGGTTCTGCTCTTCTCAACGACTAAGAAAAAAAGAGTTCTTGGGATGGGCAAAAGCTCCCTTATATACACGCCTGGTGGAGATGAAAGCTCACATGTCCGCGGCATCGCAGGACCGAGGCCAGGCCTTTTTTCTGTTTTCTTCCATCAGGGGAATCTCATCCTGGGACTATAATTAGCATGAAAGGGATTAGCGGGATTTTGGTAGGGAAGAAAAGGAAAGGATGGGATGAGATGAGCTATTCTGACCACTAGATTGGACTGGGGGGTTGCATTGGCGTTGACTGGGATGGAATTAATTTACGTCGTAGTTGAGGGGGGCAAGATCGTCGCTGAGATGCTTGATCTGGACTCTTAGTGTCTAGCAATTGGGTAGCATCCCAGACTTTTGCGGTAATTTGTCGCAGTAATGGCGAATCCCCAAGGGCCCATCAGGCCCGGTGAAGGTGGGATGTCTCTGACTGGAATGCGCGAGGGGAGGCACCTGACCACGGAAAGCCCCAGAAAACCCTCCCTCCCAAAAAACCGATCAAGTAAGAAAAACACCATCGATCAATCAAACGCTCACTGTTTGGGTCAATCAAATTGAATTCGATGGTCAACGAGCCAACATTTTAGCGCTGCAACATTGTCGCCCTACCCCGGCCCGCCCCCGGACCCTCATTTGTCCTTTCTCTGGGGGATTTGCTGAGGCCCTAAGCGATGCTGGCCCAAATGGCTCTTAGTTTAGTGTCCGGTCCAGGGTCCGGCTGAGACACGAGAGAGAAATGGGAAAAGACCAGAAATTACGCTGCGTACCCCGCAGTAGCTGCGGCTGGGCTCATTTTACGGTCTGCAGCTGGGGACGAGTCGACACCAATCATGGATCCCGCGCATCCGGTCTGTGCAGCTGGCGACTTTTTTGAACGTACAGTAGTACCACTCTGTGCTGGTAAGAGGCGATCGCGACTCTCCGTAAAGAAGGGATAATGGCCCGATCGGGTAATGGTTCCGACAGGTCGTCTGCTTGGCATTTCGTCGCTCCAATGGATTAGGATGGGCTCCTTTCCATGACTACCTGCTATTACTCACAAGAATCCCCGGATTGACCGGGGGATTTTCTTGGATTTGCTTGCTCGATCGCCAATGAGAATCTTGGTTCCGAGAATCCTGCCAGTACGGAACAGCAGTTACCCCTGGTTTAGTTGACTGTTTACTATTACCCTTTCAAGATCCAACACTTTGCGCTTACTACCTCGGCTTGCGCCCTACTGGCACATTCCACTCTCGCTCGTGGCAAAAGCGCCGTCTTTTCCCCGCGCATCCTGGACGAGTAATTTCCGCAAACTCGAGGGCTCGAGCTCAGTGGCGTGCCTGTCTTGCTGAATGGGGTTAGAAGGTGACGTGGGCCGATCTGTACCTGACAGGTTAGCGCAGTGAGGTGATCGTTGCTACTTTTCTCGCGGAGGCAAAAGTCCGCTGTTTGCTTTTCCAAGCCTGTGGATTGTTTTCGGAGACATTGTATTCCGGAGCGCTGGCAGCAGTAAGTACTGTAGGAAGTAGGTGGGGGTACCTGTCTTTGTGCTTTAGGGCAGATGGGCCCACGGAAGAGCCCGGGTGGGTTGTCTGCAAGGCAGCCCGCCCTTTGTTCTCCAGCGCCTCCCAGTTCAATTCATAATATCCAACAGAAGTACTGCCTCAACAATCTCAAGAAAGAGAGTGGCGATGATGCCCCTGACCGGGCGACTAGATGCACCTGCATCCCGGTCTAGCTTCCCGGTGTGTACGGAGCACAGCTATCCAGGCTAAAGAATAGCTCTCGCCATTTCGCGCAGCTATGGTCTGCGTCCAGCCTCTCGCAATAAGTGGCAACTAGTCATATCCTTTCTAAACTTGGTCAATGGAAGCTACCAACGTCAGTAATAAGCAAATATACTTTTCTGGTTCTTAGTTCGTGCGCGCTCGGCGCCACGGGCGTCGCTTCCCTGGCCATCAGCATGGCCACGGTTACAGTTACACAATCATTAACTGGACTACATGTGGTCGCATAGGCTACTTTCCGTTAGTCGGCCTTGATCCTGGTCTGTATGTAAGACTTGCATGAGGTGCTCCGAAAGGGAAATGAGCACATGCAGCTGAGCGCATTGACTGAGTCCTCATCCGACTTGAATACGTCGCCATCCCGCCTCCCTTGTTCTTTCGTCTGGTGTTCAAGGTGTATTCGCTTTCATGTGCGCGCTTCGCTACCAACTGTGATGTTCTATCGCCAAGGTCGGCGTTTTGGTTTGGTGTGGTTTCGACGCTGGTCGCAATTTTGGGCTATGGCAACAAACTTTCCAGATTGTTTCACCAGTCCCAGGAGAGACCTGCTTCGATCACATTCTTTACTCCCTTTAATCCTCTCTCCTCGCTTCAAGGATGTATTACGCTCATGGCCTTGGCGGTCGAGAAGAGTCTCACTTTCCGAAAGATCGCCATCGCAAATGCCATTGTGAAACCGTCATTATGAGGCTGGGCTGTTCGAATTAAATCGCTTGATTTTGAGTCCTACAGACTTCTGTCACCAAACAATAACTCGCTTTTGTACTAATTTACAATTATAGAGCCGGGCCTATCGCTGATCGAGCAATGATACGCCACTATAGAGGAAAAATTTCTGCCGGCCAGAGATGTTGCTTCGTCCGAATGCTCGGGTAGCCACCCAACTAACTCTTTTGGCTAACATCCAGCACGTTTCAATTAGGCTGGCTGTGCTTGTTTACTATGGAATGATCTTTTCTTTCGCCTACCCCTGTGGACGTCCCGAAGCTAATTCCCGGTTTCCTGTTGCTACGGACAAAGGCCCATGTGTAATCTCGTGGTTCATTTGGCCGAAAGCGGCAATAGCCACATTTTCACACATTTGATACAGCTACGATCTCAAGAGTTGCGCTTTTCATCGTTCATAATAAGTGGGTGAAACCTATGAGCAGCTATACAAAGCCAAGCATACATTGCTGGTCTCAATATCTTTCATACAGGGAAGGCATAACAACAGAGTCAGGAGCAAGCCGCTTTGTCATCTAAATCAGCACCATATACTACGATAAACCAGTATCTCAAGTCATCAGTGCTGTGAAATACTAACTGAGCTCTGGTGTAAATCGCTCGCAGAACCATTATTCACCTTGCCCGTCTCGTTCTTTCCGGTCGTATGAAGAAATTAGACCCCATCATACAGAAGTGAGTAAAACTCCGATCTTCGATTAACTTAAACATTTCAGACTTCGTCTCCTTTATCAGTTCTGAATTTCTACAAAAGAAGGCCTAAGTCTTGATATCACTATTGATTAACTTCTTCAATCTCCATATGAGGACCCTGAACCTAAATTTGATACCTATTCTGACCGTCAATATAGCCGACCACCCCAACGCCTTTCGCTCTATGTTTCAAAAACAATCAACCCTCATAACAGCAATTACCACATCCCCTTATTCCCTTCCGACCTACAGGTCTCAAATCCCCATCGCCCTCCGGAAAGCATCATTCGAAACAATCCATCCACCGCCACTAACCCCCTCTCCAGACAACGGTCTTCCATCCCCACTCGCCAACCTCGTCAGATACCCTCCAAGCTCCTTCGTCGGCGAGACCTTGTTCGACCAAAGGGCTCGAAGCGGCGGCCCCATGACATTCCGCAGCAGCGTCTTCCCCGCAGTATGGTCCGGTCGCTGCAAAATATGCTTCCAGACTTGCGGGTCATGCGCGGGGTCCACGTACGCCGGTCGCACGCTATAGGGCTTCAGACTCGGGTGTGTTTTTGAGAGCTCGATGAGCGCCGATTCGCATTTCCCTTTGATACTGCCGAAGTATGGCGTCAAGAAGCCCGGGTTTTGGGTCGCCTGGTTTAACCTGATCAGCTGGTTGTAACCAACGCACAAAAGCGGGATCCCGTTCATGGGTAGGAAAAGCATACCCCGTCCCCAGAAACATACACGAAGTTGAACTTCTCTGACAATCCCGCAAAGGCCTTCGCAGCCGCAAGGGGGTAGTCGAGGGTGATTTTCACGTATTCCCTTTTCAGTCGCCTCGTTAGCATCCAAGTCTGTTATTGTATGTAAGGACACGGAAGTAATATCTTACTCTTTCGACACCTGCGTTTGCGAAATGCCCTGCGCCCAAATACATCCATCCGCGCCTTTCAGTTTTTCTAACAACTCAGGACTATACTCGTTGAAGTCCTTGTGTTCGATCACGGTCACGTTGGGCTTCCCCTCGGCCATCGGCACGGGACTCCGACTGAGAATATATAATCTGGATACTTGTCCTGGTGGGAGGGATAGGATGTGGTTGAGGGTCGCGGAGCCGACGAGCCCGGTCGCGCCTGTTAGGATGAGACGCATGTTTGTCCTCTGGTTCTCGCGAAATACAGGTTAAGAAAGGTAATCTTGTGCAAGTAGCGAACTATAAAATACTAAGCAATTGTGATTGAACTTAGAACTGGAATGAAGAGGTTGAAGCGACATCGTAGAGCTTTTATTCTGATGTCGATTACTATGCGTCGGATGTAAGTTGTAATTCCGGTGCGGGTGGACGATGCTGACATGGAGTTAACGCGGACGGATTTTGTCTGCCCGGAGATAAGGAATTTCAATCTGCTTGCGGGATTCTATTCTCGTATTTGGCTGAGTCAGTATCTTGGCTATGAACGTTGTTACGAGGTGAGGTATTTTGGACTGATGAGTGCTGTTGCTGGGTTTCATTTGGGGTAGTTCTGTACTTGGCAAATTGTTACCCAGAAAAGCACACCAAACAATAAAAGGCGGCCGATTTGCAACACCTTACGCAGTCATGTAATTGACAAAAACTCCAACGAAATTAGTTGTCAAGTCTTATGAGACACCTATGCGCCTGGAAATAGAGAAAATTGTTGATTTGATTCAAATAATCGATCATTGAAATGGCTAGCAGATTTATCTTGCCATTTGCCGATGTATATATTTGAGTAACATACCCAAAATGGCCTAATTGGCGTAAGATAACACGCCCCAAAAACTTAAACGAAAATTTATTTTTCGCTTTCAATTTATTCATCTTATTATATACCCTTACAGAGGTAGGCTCAATTTACTTCGAAGATAGGGGTTGATCAAGATGATTGGATTATTTGTGTATTAATGTCCTCTGGGGAGAAAGGGAGCATATGAACCGAAGTAGGGGCATGCCAAGATCAAAATCGGTTCTTAAATTATGAAAGCACCTCAGGTACCTGGCTTACCTTCCTCGGCCGAGAGATATTCATTGCCTCTTAGCCTATTTTGCTTTGGTCTTCTCGTTTCATGAATCTAATAAGCTCGAGAATGAGTAGGTCGTTCCCAGATTACAATAGAGCCCCTTCGCCTTGTCTATGTCCGTGTATTCCGTACAACATCGTTCACAGATGTCTACGAGCCAATCGAACTCTGAAACAGGCAAGATGAGAAAGTCCACGACGAGTCGAGAAACGAAAAAATTTTACCATTGAGATTTTCGATCCCTATTCCCAATTCCTCCCCATATCAGCCCAACAACCATATCCACCCACTTAAGTACACTCAACAAAGTTGTTTCCGCTCGCCCCAGTATGCGTGATCACGCCAGCCAGCTGGTTCTGGGTGTTAAACACAACACGGTCAGCACCAGGCGAGCCACCACTGTAGATGCTTCCGGAGCTCAGGATCGGCCATTCCTGGTACGTGCCGGAGACGGGGAAATCGAAGCCCTCGTAGTTGTTGTACTTGTGGGGGTAGTTGTTGCTGCCGACGGTCTCGCCGTCGGAGTACAGCTCGTAGCCGGCGTTCTTGGCGGAGTTGACGGCGCTGGAGGAGTAGGTGTTGCTACCGCAAGTGTAGCTGGCACGGGCGACAGGCTGAGGGGCAGGAGCCGCGAGGGCGCCGGTGAGGAGGAGAGTGGTGAGAGTGAGGACCTATAGGGATGTTGGTATGAATTCAATGGGCTTTGGTGGGGGGTGTTGGCCGGTATGATGTGTTGAAGATTCAGATAGGAGGGAGAGAGTGGAGATTGTACATACCTTGGTGAACATCATCTTGGCTGATTGGACGGCTTCCTGGGCTGTGTTATCGTAGACTCCGACACGCTGTTTTGTCTGGCTTGCTTATAGAAAAAGCGTCCAGTAGCTGGCATCAACCCGGCCTTTATATATCATCCCGGGTGCAGCCCACGTCTCACAGCATCCCCGTATCTCCAACCCGGCCGGGTCACACAGCATGCAAGATTACTATAGCTGAGGTTACATCGGAACTCCCCGTGAAGACCAGCGATAAGCAGATTGGACAGAGTCCACCATCAGAAGACATGCAGGTCCCAGCAGAAATGCCGATCTTTGGCGGAGAGGGGGCGGCCAAGATGGCAGATGCAGCATGAATGCAGATCGTGTTGGACGTAACGGTCCCCTTATTCGATAGACGAGGGCGACGGGTTGACGGGCTATCAGGACGCCAGGAACAACCTCCTCCAATCAGCGACGGCGCTGCCGGGCACGGTGCTTGTCGGGCGAATCTCGATGGTTTGGAATTGCGGGGAGGCAAACATTGCGCTACTTTATCGTCTGTTTTGCCGACGTGCCTTACATGCTTAGCAGGATAAATAGGGGGGAGAGTACGTATAGAAAGTGGATAGATTCGAATTTTGCCCGAAACCAGGACCAACCAAGTCAGTATAATTGAACATGTTTTCGCCGTCGCTTTTTCAACTGGCATTCAGTGCATCGTCTAGGTCATCTCCGACCGCCAGTGATAGGCGCAATCTGACTATCGCAATCCACCCCACCCTCGGCCTCTGCCCCGTCGGAATCCGCACACGGCCCGGTCCTCACCCTCCACCACTACATATCAGACATTACTCGTGGTGAATGAAAATGACCAGATTGTCGCCATCTGCTCCGCCTCTTTCATTTATTCCTCGGAGTGATAATGCATCGGAGACCTCCTGTGCATACAGTTAGCCGGCCAGACAGCCTGAATGTGTTTTGAGAACGCCATCGCGCTGCCATGGTGCCGTCTCTGCCGTCTCAATCTATCTCTCGTGCTTTTCCTCCAGTTAGGCGGCGCGTGATCAATTCATGGCAATATGTCAGATTGGTTTGACTGGTGTTTGGTCCCGATGGTGATGCTACCGGATGAACTCGAGATTGTCTTCGGAGAACATGGTGGACGAGGGAGGATGGGTGTATTTCCGCCTATCGTTTCCAAGAATTTTCTCGGTCTCGAAAACTGCGGAGAGAAGATGAAAAATGCATGTGAAGCCGTTACTCTCCCTGGCCGATATTCTGCTGCGCAAAAGAATGCTTTCGAGAGACAAGGGCAGATCGCTGTAGGTACCGTTGAGATTGACGATCATTTTGTCGATCGCGATCGCACAGAAGTTAAGACTCCCCTGGAAAAGCTAATGACAAAAGCCAATAATGTTTGGTAGTTCGAGCACCAAATAGGTACATAAATGCGACTCAAGCATACAACAAGAGGCACAGCGAAAACGCTCCATCTTGAAGTATACCCAAGTACTTGAACGGAACGACGGGCTTGAAAGGCAAATCATTTACCGAAACGGAATCAGTGTGACATCGAAATGTTGCAATATTAAGTTTATCGGTGTCTTAATATGTCTAATTATCTTGGTTATGTGGTCCCAAATGCCGCGGGGGTTCAAAGGCTGAGCCTTTTTCAAACGCTAACTCAATACACATAGATTTTGTGCCACAGAATTTTATACACCCCTACTGTATAGAGCCTGCAACTATGCCTAAAAGCCCCCTCTGTCTAAATTAGAAACGCTTGGAAGGGTTGCGAAAGCTGACACCTCACATAATATTTCTTGGGAATAGGAACAAAGATACCTATGATAGGTCCCGTGAGGTTTATCAAGTGTCCATGAGGGGCCTTTCAAATCTCAGAGCTGCAGTCACGGCTTTCAACTGCTCCGCCATTATTTTGTCTTGCTTGACAATGACGTCACTGCCTACTGGCCGCGAGTTCATTCTCGCCAACCAGCCAGGCAGACGGGGAAAGTCGTTCTCATTATAGCCCACAACGGACAACATGTTCCGGGCGGTACTCTGCCACGAGACAAAGGCTAGATCGGCATAAGATAGCCTAATCCGGGGTTGCTAAAATTCGATCTAGAACTCCAAATACCCGTCGGATTCCCGGCAGAGTCAGCGTTTTGGTAAGCATCGGCATGGTCTTCCATCTTGTGAGTTTGAAGAAACACTTTGAAGGTAACCGGAGTGACTTCCAGATACTTGGGGTTCTCCAGACCCCTTTTGAGATAGGTCTTGCCGTCGGTGCAGCGATCGCCGAGGTCTATACAGTAGACCTTTCCCTAGTTAGTGATATTTTTCATGGCTTTTGATCCGGGTTATGGGTGTTGACTAACAATGCTGCATACCGACCGCATTTTGGTCTCTCGCTACCGCTGCTACATACTGAGAAGCAGTTGCATATGTAGTAGTCTTCCACAACTCATCCACAATGCCATATTAGTTGAGTTTGCAGGCCTCTGGGTCCCAGACGCCGAAGTAGCCACTCTAGAAAGTCTTCATAACCGATAAGGGCAAGGCCATGATCATAAGGTCATTTTCACCTAAGTTACAGCAGATTACCACATCTCAACCGCGCGGGAGGCCACGCAGAGCATCTAAATTAATTAAATCGCCTTGGACGATGCTCACCCGGGGGATTCTTGTAAAGTCCCTGGAAATTTGGGGCGTTGCGGCAGAGACCCCGAATCTGGACGTCGTAGGAATTGCAAAGATTCTTCACAACCAGCAGGGCAATTTGCCGTAATGCCCGCGACGCCAACCGTGATAGCCATACCGACTTGAGGGATCGGAGGGAATATAGTTTGGGGCGGAAGGGGAGGAGCAGTTCTTTCTCAATGTTACGTGTGGCACCGGAGTGTCACAAGACGATGAACTAGTATTTTCCAATATATCTTTGGGATTAAAATAAAAAGTCTGAGCTGCAGGAAATGATGATACTACTTCCGAAGGCAAGGTAGGGTTGTAGCGTCATAGTCATCACCAGGAACATTTGTAATGAACGCTCGTGGCCCGAGAGCTCTGGTCAATCAGAACACCGGTACAGCGTGCCCCGGACCCACTCGGAGCTGGCATTAAGAGCCCTCGGACTGCCGTGAGGACGAAGCCCCGATCTGATACGGATTACTGTACTACGAAGTACGGAATAGTGTGTCCCGTTTTGGTTCGGCTTCGTGCTCGGCGGCGGATATATGAAACGGAAGGGTAGGCCTGACAAATCAAGTCGCGCTCCAAAGCCCGACATTAACAATCTCCGTATGAACTCTACTCTCATAGACAAGACGGGAGGAAAGAATTTAGTCGGAAAAGAGCTCTAGCCAAATTGTATATAGTACTTGAACAATTAATCTCGCTCCATCTGAAGACCTCCCAATCTCTACCTCACCTTGCATTGGAATCACGAAAATGTCGAAATTATTCAAGCCCCTCCAGATTGGAGGAAAGACCCTCAATCAGCGAATTGCTATGGCCCCCATGACTCGTCTTCGTGCCGATCAGTCGCACCTCCCGCTGCCTTCTGTGAAAAAGTACTATGAGCAACGTGCAAGCGTTCCGGGGTCCCTTATTGTCACTGAGGCCACCGTGATCAGTCCTCGACATGGAGGATATCCCAATGTCCCTGGAATCTACAGTAACAGCCAAGTAGCCGCCTGGAAAGACGTTACCGATGCAGTCCATAACAAGGGGTCATACATTTACCTCCAACTTTGGGCTTTGGGTCGTGCCGCAAACCCTACCTTCTTGAATCAGGGAGAGCATCCGCTTCTCTCGGCCAGCAACAGCCCAATGAAAAGTGCCTTCAGCGACGAGATCCACCGGCCTCGATCCATGACAGAAAAAGAGATCCTGGATTCCATCGTCGACTTCCGGAATGCGGCCAAAAATGCGATCAGCGCTGAATTTGACGGCGTGGAAATTCATGGAGCGAATGGCTATCTTGTGGACCAATTCCTTCAAGATGTTTCGAATACACGAACGGACGAATGGGGCGGAAATATTGCCAACCGATCGAGGTACGCTGTTGAAGTCACCCGCGCCGTTGCCGCCGAGATAGGTAATCAGCGCACTGCAATACGCCTGAGTCCATGGAGCAGGTACCAAGGAATGCGCATGGAAGATCCCATTCCGCAGTTTACGGATGTCGTTCGGAAATTGGCTCAGTTCAACTTGGCCTATCTTCACGCGTGTGAGTCTGACGCGAGAGACAAGGATGACGGGGATCTGAACTGGTTGTTGGAAGCATATGGCAATAGCAGTCCCGTTCTAGTTGCCGGGAACTATAATGGAGAGTCCGCAAAGACCGCGGTGGACAGTACCTATGCCAACCATGATGTGGCTGTCGCTTTTGGTCGTCCATACATCGGAAACCCCGACCTACCTTTCAGAGTCAAGTGCGGACTGCCTTTAGCGCAGTTCAATCCGGCAACCATGTATGGACAAGGATCGGAAGGTTATACTGATTACCTGTTCAGTAAAGAGTTCTCATCGCACATGGAAGCTGGTAAAGCCTAGAGAGCCTTGCCATCATGTACCATGGATAATTAGTTTCCTGTTGTTGATTTGTATAGGAGTATTATTAACAAGGTACTTATATATCTCAACGACGAATGAGTGAGGCGGTGCCCATTAGTTGGTGACTGGTTCTTATGAAATAGGTCGAATAGAACAATAATATACAATGAAAAGTTCCCCAGAGACCCCAATTCTTAGCTCGCGGTGTGAATACACAATGTGGCCCCTACTTCATCTGCCTCTCCCGAATCATGCGCTCCTGAATAGCGATGAGCTCCTTCACCACGGGCCTCTCATTCATTCGAGCAAGCCACGCGCATACGTTCGGGAACTTCGTCTCGTCGAACCCATAATCGCCCAACATGCTCTTCGCGGCATTTTGCCACGGTATAAACGCTAGGTCCGCGTATGACATTTTCTCACCTACAAGCCACTTCCGGTGCTCCAACCACTTGTCGAGCACCCCGGACACGCGGCGCATCTCTCCGACATAGCGCTGCACCGCAGTGTCGACCTTCGCCGGGTGGTATCGCGTGAACCAGACCGCTTGGCCGTAGTACGGCCCCTGGCCAGTGGTCTGAAAGTACAGCCATTGACGAGCGTAGTGTGCTTCCGCGGAGCCTACACGGAAACTGAGTCGATGGCTCTGGTCATAGGTCTCGACCAGGTATTCGATTATGGCGCCGGACTCCCACAGCGTGATGCCGGTGTTAGGGTCGAAGATAGCAGGAAGTCGCCCGTTGGGATTGATGCCTTCATATTGAGGGGTTTTGAGCTCGCTGAAGTCTATGGGCTCCGGAGCGTAAGGGATGTCGAGTTCACCGAGGATGACGCAGACTTTGAACGGGTTGGGACCAAATGAGCCTCCGTATACTTTGATTGGCTTCATGGTACAGAGGGTCTCTGATGGCTTGTGATTGAGAAATCTGATAGATGTTAAGTGCCGAATGGTCTCATTTTCGAGGAATGGGAGGCCATGGTAAAAGGATGCAAGCTTTTCGGTTGATGATTATGAATATTGTAAGTTTCGGGATTGACATTAAGGCCGAGTGAGTGGATAGATGAGTAGAGCTTTGCCAGAATTCGGGGCTTTAGAAAGCTTCAACCGACGCGCGCGAAATGTCTAAGACTTTTGATTGGCGAGCCAGAAGGGTAAAATGAACACCCCGGAGGGCTTGAGCCACATTCCTCGGTGGTGATAATTACTGTTGTGGAGCCGCCATCGCTGAACCATTCGACCGGATTAAGTTGAACCGTGTCGCCCATTCGCGCAACGAAACTCCGAGGCTTTGAAATACTAGGTATCCGTGGCCTCCGGGATCCTGCGGTCCACCCACCACCAGGATCCCGGAGGCCACGGATACCGGTACTGTGTAGATTGCTGAGTAAACCCGCCGAGATCTGATTTGCAGAAGATCCCTGAACTGCCATCATCCACCGGTAACCTTCGCTCGATGACGACATGATTCATACACCCTAGAATATGAGACCTGGGATCACTAGCTCGCGCTCGCGCTCGCGCATATTAAGACCGAGTTTGTCATATGGATCAGAATCAGCCAGTATTAAGATCGCCTGCGAATGACACCGATCGTATCGAGGTATAAGAAGTGGTCGGAAATTCGCCATTGAACCCGTCAGTTTTACTTTCGAAATCCTCGTGCAACACTATCTTCACAAAACTCTCGAAACATGTCCAAAATTCTTACCGTCTTCGGAGCCACCGGAAACCAGGGTGGCTCGGTCATCAAGGCCATCCTGGCCGATCCGGCTCTCTCCAAGCAGTTCAAAATCCGAGGTGTCACCCGCGATCCCAGCAAGCCGTCTTCGCAGAAGTTGGTGGCTGCTGGAGTGGAGGTTGTTTCGGTGAGAAAACACAACACGAACCTTGTATTGCAAGGGCACTAACTTATAGTCTCTCTAGGCCGATATCTCATCTGTCGAGGGAGCTCTCCGCGCTGTTTCTGGCGCCCACACCGTCTTTCTAGTGACAAACTTCTGGGAGTCCATGAAGAAGGAGGTTGAATTATCTCAGGGCAAGGCAGTGACTGAGGCATGCAAGCAAGCTGGGGTGCAGCATCTCATCTTTTCCTCGTTGCGGAATGTGACTGAGATCAGTAACGGCCGTCTGCCGAACGTGACTCACTTTGATGGCAAGGCCGAGATTGAAGACTATATCAGGGCCAGCGGCATCTCGTCCACATTTGTCCTGCCCGGCCTGTTCATGTCCAATTTCTTCGAGTTCTTTAACAAGCAGGGTGACACTTACACGCTTGCGTGGCCGGTGAACTTGGAGAAAGCCCGCGTGCCGCTCTTTGACGCGGCCCAGGATACTGGTATGCCCATTGTTTCTATCGTCGACTACGAAAATATACTAATCAGCCTAATAACATAGGCAAATTTGTGAAAGCTGCCATATCCAACTGGCCGTCAACCGCCGGACAGCGGATCCTCGCCGCCACCGACTATTACTCGCCGAAGAGAATCGTGGACGAGTTCCAACAGGTCACCGGCTACAAGGCGCAGGCAGTGGAGGTTCCGTCGGAGACCTTCAAATCCTTCCTTCCTGAACCCATCGCGCAGGAGATGCTGGAGAATATCCAGTTGTTGGAAGACCCGGGATATTTTGCCGGCGAGTCTTTGGAGCCGTCACTGAAATTGCTGGACTCAAAGCCGACGCTGTGGGAGGAGTTCGTGAAGCAGAACAAGGAGAAGTTCTAAATAGGTATATCTGATGGAACATAACTGTAATATAAATTGAGAAATGGACCTTATCATGCAGAATTATGTAAACAGTCAGGAAGATATACCTCGCATGGGTTCCCGGGCATCACGTACATGTAGCCGCTACGTGATTTTAGTTAACTTGTCTAATGATACCCGTTAGGCTGGTATTGTTGTATTGTCCAACCCAATGCGTACATTGGCAACCACGCCACGACCAGCTACGACATCTGATCCACTACAGGTTCAATTTGGATCCAAAATTTTGATACCAAATTCTGGTTCATCGGTCCTCATTCCATTAGACTGAAAAGTTATGATTGATCGATCGACTGACTACAGATAACATGTCTGACCCTTTCCCAGCTCCCCCTTTGAACGCAACTGATTCAAGACATCCCTGGCTGTTCTCCCAACCTTTGCTCCATATTCCGCAAACGGGGGCAGTGGACCCGACATATCCATCGGTCGAACCTTAAGCCAAACGACAGATGGCGTTTCCCGACAGGCATCCTGCATTGATTTAAGATCATCATCAGTGTATCCGCCGCCGACAAGAACAGCTACCGGTGTTGCTTCTTGCTCAGTCGCACTGGTGCCACGCTGGAGGAGGCGGGGAAGGTCGCGAACCCCGGCCGCTGGACTTAAAATGGAGTGGGCGACTATAGCGGATATTACTTTCTTAACAGGCTGAACAGCGCGTAATACTAACGTGGATCAGTCACGCTCAGAACTTACCCCTATAGTCTGGTTGCAACCCCGCAGTGACAGCCGAGCTCACCCCAGGATTCTTGCCGCATATCACGATAGGTAAAGTGGCTTTGGCAGTGGCTGTGGAGAGCCCCCGAACCAATTTGAACGGGAACATTGAGAGTGGCTGTTTGTATTTGAAAGTTTAAGGGAAGGGCTAAAAGTAGTTTGAAGAAGGGAGAAGTAGGTCTGATGTCAGGAATTAAAAAAGTGCGGAGTAGAGTAATCCGGAATGGTCCGGATGAGCAGCGCTATAAATGATCCATTGCGTTTGGTGCAATCAAAATAGTCAGAGTCGACCATGATTCATCCTGCGTACCGAGATATGTTGCGTCCCTTGTATATTGAACCTTCCATACCGTTGGTTTGTGTTGTGTACACGACCCACTAGCCACGCGGGCTTCATTTCAAGCCCGACAGGCCGAACAATTAGTAATGTACGTCAAAGCAACTATCTTGTCACTTATTTAGCTGTAACAAGATGTCATAGTTTGACAATAATCAAGCAATGGATCTCTAGGAACATTGTCCATTCTCTCTGGGGTTTGGACTTTTCACGCGGCATTTACTCCAAAGACAATAGCCAATATTGCTGAAGCTACCAACACACCAGCTGTCAATGGCGCCATCATTCGTCGCCATTGCAGGCGCCACAGGTAATCTCGGTCAGCTGGTAGCAAAGAATTTGACACGCCGAGGAGTTCCAGTTAAGGCCCTTGTCCGCCCGCGGACAGACCATGCACGCACCCAGTCGCTTCAAGATCGCAACGTGTCCATTGCTCCTGTCAATTTCTCCGACGTCGCTGCTCTTACTCGTGAGCTCCACGGGGCGACCTGCGTTGTCTCGACACTCCAAGGTCTACGCGATGTAATCCACAATGTGCAGGGCAACCTGCTCGACGCCGCCGTGGCTGCCAAAGTCCCTCGTTTCATCCCATCAGACTTCTCCCTCGACTTCACCAAAACTAAACCAGGTTCGAACCGCAATCTGGACCTGCGACGGGAGTTCCATGCCCGACTCGACCGCTCTGGCATTGCCTGGACCAGCATTCTCAACGGCGGGTTCATGGACCTGCTGGGCGGTGACTCGCCGATGATCAATCACAAGAAGGGGAAGGTCGTCTACGTGGGGAAAGCGACGCAATTATTGGATCTAACCACTATCCCAGATACTGCAGCCTACACGGCTGCCGTGGCAGCGGATCCCAATCCCACTCCACGGTTCCTCCGCATCGCCGGCGATGTCGTCAGCGTGCAGGACATTGCCGTCGCCGAGACGGCATTGGAGGGAAAGCAGTATCAGCCGTCGTGGATGGGAACCGTTGGATTCTTGGAGGTTATGATCCGAGTTCTAAGGGCATTTGGCGGCGAAAATGACATCTTTCCGGCCTGGCAGGGGATGCAATATATGGCGAACATGTTTTCGGGGGTGGCCAAACTGAAGCCGCTGGATAACGATAGATACCCGGATCTCCAGTGGACGAAGGTCGCCGATTACCTCCGGGAAGAAAAAACGCGGAGGGTATTGAAGTAGCTGACAAGATGTATATACTGGCTGCGAAGCACCTCCGGCGGGCAACGGTCAAATGAGATAGCTCATTCGATCCTAATATCCAGCTTCAATTACTTCGTATACTGTTTTACTATGATAAAAGTCAATCTTTCACTCTTACGTATACTGATGTATAGTACAACGGTGTTTGGGCTGAAGCTCGTAAAAACATATAGAGCACCTTTGATTAGAGAATGTAATGATCAATTGTATGAAATGCGGGAATGCAACTTTATCTACCCTTTGCAATTGTGAAATGTTGAGATTCTTTCTTGAGGTAAGACTCATTAGCAGCTAGTAGAGCTTCGCAAAATGATATTGTTTTGATTTTCTATTTTATGAACCACCTTATTATTTCACGAAAATTTCAATTTTGAAAATGTCAATTTTGAACCCCACTAGCTGCTCTGCCAATGCCAACTATGACATTCATCATGTATTATCGGGGTTCTATTCCCAGCACCTACGGGGCCAAGCATTTCAGTTACAAAAATTCGGTTCGCGCCACTTCGGGGTTACTGTATTACTCTATTCTCGCCCTTTTAGCACGCCGAGCTCCGAGGGCAACTTGAGCTCTCCACCACTACCAAGCAAAAAATAAATTCTAATCGACTCCACCTATCCGTTGACCCTTTTTGCTGCGTGACGGCCTGTGTATTCAAACTGCTTCCATAGATGAACATCAGCCTCGCGTAGCCCCTTAGACTAGGTTATAGCACCTGTTGACATAGTATGTGCATGCAAGATCTAAACATTGCCTTAGCTGGGATTTTCGGTCTATTTGGTAAAGTTCACAGCATCATTAGAATCACAGACAAGGTCTGCCACAGTCTGATTATATTTATTGGAACCTATTTTCAACTATGGGTGCACTTCATCCAGCCAACGACATATCCTCTCGAATCTCTCTCCCATAATCATCGAGTGGATACCTTGAGCAAACCTCGTCGGTGGAAACCTATTCAGAACGGCAACGTATTTTGAACGCCTAATCAAGGAAGAGAAGTCAATTTAAAAATACTAAAATGAACTAGTTACAAAGGAAAGCTTACTCTGCACGACGAGCAATTACTTCTTTTTGTAACAAGCGTATTTGACTCATCAACTCAACCTCCCTTAAAACCAAATTCTTGAGCACGTCGGGGTCAGGTCCTTCGAGGCACGGTTTCCGCCACGTATGCGCCTGTTTTGGTCGCCGAATGGTTTTTCGTGTGGACGGTGTGTATGTTCGGCTTGGATTGTTGCTGTCTAGCCTCATGACGCCTGATGGCTTAGTTATGAAGCACCTAGTAGTCGATTCAATCTCTGATCTTGCAATAATGGGTAGACCACCGATATCAAACAAAGCATTTCAAGCCTGGGCTGCCTTACTATTGATATTGGGTTGCTAGACACCCACATTAGTTCAACTCCGTTGTTAAGTCACTTAAATGGATAGAGCAAGCTAACTATCCGGGGCTCGCATTGCATAATCTCGGCTCATCGGAAAGCCGAGCTCCTGACCAGTCTGCCGATTACCACGCAAACGCGAGTCGGGATGTCCAATGATTGGAAATACGGTGCGTGGCGGTAGGAGATCAGCTATCTGTCGCGTGCAAATTTAGAAGTACAAGCGGATCGGGTAACACAAGGATGATTGTTCAATCTCTCAAAGAACCCCTTATAGGGTAGCCATCAGCACCATGTTGATAATGCATTCTCTCTTATCAAAAGCAGCCATTCGATCTTGCAAGCATTCGCTGCATGTTCTCAAAAAACCCATTTCTCTATCCTTGGCAACGTCGTCATTATTACATGGAGTTAACATGGCGCCCGTCGCATCACCAATGAATCCAGTGGAATTTCGCATATACAATCGCATGGCAGACAAGATGGAGGGTCTAGTAAGAAATACACAAAAGGTCTTCCACAGGCGCCATCGTCCCGCTAATACGAGCGCAAAAAGCACGAGCACTTCCGAATGCAATGGGATGTGATGCATACGGCTGCCATCAATTCCTGCCGGCCAAAAGGCTTGTCCCTTCGATCGTATTTACAACTCTGTCTTGGATTCTGTGAGCAACTCACTATACACCACACAATTGAAGAGGTTCGAGAAATCCATTATAGCGTTTTACTTTTCTCTAGAAGCTCATTGGTTAGATAGAAGCGTGTTTTCCCAGTCCTTGCGACTCGGATGCCAGCGTTTCAACCCCAGGGGCACCTAGTAGCGCAGCATGAGGCCATTCACAATGGTCTTGAGAGTCTCGCAGCCTACTGTGATGCATGTTTGCAGGGAAGTAGGGACTTCCAGTGGCATGAGATGAAAAGTATTTTAGTTGGGTTTCACTCGATCTTGTGGGAACATCTGGATGCCGAGGTTCGGGAGCTTGGTGCTGAGCACATACAGAAGTATTGGTCAAGGGATGAAGTTTTGAAGATGCCGATGTGAGATGCGATATTATGGATGTAATTTTTGAAGTTCTAAAAAATGTGGCGTATATGTACAATTCGCTTCTTCTATACAATTCGGCTAGTTTGGACTAGGGAATCTTCCCGAATGGCGACAAATCTTGAGTTCAGTCTCGGTCCGAACAAAGCCTAGGGAATGTATATAACTGAAGTTCCCAGCGAGGCCTCTTGTAAATACTTCCAGCAGCATTATTTTAACTTGTTTTTAATTAAAGACGAACAGGGGCCGTCCTTGTGACCATTGATTTTATACTATTGTGTCATTTACTTTGGCAGCCCCCAGTGTCGCCCAGAAAGACTTTACAGGGGAGCTTGGTCGAATCAGGGCTACCTCTTGTTTCGAAAAGCAATCGAGCCCTCCTTCCAATGAGTCTCTAGTCAGTCCGGACTTTAGAGAGGCCTCTAAACCAAGCGATGGAGTGTCTCGATTTAAAGACAAATGTCGGAAGAATGAGCTGGGCACATTTACCAGAGCCGAGAATAGTGACGACACCACGGTGTTGTAAGTTCTATCGATGATCTTTCGAGGATCTTTTGTCGTTCTTTAGGGCTTTCCACTAACACTAGCTGAACTTTCCAGTCGGTTTTTGCGAGCTGAGCGCTATGACGTTGATGCCGCATTCGATAGGTTCCACTATTTTCAAACTGGCGCAGAGAAAAACACATTCAGAGCTTCTATGAGGACCTAGATGTTGATTTGTATGATGAAACCAGAAAGACGGTAAGTGGTTCCAGCCAACTGAAGTATATTCAGAGTTGAGGACAGCTTGCTGACAATCAAAGTATCCTCAATGGATTGGGCGGCGAGACAATGCAGGGAGACCCATTTACGTTTTCCAAGTCCGGAAGCTCACCAAGAAAAGCATGGAGGGTTACCTGAAATTTCTGGCGAAGGCACCAGGTTCAAGTTCTCATGAGGGATCTAATGTACCTATTCACGTGCTGCATCTCCATGCGCTGTACGAGAATCTCTTGCAATTCGTTCTCCCGCTCGTTCAGAGTTGTCTCGATGGAATTCCAAATGCCCAATCTCGTCGTCTACACATATTGTGGACATCAGCAATGTGAGAGTGCTCCAGTTCTGGAGTATCCGCAAGTATCTCCAGGGGGCCAGCGGAATTGCTACCACTCATTATCCGGAGACCCTTGGAAAGGTTTTTGTGAGTACCCCTTCTTCAAATTCCGCCCCCTTGCATTTAAGAAACTAGGTTTACTTGATTTTAAGGTTGTAAGAGCGCCTGCCTTCTTCAAGTCGGTATGGGAATCTATAAGCCAGTGGTTTGATCCCGAAACGAGGTCAAAGATCTTCGTTCTTTCCCCATCAGAGTCGAGGCCATTCCTCCTCTCTCATGTCGCGGCTTCAGATCTACCAAAAGAATACGGTGGGGAGCTTGAATGGAAGTGGCAAGACCAACCAAATCTTGACCAAGCTAGGCGCCACCTCGTAGATGAAGTTTACCAGAGAAGTGACAGAGGAGAGGTTTTCTCGAAAGGTCCATTATTCTATCAAGATAGCTGCGTTCGGCTTGTTGGCTCAGTCGGTGGTTTACCGCGGCGCAATGCATTCTGTCGTCTCGAAACACCGCCGCATTGGACGTTAGAGTGAAGCCTTCACGCTTTTGTTCTAGGCTTTTCTATGCTATAAATCCTTCTGTTCCGTTTGATAAAGTCTTCTTTAATTTGTAGTAACCAGTGTACATAGCCTATCGTGCCTGTGTTTTACTTTTGTACTTTTACGAGGCACTGATGGAAAGAGATTCTGTATGGTTTGGTTGGGACACGTATTCACATACCTCCTTTCCTTAATAATGTGCTAAGCTTGTATAGTTATGCAATTAGGAGCGTTCAGTAAATCTACTATGAATCTGGTCCAATCTCCGCTTCGAGAAGCCCCTCCCTTTCATCAAACTATATTGAACGCTAAAGTGAAATAAGGGAGTAAGTGTACCATGTTCTAGTAGTGAAAAGTCCAATGCTTCCAGAACCTTTGTCAACACTCTTGGTTTTCTATCATAAGGTCACCGAAGTGAGCAAGCCTCCAATGCAGCCAATCAGAAGGGAGATTTTATTTCGAGGGGGGCGATTGGCCGCTTTTGGTCAAAGATATCTGCTACCTAGTTTGCTAGTGAATAGCTCGTCTATGTAATATCCATTGAATTAGGATTCAGTCGAGTTCGTAAAACGCCAACAGTCAGGTACCTATGACTATAGGCCTATGTTCTCCCTCGATGTATAGACGCTAGGAGATGTCCGAAGGGAACCATCCTAACTAAGTTAGTGCTGGAGAGGTGAAATAACCTGCAGCTCTGTATACCTATTACACTGACAAGCCCAACCCACCTAGCAATCTCGTAAATTAAGAACCCCATCCTATTTGCTCTTCCACGAATGGCCATACCCCTGGGAACAGAGCATCCAATACCCAAGCCGTTTTTCATAGATGTCAGCACTAATAGCGGATACGCTAGCAATTTAGGTCGACTTAGATGCTATTGGTGACCAACAATGCGTTACGGGAAGAGTTACTAAATCCTCCAAGGTCTCGAGAGAAGGTGCGAGTGGGTCGAGCTTGGACAGGGTCGGGACCCTGCAAATTACAAGCGCTCCGCACTGCAATAGGACTACGAGAGAGGGGTATGCTGCAGATTGACAGTATAAATTAGATGTATTTATTGCGCAAGCATGACAATTCATGGAGGCTACGATGACTGGTCAATGAGGAATCCACTTTTCTCCAGGTTATGATCGAAATCAAGGGCGTATCTCCGACGGGTAGGAAGGGGATCAGTCGATAGGTTGGGAGTTCGGTTGCGAATAGGGAAAAGAAGAAGAGTGTCTATAGATAAAATGTAAATAGAGTATATCGGTTGGGCAATTGAGAGAGCGGAAAGGTCTATGTAATTTACTGAACTAATCACCTTTTATACTAACTCGGCCCCAGCCACGAGTGCTCATGTAATCCCTGCGCTAATATTATAAAGCAACCAACAGGATTACGAATTACCAACAGGATTACGAATCACCAACAGGAAAGGAGATCGCGGGGAAAGAATGGTGCGAACTCAAGGATTATAGGTTGCAGGTTAATCTCGATCCCGCCATATAAGTATGCCATTATTGCCGTGTCACGCCATATCATAACTTATTGTTATACTCGAGCTCCGGTTCATCTCTGCATTTAGTAAGGACTTGTGACACTGAACCACGACGTTAGGCCGATCGTTCCTTCAAAGACAAATTAAATATAGATCCTTTCCTCCAAAATGTCATCTCAAACTCGCACCGCCATTCAAATTGTCGGTCCCGGTGGCGCCGAACTTCGCTCCGATGTCACTTACCCCCGACTCCGCGACGAATACATCATTGCCGAGACGAAAGCCTTTGCGCTGAATCCGACCGATAACACCCATATAGATGGCTTCGGAGGCCCGGGGACGATCGTCGGTTGTGACTGGTCAGGGGTCGTCGTGGAGGTTGGAAAGTCCGTCACGCGGTTCAAGCCCGGGGATGAGGTGTATGGTGCTTGCCATGGAGGTAGGTCCAGTTGACCCCTCTTAGACTCTCATTGGAAGGTGCTCTGTTTACCCGAGCATGCTTGACTAACGAAAAATGTAGGTAATACTGTCGAACCTGAAGACGGTTCCTTCTCCGATATAGTGATCTGCAAGGAACACGCCACGTTTCACAAGCCAACTCATTTAAGCTTCGAGGAAGCGGCGTCTCTGGCCGTCGGGCTCATTACTGTTGGTCAGGCCTTCTATAAGAATATGGACTTGACCTGGCCGTCGATCAGCTCGACTGTGGACTCGAGCTCGGAGTCTACTGGCGTGACTAGCCCCGGTCCTTCGATATTGATCTACGGCGCTAGCTCGGCGACGGGGACCATTGCGATCCAGATAGCCAAGTTGTACGTTCTCCGAAGACATAGCACCTCTTTTTTTCATTTCCCTTTCTGTCTCCAATTGTGTTTCCCTTTATCTACAAGCTATTTAAGTAACTTCTTGCACTAGATCCGGCTACACCGTGCACGCCACTTGCTCACCCGCCAACAACGCCCTCGTCGCCTCCCGCGGAGCAGACTACATCTACGACTACAACAACCCAAACACTATGTCAACAATCATTGCCCAATCCGCCACCAACCCAATTACTTACATCCTCGACTGCATAGGCAATGACTCCACCAGCACAGACTGCAGCAAGATCCTCCCCGCGACAGGCGGCCACTACCATTCTGTCGGATGGCCCCTACCGAGCCCCTTCAAGGAGCTGCGGCCCGAGGAAAGCGCAAAAGCTACCTCCGCGCTGGGGTACACGATGGTAGGCGAGCAGTTTGAGTTCCCTGGGGGCTTGGTCTTCGAGGCGGATGCGGAGGAAGAGGCGTTTGGGAAGAGATGGGGGAGGGTTGCGGGGGAGCTGGTGAGTAGGGGGCTTGTCAGGCCGCATGAGGTGGATGTTAGGGGTGGTGGATTACGGGGCGTTTTGGAAGGGTTGCAGGAGTTGAAAGCGGGAGGGGTGAGGGGAAAGAAGCTTGTTTATTCTATTTGAAGCGCTGGCGGAAGGCTGTGGGAATAGTTAGTGGCTTTAGGATGGGGGTTCGGAGTTGAAACATCATTGCTTCTGTGGGATTGAATTGGGCACTTGGGACAGGCCGATACTGATAGGTAGGGCTTGCGGGGAATGCCTGACAGCCTGAGGACACCCGGGTGGAGTTTAAAATTAAGAGAATATTGAGAGGGCACGTACACCTTATTAATTAGTAAAGCAAGGGATCAAATACATTGGGGAAATAACCTATGAGAGTAAATCTGAGGATATGAGCTGCAATTAAAGCATCGACCAATAAGCCAGAATTGGTAACTAGTTACATAACAGCATGAGAAACCACGATAAGAAGGCAAATCAAACTGCGACTATCAAAATCTGCATCCGCACAACCAATAAACACAGCAATATTCCCGTGTCCGGACTAGAAACGGGGGCAAAGCGACGATCCGGCCAATATACCGCCACCTCCAGCCCTTATCACGACATCCCCAGCAAATGAACGCGGGCCGAGCGTGCTAATCTGGAGAACCTCATCCCACCCGTTCTTGCGCCATCGTGAAGGATGCATCGATGGGCAGTGAAAATTGGCATGCCCTGCAACCATGTATCCTAAAATTCTGTTTCCGCCCACTCCCTTCTTTTCGGTCGCTCTACCTATTTGCAATCCAGGCAATGTCGGCCCGATCCGGCAAAAATGGACTCACATTCCAGAGTCGCTTCACGGCGGACGAGGAGAATACGACCCGGGGATCGGGGGTATCAAATGATGGCTTGGAAGAGCCGTTGAAAAGAAAACTGCAGTCGCGACATCTGCAAATGATCGCAATCGGGGGTGAGCTACCAGAACGCAATTTCCTTTCCGATCGGTCGCTAACCGAAGCAGGAATTATTGGACCGGGATTGCTGGTCGGTTCCGGAAATGCGCTCAACAAAGGTGGTCCGGCAGGATGCTTGATCAGTTTTGCTTTGGTCGGCATTATTGTGTTTTTTGTCATGTAAGTGACCCGACCTGGATGGTGACATTCTCGGCTGACCGGGCAGGCAATCGTTGGGAGAAATGGCCACCGCTATCCCCGTGTCGGGCTCCTTCACCGAATATGCGCAACGCTTTGTGGATGACTCACTTGCCTTTGCCTTGGGATGGGCGTATTGGTATTTATGGGTGACGGTATGCTAGGTACAATGCGTATTCTCGAGCTATGCTGACTTTGCAGATCCTTGCAAATGAGTATAATGCCATCTCTCTCGTAATCGGCTTTTGGACGGATGCAGTTCCCCAATGGGGCTGGATTCTCATCTTCTGGTTCTTGTTCCTCGGTCTGTCGAACCTGGGTGTGCTGGCATATGGCGAGATGGAGTTTTGGCTGTCCCTGTGAGTTTCTCTGTATCCGTCGTACGCCGTCATCATCAACACTGACCCCGACAGAATCAAAGTTTTGGCGCTCATTGCCTTCTTCATTCTTGCCATTTGTATCAGCACTGGAGGTGTGGGTCCTGGGCCCATTGGGTTCAAATACTGGCGTGATCCTGGGGCATTCGCAGATTCCATCAACGGCGTTGCGAAGACCTTTGTCGTCGCTGGAACACTATATGCGGGGACGGAAATGTAAGCTCTTCTTACACCCCAAGTAACTGAGGATTTCCCTGACTTGAACAGGGTCGGCGTCACTGCCGGAGAGTCGTCAAACCCACAGAAGGCTGTTCCCACCGCTATCCGACAGGTCTTTTGGCGGATCTTGATCTTCTATATCGGTAAGTAGCCAGTTTATTACCAGACGACCGGGTACTGAAATTAGATAGGCACTATGTTCTTTATTGGGATTCTCCTCCCATACAGCGATGAGCGACTGTTAGGCTCGAGCTCAGACGCAGCCAGCTCACCCTTAACCATTGCGCTCAAAGATGCCGGCATTCTTCCAGCGGCCCACCTGATCAACGCCCTGATCGTTATCAGTGTCATTTCTGCCGGAATCGGCTCCTTATATGCCGCATCGCGAACAATGGTCTTCATGGCGCGCAATGGCAAAGCCCCGCGATTTATCGGTCGCACTAACGCTGCCGGCGTACCCTGGGTAGCATTGATATTCACCAACATCTTCACCTGCATCGTATTTCTTACTCTCTCATCGGGCGCCAGCAAGGTCTTTACGGCCTTGATTACTCTGTCGGGTGGTAAGTCCTTCTTGCAGCTCTGTATATCTCGCATTGCTAATCGCACCAAGTGTCAACATTCATCGTTTGGTCTGTCATCAGTCTGGCGCATATCCGATTCCGAAACGCGATGGCGGTGCAAGGGGATGATCCCGCTCGACTGCCCTTCCGAGCGGCGTTCTATCCTTGGGGCACGTACCTTGCTCTGGCGGGCAACATCTTCTTGATTTTCTTCCAGGGATATACGGCGTTTCTGAACCCTTTCAGCGCGGACGATTTTGTCGTCAATTATATCTTGCTTCCGGTGTTCGTTCTGTTCGCGGTAGTTTACAAGTTTTGGAACAAGACGAAGATTGTCAAGTTGGAGGAGATGGACATTTGGACTGGAAGGAGGGAGCTGGTGGAAGAAGGAGATTTTGGGAAGGCAGCAACGTGGAGGTCAAGGATGAAAGATGTCATTGTGGGATGAATAATTGGGTAGAATGATAGATATAGAATGTCGTTGCGATGACTTTGAGGAAGAGTCGTCCGACTCATGGGACAATAGATAAGATGCTCCAGACACACGAACAAGCCTATCGAGTCAGGTGCTAAGGGTAATGGCCTTGTAAGGCATTAAGGCTCGAACATTGAATAACATCTGACCAGGCAAGCCCTGAAAAGGAGAATTCAAAGGTGACTGCTCTCTTTTCCCACCCATAACTTCTACGATCACTGCCACTACTCCTTATCATTGGATGTAGAATAACAGAGTTACAATGTAAGACTGTAATTTACATGAAGATCTACCGCCTACACACAATTGTCGATAGAAGCAAATATCAATTAGAGCTGTAAGAATATTTCCAACTATTAGTGACACGGGAAGAGCCGAGTTTTATTCGAGGATAATGGAATAACAGATGATGATAATGATAATAGTCTACGTATTACCCAACCCATCGTAAGCAACGATATATCACTAATCATTGATCCCATTTATATGTCATTTATTCCCACGAATAGGTGCTACATCCAAATACTATGGAAGAAATCCAAACTATGACCCGCATAGCAGGCAACAATTGACCCATCAATCCGACTCCCTCCCATGAGCACACACACACCGACCCAACCCCTAAAAGGGCCAGCAGCATCAACAAGCGTCACTCCACAAGGCAGACAGACAGATTCAACTTAAGAGTCCAGCTTCGACTTCAAGAAGCTAGCAGCCTCGCCAGCGTTCAGACCATACGTCAGATGCGCCGGCGTGATGATCAAAGTACCCGAGCAGACCATGTCCCCGACGGCACAGAACACCTTGACCTGGTCCTTGGGGTAGTTGGGGATCTGGCCATGGTCTTGGAGGTTGCGGGTGAAGCCGAACAGAACCACGCCCTTGACCTTGGACTTGACGTCGTCGGAGAGGGCCTGCACGGCGTTGTCGATGACCGCGGAGCCTTGACTGTATTTTTCGAGTCGTTAGTATCGGTCATTCAACGGTGGTTTATTCCGTTGAGCAGTATCTAGAAGGAGGGATGATGAGTAAGAGGGCTCGTACCTGTAACCACCCGCGACGATCTGCGTGTTGGGACACTTCTCAGCCGCCTGGTTGAACCACTTCTTGGCCTCGTTGATAGCACCGGGGTCGGTGTTCTGGGGGAGTGCGTTCTGCGCAAGTCCGGCGGTGTACATGCCGCCGACACCCTGGCAGGCGACCTTACCGGCACCAAGCTGTGATTTCAAGCCCGAGCAGGTAGGGGGTCCGATGACGCTACCCTGTTGGTTTTATTAGGATCCATTATTAGTCACAAATAGACCCATGACAGGGAGGTATGGGGAGGAGTTGGCGAGCCGCATACCATGTTTCCGATCTCAGTGGATCCTCTGGCGAAGATGAAAGTGACATCCTTGCACTGACCGCTCTGCAGGTCGTTCGAGTCCATGAACTGACGCGCCTCGAGGGAGTGATCGGGCTCGGCGATGGGGCTGGCGACGGCCAGCGTGGCCAGCGCGGCGACGAGCATGGAGCGGAGGGTGACCATCTTGACGTTGATCTTGAGGTGAAGAATTATAGTATTATTGACAGAGAAAGGAAGGAGGGGTGGATGGGCCAGCCGAAGTGGGATGGGATGGGATGGAATGGAACGAGACAGAATTCAAACGAGTGACGCGGGTCTTCCGGGGTCTTTATATGTCTTTTCGAGTGAGACCACAAAAGTCCGCTTGATCCGGGGGATCAAGTCACTTCACCGACCCAGCAGGGGATCTACAGACCGAAGTAAGGAGTCAACTACTACAATTAGGCTACCAGATATGGTATTCTGATACTGATCCTGGCTCTCGCGCCGATGTCCGATACCCATAAACACGAGATTGAATTTTCGTTCCTGAAAACACTGGGTCCGGGACAGGAGTGAACGTCCATGCCAATGAATAGGCGGCAAACACCGATAGCCCTAACCAGAAAACCACGGTTGAGAAACATAGAAGTACCGATCCTAGGTACAGGCTCGGCATCAAAGCAGGTACGGAGAAATAGACTATTGCCTAGGGAAACTTTCAATCCATAAAATGAGACGGGCTTGGAACAGAGACAGGTGCAACAAAGAAACCGACTGGCTTGTTTCAAACTAGAACATAGCGCCGCAGGTACCCCCGTCTGTGCCTGTTCCTGGCAAGCTGCAGGGCGCAGGCTATAATCTGCAGGGCTCAAAGCCCCGAATCCGTGTCCGAGAGGGATCCAGTAGATCCATCCAAAGAGCCAACTTGAACCTGATGAAACCGTCGGGGAGAGATCCACTCAGTCGAAACTTTACTTCTGAACGGTCAGTCGAGCTCATTCGCGAATGGCTCATTCCGAGGTAGGGTTTGTGTTCCAGAATGACTCGATAAGGCTTATAAATGCTGCCTACTTGGAAAACAATCACCAACTGCCGAAATTAAACATCATGGATCGGAGGACCATACCGAGGTTCTTCTGTACACATCCAAAAGTGAGGTGTTTGATCCGGCGCAGGCCCTGGTTCGGGTTAGATTGAACTAGTCTCGAACTAGATCGCACTAAGCTAGTGGTGATCCACTTGGACCTGTCCAGTTCTCATATTTGAGCACTTCTACGGAGTACTTCATTGGGGTTTGGTTGAGTCCTGGGGGCTGAGGGATCGAACGGGTGCTAGACTATCTGGTTCAGGCGATCCTTGGTTCCGTTCTGTTTCTATCTTTGGGTTTGATCTAGGGCTCACATCTTCACATCTTCACGTATATTCTGCGCTTCAGCATTTGAAGGGTTGATCTCGTCCTTCAGAATCTGGACAATCCCACGGAAAATATGGTTTTGTTCTGACTGACTGACTAGCAAACTCTGCGGTACACGTGGTGAATCATTTCGATTGAAGTTTAGTGCAGGGAAGGAAAGATCGCCGGTCCGTGTGTTCCGTTTCGAGCCACGGTTGATCCATCCCAAAAGTAAGAATTAAACGAGGGTCGGCCCCCCAGTTGATTGATCTCTCTCGTTTTCTGGAATTTATGGTATTCAGTCTCCGGGAGCCGAAAATTAACCCAATTTTTGTTTGTATTTCTTTTCCTTTGAACAGGTTTGGATGGTTTACTTCGAATTGATTTCCACGTGCCATAAGGACCAGAACCATAAGAACCATATCACATGCCCTAGAATGCCCTATCCCGATATTTCACCGAGAAGAATCACTCAAGACAAGGCCCATCTACCTCTCTAATTCCCCGTATACTTCAACGAGTAAATCCCCCTCTCAATACTATTCAACAGGATATATCCGCTCTTGAAGTACGGATACACACTCCAACTGCCCACGAACTCGACCTCTCCGCCCACCTCGTCATCCTCGGGATGCACATCGAAGAATCCCACCTGTTTCAGGCCCTTCCCGGACGGGTCCTCGGCAATAGACGAGACGTCAACGATGCGCAGCCCGCTGCCGTAGTTTGACTGATAGGACAGCCCGTCCAGCACGTACTGGTTGTGGTCGATCGAGCGCACAGGCGACTGGTAGAGTCCCGTGTGCTTGGGGTCCGAGAGGTCTGATACGTCGAAGATGTATGTCGTCGTGTGGCCGTTCGCGGCCTCGCCCGTGCCGTCGACTTCGTCGAGCTCGTCGTCCAGGAGCAGGTAGGCTTGGTCGGGCGTGGCGATCCAGCCTTGGTGGGTGTAGCTGGCGCCGACGTAGGGTGTTTTGGAGATCTGGATCGGGTTGGTCTTGTCGGTTACGTCGACGATTGTGAGCGTGTCTTCGTTGTAGTTGAAGCAGATTTCTTGGCCGTTGTATTTGCTGTCGGGGCCGGTGTAGACGACGCATTGGGCTGAGTGGTTGTTTAGTTTGTGATTCGTCATGGCCAGAGCAGAGGGGTTTGTTGCTGGATGCCTTACCGTCATGCACGTAGCCATCTTCATTCGCACAGCCCGGAGACACGGGGTTCGCAGGGTCAGAGACATCCACGATCCAGAGTCCACCGGCGCATTCGAGACGTCGAGCAGTTCCGACCGCGTAGATGACTTCCTTCTCCTCATGTGCCACGATGTTATGCGAGCTGCCGAACCCGTCGTACCAGGCCGTCAGGTCATCGTCGATCGAGAAGCTAGTCGGGCTGCTGCTGTTTGTGTCGAGGAGCTAAATACCAACAAAGGTCAATGCTTTTTCTTCGCCTACAAAGTGTATCTGCACACAGAGCAATCAGCGACATGCAGACCTACCTTGGTCAGATCAAAGATCTGCAGCCCATGTCCTTCAGCTTCCGAACCAATGTACACATGATTCTTTATAACCTTCATGTCTCTCCATACACTGGCATCGGTCTGCGTGGGCAGTCGACCAACATACTCGATGCTACCATCATCCAGGACCTCAATGAAGGCAACACCGTCGGTTTGTCCGACGATACCGAATTCGCGGCCGTCGGCAGATTCCCAACCTACATACACATATAGCATTAGCACGAGGTAACAAGCGTTCGACCCCCCATTATATCGACCCAGATCTTCATCCAGACAGAGATAGCTAAAGGGATGGACAGAAAGGAGAGAGAAACATACCCCACACATCATTCCCCTCACGAGTCGTGCTGCCCAGCGCCTGATGGCTCAGGAAACCCTGCAGATCGACGTTTCCGCACGAGTATTCGCCCGCCTTGCCGTCCACGCACTTGGTGCTTCCTTGATCAATGTACTTGTTGACCTTGAAGAGGCCCTGGGAGCGGGCACGTTCTCGATGCTCCAACTTCAAAGACATCAGGTGAGCCATGCGAGACTCGCCCTCTCGGGACGCCGTCACGGCGCAGGCCAGCGCCAGGGCGGATATGATGGACAACTTCATTGTGAGTCCCGCTGCTGTTGCAGGTTGCAAGGACGGAGAACGGATTGAAGAGCGGGAGTATGTGTGAGAGAAAGAGGACAGTAAGGAAAAAGCCGTGCCAGTCAAGCCAATCCAAGATAGCAACCTCTCCTTTCATGAGGCACCTTTTATACCACATCTAGCCGGCCTCACCTCCTCATTCCACAACATCTCGCCAAGATCACAACATTATCTGCCAAGTCATAGACCAAGCTGAATAGGAAGGTGGTTCTCTCAAAGGAAACAATTCTCCTCAGGTCCCTCCCCGCCTAGACAAATTACACAAGGGCGTTTAGATGCAAGAAACACCCCGCCGGGCAGGGCACGCAGGGTAGATTCGGCAGGCAACGTTGCAGCGTATACCGATAAAGCAACTAAAAAAACCTAGGTAAGTATCATGCAAGTCCCTCCGCCCCAATCAGGCACTTAGTTCGTACCTTGACTTATCTCCGCGCAATAGATTAGGTTCCCAAGCCAAGGCGCAACAAACCAACAAAAAAACGGCTCTTTTAGTGTCGGCTCTTGGAAGCATGAGATAGGGCTTCTTGGGTTACAGCGCTAGCTCGTGTGTTTCCTCACGGCAGGGGACGTTCTCGTCTTGGTTGGACGGGCCGGGTCTTTTAGCAATCATCACCCTGAGGGATCGGCGTTCTTGGCTGCCGGAGATGTAACCTGGGGGGATGTCGCTATCGGGTACTTTTCTTGACTGGTACCCTGGGGCTGTATCTATCAGGGAGATTGGTGCTGATAGTCAGGTCCGTGACTGATGGTTATGCGTAACTGAGATCTTTGCTACGGGTTTGCAGATACTACGTGGGATCTGTCGCCTTATCGATGCGATGGAGCTACAGGTGACCATCTGTCGAATTGACCGTTTTTAGACTCTAGTTTAGTAGTTTTGAGGGGGAGGTGGCAAAATGATAACGGACAAAATTCATCTAACTAAAAAGAGAAGACGCAGGCATCGACGCTAAGCATGACTCGTACAAGCGGGGGAAATATCATTAAGGAGATTGGAGACGTTCAGAGAGTTTCTCAATGAATGTCTCGCCCCATTTAGCACTGATAATTATTAGTATTGATCGAAAGGACCCGAGTTCCATATCTCGCGCTCACCTGGTATTGGTCTCGATAAATTCTCTCAACCCCTCATACCGCCGCTTCCGATCCTCACTACTCATAGTGACAGCTTCGTTGATGGCCTCAGACATCTCGGGGATATTAGCAGGATGGAACGAGATACTACCCTCCTTGAGGAACGACGCAGCCCCTGCAAATTCTGAAAGAACCAGCACGCCATGGCGCTGGGCTTGGCATGCGATATACTCAAAGGAGACGAGGTTCATGCCATCCCGCGTAGAAGTGAGCAAACAGGCGTCGGCCAACGAGTACAGCGCCGTCAGTTCCGTGAAGGAAACCGAGCGGTGGATGTAGATGAGCGGAGTTCCGTCGGCAGTGGCTAAGACCGTCCGTTAGCTTGACATTGGCACTGCGGGCGACGAATGGGGAGCCAAGAATAGGTAAGCCATCCAGGGCAGGGGAGGGGGAGAAATGACGCACCGTGTTTCCCGTTGATCTTTCCCACTGTCGTGCAGATATCTGTCTCTAGGTCTTGATATTCCTTGACGTCCTCTCGGCTTGGCACAGCTACCTGGATCAAGACCACTTTTTTGCTTAGCTCGGGATGGTGGTCCAGGAAGTAGTCGTAGCCTTTCAGTTTCTGCGTTAGGCCTTTGATGTAGTCTAGTCGGTCGACGCCGAGAATGACCTTGACGCCCTTGTATCTTTCTTGCAGCTCTTGGATCCTGGTTTGGACATCCGAGTCTTCCAGCGCGTCGGTGAACTTCTGCGGATCAATCCCTACAATGAACTTATCGGCCATGATTTTCCGGTCTTTGTATTGAATTTCCCCTTGAATTTCAGTGGACGCTCCACTACAATCACAACGTCAGTCCAAGCATACTTCAACGTCACCAGAAAACTCACAGTGTTTGCGCGCAAGCGGAAAAGTTATGCTTATACTCATCAGTATGGAAGCCGATCAGATCGCTCGCAAGAATCCCCTCGACCAGCTCATTCCGCACTGGCAGGCTCTTCCAAAAGTCCTCTGCTGGGAAAGGGGTGTGCAAAGAGAAGCCGATGGCAAATGATTTGCCCTGCTTTTCGAGCCGTTCACGCAACAGTTGCGGGAGCAGCATTAAGTGATAATCATGAATCCAAATCATATTGTCCTCTATGGCTTCTTTGGCGATGATATCGGCGAAAATCTCATTAACGCGCTTGTAAGCTTGCCAGTTGTCATCCTCAAATTCCACTCCGGACTGGTAGTGGAGAATAGGCCAAAGAGTGGAATCTACTTGGATTGAGTAACAAGTTCATGGAAGGCTCGGGAGATTACTCACTCGAGAAGCCATTGTAATGGTCATGCGCCAACTGCTCGTCGATGAATATCGGCACGGCATTGTGCTCGCTGAGACTGTTCGCCACCTTCTCTTGCTCGTTCTCGTCCTTCACTTCAATTCCCGGCCAGCCAAACCAGCGGAAAGATGTCGACTTGGTCAGTCCGGATAATGAGGTAACCAGTCCTCCGCCAGAAAGATTGGCTTCAAACGAATCATCGACTCGTTTGATCGAGAGAGGAAGTCGGTTAGACACGACAATCAAATTCTTCTTCGAAGCTGAGACACTGGGAGGCATGATGAAGCTGTGCTAGACACTAACAAGTAGATTCCGATCTAATGACGCTCTGGATTTGTCGAGAGTATTTTAAGGTTTATTATACGGTTGTTCGCTACTGCAGGTCGGCCTTATCTAGTAACATACGTCAGTATGAATAATCCGGAAAACAGCAAGGCAATATTGACTCAACCAATGCGATGAAAGGGAGAGATGATGCTCGCGTTGAGTGATGAATCCAGGGGATCTTCCTGGGTCAGCGCTGGTACACCGAGTACGGCTCTCACGTCATAGAGCTGTCATGCTCGACGCCAAGACTCCATAGCTACCCTCCACGAAACCATACTAGACAAGAAAGGTAATCATGTAAAGCAATGCTTGATTATGTTGGAAAGTATATACAAATCAGAAATCCAAAAGTTGGGCAATCAAACTCCTTCACCTTTTGTTATGCGAATCACGAAACACCGTGGCTGTAGCCGCTTGACCCGTCCCAATATCCCAAAAATAAAACTATTAAGAATAAAATACAACTCCGTAGCAAATCGCCACTGATGCAATGAAATGAGTGCGCAGATATCAGAAGTATGCGCTTTTGGTAAGTCAAATGTCCTGTTCCGTCTGACAGGACAACCTAGGCGTTGATTTGCCTAGCTCGGTCTCGCCGTCACGACCACGTTTGGGAATGTTCAATCAGGAAAGGGTTTTCTTGCTTGCGATCAAAGCTCGAGGTATGGCCCTGGTAACCGATGCTCGGATTGTGGTGGGTAGGAGGCACCTGCGGATAGTTATGGGCCGATGCGTACTGTTGCTGATGCATGCGGTTCTTTCTGAACGAACGGAAGGACCAGTTGCTGACAACGGTAACGGTAGAGATAGTAGCGAGGAAGAACAGCTGTAAACCATTAGCCATGGGCATCGCGAATAGGAAGAACACGTAGACATACAATCGCCTTCCAGCTGATAGGATCGATGAAGCTGTTGATGATGACCGCCATCGTATGCGCCGACACCTTGGCGCGTCCCACTTTGGCCGGGTCCCGGTTCATGCAGCGCTCCCAGTTCTCGCAGACCGTCTCCAAGGCTGGCAGTCGATCGTGTCCACCACACTTATTATCGACGTAGTTCCTAGCACACGTCGCCATCTCAGCCAAAATGCCATCAGACACCTCCTCGGCAGCCTGTTCAAACTCGGAGCGAATCGTCGACACAAAACCAAAGACCACGTAGACCGTAATCGAGAACAGCACCAGGTTCACCAGCAACTGCGCCCACCAAGACAAAATGCTCGGGATGTTGGGATGCGCCTCTAACAGGGCAAAGAAATCCGAAAACGACGAGGCCCGACTCGCTGGCTGCTGGGTCTCCACCGCATTCTGGCCCTGTCCACGTTTCGACAGCTTCCTCTGCAGCGATTTCTCCTCCCTGCTGCCCGGCCTATCGTGGTCGCTATCGTCTTCATCCTCACTGCCCTCCCTTCGCAACTGCAGATCCAGCGCTTTATCCCTGCGCCTCCGCTTATGCACCCGTCGAGCCAACGCATTCGAATAGTGGTTCATGCGAGGGATCTCGCCCCGTCCAGGGCTCGGCGCAAACCGTCCGTACATGTTGAACAGCGAGTTGCGATGTCCCGACTTGGTCGGCGGTTCGGGGGTGTCCTCGTTGTCCGCGCACTCCGGCGAAGACATATTCTCAGGGCCGGAGGAGAAATCGACATCGAATTTGCGAGGCGTCATGAAGGCGGCCGACTTGCCGAAGACCGACTTGGGGGTGCTAGGGGGTTGTTGATGTTGAGGTTGCTGGGAGAAGAGGAAGGGTTGCGAGTGGGGTTCACGCAGCGCGGGCATCTGTTTCTTGGGCGGAGAATCGAATATACTATGAGGACCTGTGACCTGGGAAGTTAGGTTTGATTCCTGCCAGTGGGGAGAGGGACATTGAGATCCAAAACGCGGGGGTGTGCACGCACGTTTCTTCTGGTTGTCATGCTGCATGCTGAGCTGATAGAAAGGCGAGGTGACGTCCCCGGGCGCACGGGTCTGCCACTCAAAGTCCATAGGACTTTCCGCGGACCTTTTGTCCATATTGGCGGATAAAAAACAGATAATAACCAGACTCAAAATTGGTGGGGGGTGGGAAACGAGCGATGGAAGGCGAGCAAGGAGACGGTCGAGATGGAATCTTCTATCGGAGGTCGGCGATGGATTTTCTGACCATTCCCGATTCGGTGTTTGGTAAACAATCCGCTTATCGCCTCTGCTGCAGCAACGCAGGCGATCGCTTCCACACGTCGCGCGTCTTGTTGACGAGAGATGATTTCCTTGGTGATAAATATGAAGATCTAGGTTGGTTTGAAGGTCAGGTCATATTTGCCCTTATCCGTATGGCTATGAGGTTCTGGGGTTACGAGTTGTTGCAGAAGATGAGCGTTGCAGATCGCTGACGGCGTAGATAACGGGAGCTTCCGGCCAGATCGCTAACAACAACTACAGCTTTCCTATTTTCTACGCTCTTTTAAATGATGGAAACAAATGATTGATCACAATCTGTTATCGTCAATAATAATAACAATGCGCATGCTATACTGTACTAATATGATACTGGGGTATGAAACAGCTGGTCTAGAGAATAAGACAACAAACAAACATCAAATCCAGCAAGACACAGGTCATGATCAAGAAGCCAAACACGCAGGTCGCAGCGTCGTAACAATAATCATGGCAGCATCAGTCTAATCAACTCCATTCTGAGCGCGACAGAAAGCAGAACCCGACTCCAAACGGACAAAGGACACGTCGTCAATAATACATAGAAAACCTGCGCGTGCAATTACAAACGAACACGGTCCACCAGCTCAAAGTCGTCGTCGGCCAGATAGCCACCAGTGGTTTCATGCTCATGCGACACTATCTCGTACTCCTTGACAAGTTTCTCGGTCTCCTTCGTCTCGAACCGTTCCACGGCCTTGTTCACTGCGTCCGAGAGGATCGTTTGACCGGCAACTTCGTAGTGCTCGACCGTAGCGTTGGCCTCATCGTCCGGCTCCGCTGCGACAGTCGGCGCTGATGCGGGGTCATCGATGTCTTCGCCACTGGAGGAGTCCGAGGGGCCGCTATCAAGGGCCTCTCGGATATCGTATCGGAGGTCGATCTTGGCCGAGGTGGCGAGTTGATTGGTCTTGGCCTTCCGATCGTGCTGTAGGGCCCGGTGGAGGCTATGATATGAGTCAGTATGATGAGCTTTATTCATGGCTTTGCCATTTCGGAACAGAGAATGAACGTACTTCATATAATGAGTCGAAGGCACCGCAGGACGGGTCACCGGGTATACTTCAGAAACCTCCCGACGAGGGAGAGCGGATCGGCCACCATATGCCCATTTCGCCTTCTGGTTGTAAACCCTTTTGGCATCGGTTCCAGCTCCGCGCAAATCATTTGCAGCAAGGGATCCAGACATGATGAGACGACGTCGAAACGAGGATACTCTCGAGGTAACAGTGGAAGGAAGGACAAGGGTGACAGTGAGACTGCGGTAGTTCTTGCCTGCAGCCGGGATACAACAGGGGGAATATAAAGGCCACCGGGACAGGGGAATGGAATGGAAAGCGCCGAATGAGAACAAAGGTAACCGGACGATTCCAGCAGAACCGCGAAGGGTCAGGAGTAAGCCGTCAAACAAACGGTCTGGTCTTTGTCTGAGTCACAGGGTGACTGGTCCAGTCATCAATTCCTAATCCGTAACTGATCCAAGGTTATTGTTGCTCCGTGCGAGCAATAGACTAGTGCTGAGGAATGTCAAGGATGAAACCTTAACGGGACCCGTCATGAAGATAGACAGGTAAAGGGCAAGAGAAGAAAAGGAAAGAGGAAGGAGAGATGGGGGAAAGAGGGGAGAAGAAGGATATCTTCCCTATCTGCTCCGTAGTGACTACCTAGGATATCCGGTAGAAGGATCTCCGCATGCGCCAAACCAGGCAGCACGAGGTCCGGGCGAGGCGATGCTGATTGCGGCAGGTCACGCTGGGAATGCGCCTGTGATGATTTGATAGGAGAGGAATCGATTGTCATGTCTCATTAATTAGATAGATGGCGCTATGCACGTTCTCTTCTTTTGCCCCTGGATGCCCCATTCCCCCCTCTCGTCCATCGAGAACATCCCCGGGGTCCTCCTATTGCCGCCACTACGGATCCATGGTTGCGCCCTTTCCCTCAATCGGACCCCGAGGTTCAAGGAGGAGATGGCTCGACTGGCCAGATAGAGGCGATCAATCGGATCCACAGGGACAGGCACGGGGTTCATGATTGGCATCGGTGGAAGTATGGATGACGGTACTAGCCTGAAGGAATATCCACGGTGTTGGTGTACGGTGCAGTCGCGACGTGGCAATAGTCTGGATTCACGCGGTCGCAGTAAGCCTGAGTCATCTCCGTGTGATGACGCCAAACCAACAGCTTATCACCTGCCTCGCGGTCGATCCACGCTCAAGCGCCCGATGACTCGATCCTCCTGCATCATCCGCAGCAGACGAGGGCTAGAAGGGCATGGCGCACGCCATGACATCAAGGCTGACTAGTCTTGGCTTCTATTGTTGGAAAGCCCTGGCGTCTTCCACGCCGGAGAATGGATCAGCCGCATTCCTCGCATTCCTCGCCGAACCCGAGGTTGTATCAGGATTGCCAGGAAGATAAGGGAAGATAAGAAGTGCTCTCTGGGTATCTGACATGCTGCCAGCTATGCAGGTCATATTAAGTCGCTAACTAGTAAATAAATACGCCAACTTCTGCCATCCCATCCGATGTCCAGCACCAGATCCATCATGCGTAGCATCCTTTCCATAGAAATAAAAAACCTATTAATGATGATAGCCTTGTGGTTGTGGCATGCTTATTTCCAAAATCCATCGTATGCTCATTCATCCATTTGCCATTGGTAATCCAAGGCTTCAAGTCTCCCCTTCCGGTTCCTCGCGCCAAACCATTCCTTCTCGAACCCAGTACTGCGATCCACCCCATCCCATCGATGACCCGGTCGAATCCCATATCGATTCGGCTGGGCCGCCCCCCGGTATAACGGCCGACCTGTCGCGCTCTTCCCAGGACCCTTCGTATTCGTCAAGAACTGAGCCGCGGGATCATTCCACCGCTGCTGAGCCTTGAGATCATCGTTCAGAGAATCATCGTCGATAGTACGCGCCACCGGCATCGCCCGCACGTCTTCCAACTGCTGCTTGCGATCCGCCCGCTGCTGTCTCTGCACGTCGCCCATAAGCGCCTCCTTCGCCTGCTCCTCCTTCTCCTTCTTCTCCTCTTCTGCCCGTCGCGCCTCCGCCCGCTTCATGGCCACGTTGATGATCCGTCCCGACGCGTCTCGATAGATCGTCTCCTGCGCCTGACCCGCCTGCGGACTGTCCTTGTACTTGGCCGCTTCGGCCTTCTTCCGTCGCTCCTGAGCAGCCACCATCGCGGCCGTCTGCTCCGCCGTCTGAAGACCCGCGCGAGCCCCAGATTCCATCCGCATAGCGTCCTCTCCATCTTCATTCTCCTCCTCCGCCACGGCCGGCGCGTCCTCGTCGTCCCCGGCGTCCCTCCGCGCAGCACTCTCCGCCGCCGCAGAAGCTAGGATCGCGTCGGCCGCGTCCTTCTCGGCATCGTTCGCGACGGGCGCACCGACCACTTTCCAGCTGGATTTCTTCGCACGACGGAACTCTGCGCTCCCGCCGGATGCCACGACGGGGCCATCTTCATCGTCCTGGCCGAAGGTGGACGCTTGGGTGCGGAGATCGGGAGGGTCGTCGTCGGCGATGATGAGGCCTTCGTTGGCGGCGTCGGCGGTCTTGGTCTTCTTGCGTTTTTTCTTGGGGCGTTCGGTTGCGGGGTCGGCGGTTAGGTAGTTTTTGGCGAGGTAATCTGCTAACGAGGAGGGCATTTTGATTTCGTATACTGGAGAAGGGAATAGGTTTTGATTTTACTTGAAGGGGGTATTAAAAGTGTGGAGGTGATTCTCTTTCTGGTTATCTTGATAGACGGAGTATTGGTTAATCCGGACGTGTGGATGATTACTGGAAAAGAACTAGCGTTTCTGCCTGAGGAAGAAGCATCACTGTTTACTCCGTTGGCCAAAAACGCTCCATCAACAATAACTGAAGATTTATGTCTTATTTCTAAGTTTCAATGCATTTCCCATTCATACAATACAGCAGAAAGTACGAATATGACTACGCAATCTCTGCTTCAATAATCCCCTGTCCATCCGGGGGCTGCCAGAACTTTACGACCCGTAGACCAGATCCCTTCAAGAACTTCTCCCATTGCGAGCAGGTCCGTTCCATACCAGGACACCAAACCATCACCACCATGTCCAGCAAAACGGGAAGCAAGCCCGCCCCAGAATCAGGCAGAATGAATTCCTCGAGAACAAGCTTGGAGTATCCTTTCTCCATCGCAGCAATCACATGGTCCAATATGACTTTGCACTTCTCGTCCAACCAGTCGTGCAGGATGTTTTTCATGTAGTAGACACGAGATCCTGTTGATATGGAGATGTTATTAGTGCATATCCATTCCATTGTTCGCTTGGATTGAGAAAGGTTGGTTTAAACATGAGCACAAGGGTAAGGTTTACCTTTAACCGGTTGAGGCGTGAAGAAATCATGTTTCACGCGTTCGATCTTCGGTTCCAACGTTGCGATATCCTCAATCACTGCCGGAAGATCCTCGAGGATAAGTCGTCCCGGGGCGTCCGGGAAACGGTTCGCAAAGTGAGCAATGTCGTGGCCACGGCCGCCGGCAATCTCAACGAGAAAAGGTCGAGTTGGGCCATAGGCAGTTCCGTCGAGTATCTGTCTCTGCACAGGGAACTAGTCCGCCCAGTATGGGCGACTGCCTCGGACCCCCTCCATGTACGTGTTGAACCGCGCGAGAGAATTGGGGTTCTCTGCCATCCATTCCCAGATGCTAGTATCGAAGCCGTGTGCATCCTGTAACGGCGTGGAACGAGGGTCGCAGGGGTTCTGATAGCCTGTGTTTCGAAGAAATTCCGGGGCTCGGACGATGCCGGGAAGGCAGTCACAGAACCTGATGAGGTTGAGTCAATGAGGTTTTAGGTTGAAGTTTATAGCTTAAGGTCGAGAGAACACGAAGATAATTTAGGGAATGGTACACTTACAATGAGTCTATGACCCCAGCGGAGATTCTTTGGGCCATTTCTTCAGTCAACACACTTGGTGCATACAGACCGAGTCCACATTCCTTGACATATTCAATATTTGCCAGCGCGCGCAGAATTCGCTCTGTTTCTTGTCAGTTCAACAAAGAGTATCATCCAGAAGTAGAGACAAACCCACGAATACCGGATCCGCTTTCTTTGGCACGGCAAGTTGCTTGGCTGTTGCAGGACCTCCATTGACCAGCGATTTGTACACGTCTAGATCATGGCCAATCTTGACAGTCATAAATAACAGAGGCTATCTGGTCAGCATCATTCCTGGTATGTTATATGTTTGCACCTACCGAAAGTGACAATTGGATGACCGCATCCTTCGGCTTTCCAAGAGCTCGGCTCAGTTTCTGTGTGAGCTCAAGAGCCTCGACTCGAGTTGTTCATCTTGTGAAGTCGCAAACTCGTCTAGCTTGGCCTCCACAGTTTCGAGAATAGACTTGACATCGGTTTCAATCGGACCTATTACGGTAGTGAGGGAATTTGAACAACTAATGTCGAGAAATGGCAAAGTGGTGCAGCTGCCGGCTTTCTTATCTCTCAAGATGCGTCATCAAAAAGGGTCTTAGAGTTCAGAATCTTCCCAGGAAGTCTATATTTCTCCCACGTGTCTATACAAAAAACTTCTCGGGCATGACGGCGATTCCTACCCATACAGTAATAGCTCATAAGACGGAAGCGACGCCGAGGGAGATATGTCCCGGTATAATCTGACCAAAGAGGTAATAATCAAGGATACAAGTCAACATTCGAAAGCATAATTAACCTTATCCACTTTGTCTCCGGGGATACCGTGAATTATTTCGCCACATGTCAGCAGTGTCCAAGCATCCCTCATCAATTCAGAAAATCATTTAAGGTCTGCTACGGAGTCAGAGGTTATTAAGAACACTGCAACCTTGGATATGCGGGTTATAGGCGGCTCTCCAAACGTTATAGACTTGGTTGGTCCTTTTTACCGAGTAGAGCTCTCCAGCCTGTCTGATAGAACACAAATAAACATGGGTTTAGACCTGCTCGAACTTAGCTTGGCTTATTGTCAGCCTGCTGAGACAGAGTGATAAAGCTATGAATACCACCCGCACTGCGAGGCGGCAGGTTTGTTGGCAAGAAGATCCGTTGATTCAATTTCTTTCTGTGTAATCAGATATGCTCAATGTTAGCCTCTAATAGGTTGTTAGAAAATTGGTTGAAGATAATCATGTCTTTAAGTTCATATCATATGTCCTTTTGCTTTCTGGAAGAAAGGGTATATAGGGACAGCCGGGGTACTATTAAGGTCTCTAGAACGGGACGGCCCTACATGTACCGGGACGGCCCTATATGTAAGGCGAGATGTAGTATTTCGCTATGTCCCCAGCACAAAAAAAAAAAAAAACACAGATCAAAAGCAAAAACATACAACAGCCGGGATTCGCTGGTGGTCACCCACCCAACTACTAACCGGCCGGCGTGTGGCTTAAGTACGGCTGAGCGGACGGGAAGCCCTGTTCTCCACACCCTGTGGTCGTATGTATTGGGATGAAGTGTGTTTTGAAATATCAAGTACAGAAAAGGTTGTTCGAAGCTGCTTGACGGACCAGGAATGTGGCAGTACTCCGTATGCGCTACAGAGTGGAATGACGGAAGTAGTAGATTGTTGCAGATGGGCTGGGTGATCTAGATGTATCAGGCAGATACCGATATACGGTTCAGGAGCAATGTGAAAAGGCTCCTCTGACACACATTGAGTGCAAAGATCCAATTTGCTTCCGCATATTATACTAACATTATGATCTCCATCACTATTCCCAAAGCTCCGTAGTATAAGCTGTGATAAGAGCAACCCTAAAATAATCCTCCGTCCCACCACATAGGGACACGCTCGATGGCGCTCGTTCGGTGGTTCTTCAATCAACCGCCAGGGCAGCTGCAGGTCTTCCACATCCTCCCGCAGAGGTAGCAGAATTGAGCATTGCACATACATCTATTCACGACGAAGGTCAGTGAGTTTGTTATAACTGCCTGATTTGGGGCACTTATTCAGAAGATAAATCGGTAGTAACGCACATCATATGGGGACAGCCTGCGGTTCGTTCCACCAAATGCCGACAGGAGTAGCAGCGTATCCAGCCTTTCTTCACACCAAGGGAGAGGATAGCTTGCAGCGCCTTGTCTTTCGGACAATCCTCGGAATGAGCGGGACTCTGACATATCAAGCAAGTCGAGGAGCGACAGGATTCGCATTTCGCGGTTTCTTCTCCAGCTTTTATCCGGCTCGGTGGGAGAAACCTGCCGCAGGCTTTATTGCTGCAGTATTTGGCGTCTTTGGTGGTGAATTCGACTCTTGCATCCTCGAACGCGCGCCGCTGCAGTACTGACATGTTATTACGGATCAGGTTTAGAGGGATCACCTTGCGGCAGCATTTAGGTGGGAAGAGCGTTTGGTCTTTCGTCGCCCGTAGGAAGAGACCTTTCAAGCAGCTGGTACAGTAGAGATCGGAGCACTGCAGGCGCACTATCTTTTTCTGCGGGAAGTGGTCGTAGCAGACACAGCATTGAGGTTTTGCTTTAGTGGTTCTTGACAGCGCCTCTTTCGGTTGCTAGATATTTGTGCAGGAATCAGCAAGTTCGTCGTCCAAGATAAAGTAACCACTCCTCAATCGGTAAGTCGTTCTGGAAGAATCCCTGACCGTGGAAGCACCCTCACCACGATTCCTAGCCAACCGTCTATCGTTCGCGAGTTTTATCTTCCTTTCCTCCTCTTTATTAGCCGAGGCTATCCTTCTAGATGACTGGCTCAACCGTCGGTTGAGATAATTGTACTGCCGCAGCAGTTCGTCCCAGAAGGCCAGCATGGCGGCCGTACCGCGAGCGCCGGACGGAGTTCTCGTTTCATAAAAGTGATACTTTTTGTCGACTTCGGCCAGTCGCTTCTTTACGGCTTGGATTTGGGCCCGCAGGACCGATTGGGATTGTTCGTTGGAGGCTGGTGTTTTGTCACTCGAGCCTGGTTTTGAGATTGGACGTGGTCGTAGCTCTACCATGTTGTGGATTAGCAAGAGATGAGGACATGCAGTGGGAGAAGGGCACTGAACAGTTACGCGGGGCTCTAAGGAGAAGAAGCATACATAGCCATCTTACTACCCAGGATGAGGTCACATTGACCAGTTAGTTCGTCATAGTCACTGCTAACGATCCATCATTGCCAGTGTTTCCCCTCTCACTCCTCTTTTCCTGAAGCTCGAGCCCGCCTAAAAGAACCACCCGGGCCGTTGAGTGGTCCTGAACTGGATTCCGAGAATCCGATGAACTTAGTGAGGCCCAGACCTTGAATGGGAACTATCTAGGCTGTCAATTGACATAGTAATCCTGCTAGTTACTGGGGTTCCCCTTTCTGATAGCGAGGCATACACGTAAGTCGGATGAAGGACCCGTGAGAGATTGTTCACGATCTATTACCTAAATCATTGCGTGGGTCATACCAAAACCTCTTTGACCGATGTCATATCGCGGTATAGAAATAGTACTAAAACCGATAACTAGCAAATGTAGCCCTCTGATTAGTCAATATATTCTGCAAAAAAGGCGCCTTACCTTTTTAATCCAGTTAGTCTGGCTGACAATTCCCTCCTACTCTAACCCCATCTATCTCCACTTCTATCTCTATCTACACTCTACTTGCACTTGCACTTGCACTTGCATAGGTACTGGCGTGCTTGCTGACTTCTTGATCAAACACCCACAACCCCAACCTCCCCCCAAAACCAAGTACAAACAACCCTACCCAAACCAGTGCAACCCAGACAAGAAAAACAAAATGCCCCGCTCCGACGAAACCGAGTTCTGGATCAACGCGGTGTACGCCGCCGTGCAAGAGATCCCGATTGGCAAGGTGACTTCATACGGCCATATTGCGCTCTTGTTGGGTCAACGTATGTCACCTTATCTCTAGTATCTACCAACATACCTTCCCCGCAGAACCAACACCCCATCTCCATATCTATCCACATCCACATGCACATCCCCAACCTCAACCCAATCAACAACACCATGCCATACCATACTATGATATACCTACCATACACACCAAGAACCGAAAAGGTAACAAGAAGAACAGCCCAACGTCCCCGCCAAGTAGGAACAAGTCTAAAACACCTCCCCTCGGATCCAACGCAACACTTCAACTCAAGCAACGTGCCATGGCAACGCGTCATAAATGCGAAAGGCATGATTTCGCATCGGTGCGTCCCTATTCTGCCTACTACCTAATCTATCACTTTCCCATTCTATTCCATACCCCATTCCATTCTATATATCCCCATCCCATCCGTCTTAAGCGATCACTGGTATATATATGTGTTTATCAGAGTGCTAGGATTTTTCAGATGGGGTTTGGATTAATCATTAATCGTTTATGTAACTACAGAGAACCCGGGGACGCAGAACGACAAGCAGAAGTATTACGCGAAGAAGGTGTAGAGGTGGAGACGGACAGTATGGGAGAGTTCTATATCGATATGGGTCGGTACGGGTGGTTTCCTGCACAACTGCCGAGTGAGGAGGGGTTGGATGATGACGACAATCGACAATGAAAATAACAACCGCAAAGATATTCCGACAGGTTCAAATTACAGATACATGGACCAGGAAGCATGTGCATTCAAATCATATTTACAGATTCCCTAAAGAGAACTCTGTCATTGTATCATCTTATCGCCATGACACCCCCACACCGGATCCCATACTGCGTTGGCTCGTAAATATGGTCGCGAAGGCTTACCAATTCGTAAGCAAGGACATTTGAAATCAGAGAGAAAACAGAGACGGTTCAACCAGGGGGAAAAGAAGAGGGGGTCTTTTGGATGTGTCTAAGCGCCAGTCTCAAGGTGGACAAAGTATCGGTATATGATAAGTGTGAATCGGGTTTGGAAAAATCAAGAGTAAATCGGAACTCTATGGGGGTTCAACAAGAGCAACGGAAAAGATCGAGACAGGCGCATGTATCGTAAGTGAAAGAAAAAGAAAAAAGGAATGGAAGGTAACGAAAAGGTTGCAAAACAACAAGGCATGTAAGGTCATGTCGAAGAATTCATAAACATCCAGTAATGTGCCAAGCGAAGACCAAAGATTTCATAAGATATTTGTAAAGAAAATTGAGAGACAGATTTCCCCTCGCCCCCTCAGAAAAAGACTCAACGATAGGTCATGACTCACTTTTAGAAAGCCTTAATATATTATGGTGCTTTATCTTCTCTTGACCTCTGTCGCCCAACCTTCGATGCCTTCGCCTTTGCTGCCGGGGGTTATCCCCAGATCGATTCCATCCATCCCGAGAGTATCTTTCGTCCACACGTGGGAAGACATACCACCGGCATTGGCTCGTCGCTCTGGGGACACTTCCAGCATAGGCAATAGGAACTCGCTGATTTGCATACTCTGTTCCACTGAGAAATGGTACTTCTCGCGGAGTACATCAGGTAATGCCCAATGGCGTAGTCGGTGGATGTTTCGCAATTCCCCTTTACGGTTGAAGATGTCTTGCGACCATTTGCCGGACAGACACAGCGACTTGGGGAAGGGTCCCAGAAGCTCAATGATCTGCGCGATGTGATCGTCATCTTTGCCGTATTTCGTACCGGATTGCGGATCAAATAGATAGTCGCCGGTGATGAGTTCGAAAACCTACAGCCAAGTTAGAGATAGAACCCGATGGCATTGCCGTGTTCCAAACGTACCATGCAAGCCATACTCCAAACGTCGGTACTCGCCCCCCACTTAGAACCCAAGATGACTTCTGGCGATCGGTATTGTCGCGTTTGGATATCGTTGGTGAAGTGATGTCCCACCCAGCAGGCATTGCCCAGATCGGCAATCTTCACAGAGATAATGTCGCACTCGGGTTCATCATTCGACGTTTTCGAGGATGTCTTGTCTAGCGAGATGCCCGATACCTCACGCTCCAAAAGATCCCTGCCATGCGTTAACAACCAGAAGAGGGAATAGATCGCATTCTCGATGAACATACGTTGTCTTTTCTCGTTGTTTCTGCTTCTCATCTTCATCTTTAATACCCAGCAGGTCTTTCATCGACGTGCCTTCATTCGCGGAGGGGCCTGGGATAGATGAGCGGCCTCATACAACACATGTAGGGAAAAGGGCACAGATAAAAAGTTCAAACATACCTGGCGATCCGCTAACCATCTGGCTGAGGCTGCTGTGGGAATTTTGCGAGGTGTGCTTGAAATCGAAGCTGGTGTTGAGCGGACTCGGTAGGGGTTGGCTCCCCGTGATCAAGGTCCTGCGTCGTCGCCGCCCGTTGCGATTATCCTCCTTATGATCCTTCTTGGATTCCTCCTTCACGTAAGCCTTCACGATCTGCTCCACGTCGCCGATCTCGATCAGCACGTTCTCCGGTTTCAGGTCTGTATGAATGATTCCACATTCCCGATGCAGATAGTCCAATCCCAAAAGTACTTGTTTCGTAATCTGCTTGACCAATTCCATGGGAATGCCGCGATGGTTCCATCGCTTGATTAGGCCGAGCAAATTCTCACCCAGGACCTCAAAGACCATGCAGACGTGAACGCCATTCGGGCCCTTGTGTTCGAAGGAATCGAGAAGGCTGACGACGTGTTTGCGACCGGGGTGGGCGGGCTTGGCTTGGACGATGCGGTTCAACAGTTTGATTTCATCGATGGCGGTTTCGGTGTAGTGGGCGGCGGAGCGAACGACTTTGAGGGCGACGTGTTTTCCGTTGGTGGTGTCGCGGGATAACCAGACGGTCGAGAAGTGACCCCACCCCAGCTTGCGCACGACGACATAGCGACCGTTGTTATACGTTTCGCCGACGCTGACGGGGTGGTAACCACCCTTGCAGTAATCTTCCGAATCTTCTTCCTCGGCGGTCGTTTCGACTTCCTCGACGGAGGACGTGGAGGGAGAACGCGATGGCGGGACGCCGTATGTGGGAACCCTGCCACCCATATTGGTTAGAAGAGAAAAAAATACCCAACGTAGCGGAAGAGATCAGGACAGTTGCAGAGGTTGGTAAGGGGTAAGGCAAGAAAGAAAAAAAAAATAGAGACAATAAATAGAAAGGCAATCAAAGAATGGCCAGAACAATGACAATGTGGCGGAAAAGACAGATGAGGAAGAGAAAGCGACGATGAATTAGACAAGAAAGAATGGGTCGTACCCCTCAGTAGTGGCAGATTGTTCGACGGCGGGTGAAGCGGCGTCGTTGGTGACGATCGGCTTCAAGTCGGTCCCTTTTCTTCTCTTCTTACCGCCGTTGCCATTGGCAGCAGAGGCAGCGACGCTAGCCATTTGCTTCCCTTTATTCAGGACGGCCTTGGTGATGTCGACCCCGTCCATGGCGAGTGAGGAGGGATAACTAAACGGCGCAGGGATGTAGAAAACAAAAGAAAAAAAAAGCAAAAAGCGAGTAGAAGAAGAGGGGAGGGGAGATTGAAGAGGTAGAAGAAGAAGACGAGTAGAAGGGAAGGAAGGAGGCCAAAAAAAGTCGGGTTGGCGCAAAAGATCGAGAAGGAGGAAGAGCAGGAAAGTTGTTGGGCGGCGGAGAGAAGCGGCGGGTGGTTGTGCGAGGGGTTGTTGTTTGGTCTCTCTTGCTTTTCTGCTTGTTGCTTGCTTGACTTCTCGCGCTCTCTTTCTCTCTGCAGCGAACAAGCGCCCGCAACCGCTCTGGAGGCTTAGACCGGAACTTGGACCGGGAATGAGAAGATAGTACGGTCGGAGAATTGTAGCGACAGAGATGGTGTCGACAGCATCAAATGAAACACACGAGAGGTAAGGGTGGCAGGTGCCAGCAGGTCAAGGATTGGAAACAGAAGAATGTGTCGGGGATGGACGCAAGCGCGTATGACGCAAACGATATGGAGAAACGAGGGCGAAAACAATGTCAATCGGGGAGGAATGGGTTTCCACCCAGGAATGACATCTACGGGGTTAAATCTCCTCCGATCGAGGACTTGAGACCTGCAACCGACGGATTTCCTAATCTCAACGGCACCGAGATGCACAAAACATGGGGGAATATCAGGGAGACGACGGTGGTTGATGGATCTACCCCGTACCGATGTGGCAAATCATGAATGGATTGTTGGTCCTTCCGATGGTCGGCTGTACTTGGCGGGGGAGAGATGTCTACGGTCATTTACTGCTAGGTGGTTTGGGTATTAATCTTGATTCTTATTGAAGTCTTCTATCTATATCCTTAAGAACGAAGAACGAGAACAGAACACCCAACATGTCAAGAGGAGCAATGTCCCCCAAAGATCGGAGAGACGAGGGGCAGGATGGGGCAGCGATAAGTGATGACGAGACCAGCCATGTCTTTTCCTGTCTGCTTCCGGCCACCTCGACCGAATAGGGATTTTGCGATCGGCGCCAAGTCGCTTGTTTCGACACACTTGAAGGTTCTCGTGGCCCTCAACCTGGTCAGAAGGATCGCGATGCTTTATATCGAAACTCAAGCGTGGTGAAATCTGCCGGTTGAGGTGTCAATCGTGCCAATCCCCGTGCGAGTCTAGACTCGAGGGTCAGATTGATCCAGCCCAAGGAGAGTGGATGCCCGTTCCTCATACTCCCGTAAGGTGGTTCACTACCCTAAAATGCCCGATTTCCATGCCATCCCTGCCTCCGTCTTGGTCGGTCGGTTCTCCCTGACGGAGTACTCTCCCCTCGATGTCTTCGCCATCGTCCTTGAGGTATCCGTGAGGTAATCCTGAAGATCCCCAGGTTGACGGCGACCGTTGCGTCCGGGGCCATCGCGGGTCTGGGCGTCGCTGAGTCATCCGTCTGTGTCGTCATCGCTTGACTTCTGTTACTGCCTTGGGATTCAGGCCAGAAGCCTAGCACAAGGTATCCTTGACGTAGATTGCGGGGAGATATGCATCTGTGGGTTTTAACATATGGCCGGGAGAAATAAAAGAGATATAAGGTTCATACTTCAAGGGCCTATTATGACCCTCCCATGGCTGTTTTGGGACTTGGTCTACCTCGGTGTTACTCGTGGATCCTGCGGACAACCAGAATATACATCTGTCAACCTTGTTTAAAATTCGAAACACCGAACACATGGTAGGCATTATTATCCCAACCCACTTACCAATGTACTTAATTCATGCAGTCTAGATCTCAAGTATGAGCTTGAATTTATCACTACCATTCCGTATCCTGAACATATTCTGGGTTCACCTCTGCTAGAGCTTCCACAGTACCTAGGACTGGCACATCTTTTATGGACATGACCATCGCTTTAATTGAGGGAGACTGCATTCATATCGATAGAGAAATCGCACCACTTGACTACTCCATGATTACTCCCTAGCCGTGTGTCCCGCTGTTTGCCTTGGTTGCCTAGGATAACTCGATTGTGCCAGCATACCGTTAGATCAGAACCCCGAAGGCTACTCCGTACAATATAATCATTTCCAATTGAAAACCAGTCTCAATTGCAA